TGGTATTTCTTTTTTGATCGAACGTTGTGGTTTTTTGTCGTCGTCGTTATGATGATGATGATAGAGGGGCAGGAGTATTTCACCGGCTTGGTACTGGGAATTTCCGGGAAAAAAATGTGTTTATTTTCTCATGTTTGTGGACTCGGAGTCGTTTATTTTCCTTGTGATAACAATGACAAGACGTGGATGCATGTACGTAGGCGAGGGCCGAGGTTGAATAAGAGTGGCAAAGGGTCTCAGTGTTGATCGTAACCATAATTTGGGTTAGAGCTTTCTTCTCATTCGCTACCCAGGTGTGCGACTTTTTTGTTTTGCGCCCTCTCTCCGGTATTATTATTCTTCATGCAAGTACAAACGGAGATCGGCGGAGATCTCTCCCAGGTACGGAGGAGATCAGGACCCTGGTGTGTAACCTAGATGCTACTGCTTGTACCTATTTTCAAACCACACTCTTCATGCAAACAATACATTTGTTGGTCTTGGAGGGCACGCTGCCAATTGCCCTTTTCCATCAAACGTCCGCCCCCTGGTTACATATTGTACACACCACAAAAGCGTCCCGGGGTGGAATCCGCAATTGCGGGGCCCTCTCCACGACTATGAGCGAGCGAGGGACGGCTAACCTGTTACTCACCGAAATATGGAGGGGCTACAATTCATGCGAACGGGAAAACAGTCCAACTAGAACATATTCAGCTGCAATAGGCGTCAACTAGCTACCCCACGCCCTTGTTGAAGGCGGCCCTAGTCCTGGCCCCGACAAAGGGTGGCTGAATTGAGGAAGGGCCCTCCGAGGGACCCCATCGTCATTGCATTGTTGAGCTAATCGAGACAATCTCCGTGTTTGCATGGCACCGCACGCCCATTTACACACTCACGACCTATTGACGACGACGATTGGGAAAACATGGCAATACCAATTGAAACGAGTCAAGGGTGCAGTTGCCGGTAATCAGCGCTGAAACCCGGTGTAGGCAGATATTGGCTGGTCATTTTCTACGGGAGCCAATAGCGTAGACGAACGTGTGACGAGCCAAAATAGTTTCATATTGTAAGGAAGATATGGCATATTCGGCAACTATAACCCCACGGGCCGACCGAAGGGGCTTTGGTTACAGCATATAGTCTGCTAACTATACACTATTGTTAGTAGCCTGCGAAGATCGTCAACACTTGACCTTGGGGCTGGCAAACGACGCGTTGTGTATGGATGGTACTCGGATACGCAGGAACCGCCTAAGCTGTCACAAGCCTTGGACTGACTAACACAAGCGACGGCTGTAATACCTAATCCGGTATAGACGGTCGTAGAGGGGGCACGTTCGCAACTCCGTATTTCCATCTGGGCACCGTTTCGCATGTGATTGATGATCCGCGGGGGGGAAGGCGTCCGGCAACGATATGGCGCTTAAGCTAGCCTTTTGGTTTTTTAGATTTCGGAAGGAATTGCGGAAGCGAGGTTACGATAGTTTGGTAGAGGACCGTGTGCTTCATCTCAAAGGCATTGACGTTGTTGCGTCTTAGATGCGTACGCTTGTGGCTCGCGTGCGTAAGGCGTCACGCAAGATCTCGGAGCGGGCCATTGTAAGAGATCCCAGAAGGGCCGAATGTGGCTCGGTGGTGGCAGTGGTGGTGTGTGGGTAGATGTGTGGCGGCTGTGCCGTGTGGATGGACACAGCCGTTGTCATTGGACGGGAACTTGGCAAATGGTGACGTTGTGGCTGAGGACAAAAAAGCAGATAACGTGAAGCCGTGACAGAGTTGGACGACTCGCGACGCATTCGGCATCTCCGCTTACAAAACGACAACCTACCTAGGCACGCACGTGTGTGTGCCATTCGGAGCTGACAAGATGCAAGGCGCTCGGAGTATCCCATCTGTCGGTATGCGCGAGAAAAGCATAGCTGGCTATGCTATGGTTATTGTAATAACAACATCTGCATAGCTGATAGCACAAAAGCCAGCTCAACTGTATTCTGTGGGCTCTTTGTCGTAAATAATCTTCTTGAGTTCTCCAACAGTCTAATTCCAACCAAAGACCAGCACCGGGCATCATGTCCGCTCTCGGTTTCTCCAGCAAACTTGGTTGAATCCACCACCGTGCTTTCACCTTTGCTCATTCAGCAACGAGTCCATATCACGCAATTGCATCATTCCAGCCCCCTACATCATCATACGCGTGTATCTACCCATTATCATCCACTTGCTTCCCACAAAAATCCTCCGGCCCGCCCACCCTATGCGGCTACCCATTTTCCTCTATTCCCGCCGACGTGCACTGACCAATTGTACAAAAAAAACTTTAGAATCCCACGGCGATACTTGAAGAAAAAAACGCTCAGGCCCTCTTTCCGTCTTCATTCTCGCGTAGATATTTGATGATTTTCCGTCCGTTCATTCTTCGTGTTCTTATCAGACGGTGGAGCCACGAGAGGTCTGAGCGTTACGCACGCAATGCTTTGGTGCATTTGCTCGTGCTCAACAACCTGGGAATGAATCCCTTGTAGATTGCAGAAGTGGGCTTCCCGAGGTTCTGCCCTACGCATGATTGATTGTACCACCTGGGCAGGGCCGAGTTTTCTCGTCATAGGGCGTCCGGGCAATGCGTTGTTGCCAACACAACATCGATATGAAGTCGATCAGCTCGAGGCGAGGCGAGGCAAGGCGAGACCCTTTGAACAGCGAAAATAAGACGGACCGTAACGACAGCCCCGCTGATTTGCAAGATGCATCTCGTGAGACGATCTAGCACGTAAACCTCTGTAGTCCATGGCATCTACAGAATGTTCAGTTTGACGTCCAGCGCCGCAACCGCCAAAGCGGCCGTGAACACATGATCCCCATGAAATAGACGCAAAGCACGCCACACCGCCTTCCGCTCACCATAACACCAACAAAACTATTACCCACATGAAGATTCCACAATCCCTCTGTCCCACATGAATCCAGCACGACACACTTAGGCCGCGGCTTCAAGACGGTCCATCGGCGCAATACTATTCCGCCTAGAAAGCCCAGACCACCCCGCCTATCCAGCTACACTAACCCCAGAAGAGTCAACTCACAGCCAAACCCCCATGCGACCAGGGACCCCCCCCCCCAGCCAACCCTGCTCGAGCTAGGATAAGCTCCTCCAAGCGCTCGTCAACGACCACAATACCGTTAGCCACGTTAGGAGTTCCGTCTAACTACACTAGCGCACCGAATGTTCGATTCAAGAATCGATGAACATGGGGCTATTGGGTGTGGGTGGTTGGTCGCGCCAGGTTCTCGTCTTGCATGTCAAAGGCCGAACCGGGGACGGAGCGAGATTCCATCTTGGGCGCAAGGCTGTGCAGATTACAAGTGGCAGATATGTGGCCGCGGCAAAGTTAACCCGTTTGTGGGTAAGCTGCGGGCTGGGTGTGTGGTGCGAAGGTGATTGGGAGCAGGCAGTGGGAAAGATGTGAGGGGCCATTGGGGGTCTAGGTAGGTTTGATCTGTATGGTTTGGAAGATAGTGGTAGTGGTGGGTGATCGTTGATCGACAGGTATAGCGAGGCTGGTTCTAGATCTTGAATAGTGGATATGTGTGTGTGAAAATGGTTGAACAGTCATGAGCATGTTTTGGATGATCTAGATGGTTCAAGCACTGTCAAAATCGTGCAGTCATGCAACCAGATTGGTGTCCCTTGTCACAATTACAATTGCAGCGTCAGTGAGTGGGTTGGTACCGGTAAGGCTACCAACGTTATGTAGGTAAGATAGTGGAGTAAAGCAACAGTAACGCACTGCACAGCAAACGCACAGCAAAGTAACAATTGATGTCTCGTCCCCGTCTCAACACCTCTCACTTCAAACCCCCCGTCCCTGACTTTACTCAAAGTTGATCCACCTACACACACCCTACACATCTCCAAGCCCAATCCAAGCCCAATCCAAGCCCCCTTCCCACACACACACACACACACACACACACGCACACCTAACCCCTCATTACCTTCGTACCTGAATCCCCCCCCCCCCTCCACATAACCACAAAACATAGCTCCCACCACGACCCCTTGCACCAAACCCCTCTGCGTAACTTTCCAGACCACCGCGCCCACCCTCACCCCCTCCTCCATCTCCTGCATGCGGCAACCGCCACACCCATGTCTCCTCCGAATGCGCCCCAACTACCTACGCCCATTATGCTCCTCTCGTACTAGACATAATTCTCATACAAGCCTAGGTACTGTAGGTACCTCGTAACTGCACTGCACCTGCACTGTACTGCGCTGCACGCCTCTTTGCATGGACATGTACAGTACGGTGCGCTTGTAATTGGTTGGTTGTAGCTGCAGCATGGAACCGGGTAGCTTTAATCGATAGCTCGGTTCGGTGCTTTAGTTTTCATGCAACGGGGGGTTGTGCCTGCTTTCTCCGTTCCTCCTCCGTTCGTCTGTATCCCGGGTTTTTGTAGTTTGCGGTGCTTACACATAACTTGCATTTTGCTCACACCGCAAGTAGGTAAGACAGGTAGGTAAGACTGAACTAACTAACCTACCACCCCTGACATCTCCCCTATTCTCTTTCAAACATACACATGAAGCATAGCATGGCATAGCATCCTTCTCCCACAAGCGTACAGCACAGTCCAAACTCCTATCCCCACACTTCCTTCATTCCTTCCAGCGTGCGATGCAGCCCTCCATACAGTACAATCCTGCACAGAAATCCATCCCACATCCCCCATCTAAATCGTCGATGGCCCCCAAGCCCCCTCAACGCCACAGCCACAGTAGCGGATTGCCTCGGCAAATGTCGGTGCAGGTATCCGGATACGGATGGCTTGTTGGCTGCCTTAGCTGGTCAAGTTGACACCACGCTTAGGAACGGGCAATGCAGGTTGAATCACAGCGGAGTAAAGGCAAGGCGTGGGGTCTTTGTGCTTCGCGTCATGTTCTGGAAGGTTTATCAGACTTGCTAGACTATGTTTTGTTGGTTGACTGTTGTTGTGGTGAGACGGTTGTGGTAGGTAGGGAGTGGGATGTGCGTCTGTGCGGGTGCCGGGGTGTGGGGACCGGGGTAGGTAGTATAGATGGTTTATGAGTGTTGAGTGTTGTTTCGGTATGAGGGGAAAGACTTCAGGATTGTGTGATTGAGGGGTAAGAACAGTGTTTGCTTTGAAAAGTTTTACCTAGGGAGGGAGTAACTTGCTTGCGTGATTCCAAGTCATTGTTTGCTTCACCTCTCATCTCTCATTTTCATCATTCAACACCACCAACACCTACACAAACCCTTACCAAAACCCCCACCATGCACATCATCCCCCTCCCCTCTGCACAACCGCTTCCAAGCACCCGCGACTCCGACCCAAAAATAAGCCATCCGTTTGCCGGCCCAACCATCTAACTCAGGAAGGTGTATAACAGATAGGCCAAACGCGGATAAAACCGTCATCCTCCCGAACCCGGTACCGTACCTGTTTCGCATCCGTGCAGTTGCAGCGACACAGAAACGTAGCTCCGAGCGAAAATAGGCTGCGTTTACAGAGACCAGACCAGGACAGGGAGTGGGTAGGGGGGGCATGGAGAGGGAATGGGATGGGTGTACCCGGGAAGGAAGGCGGGATAACGGGCTGAAAGCAGGAGAAGCCAAGGATTTTCTTTCGCTAAGAACAACACCTAACGCTGCACCACGCCTTCGGAGCTTTGTTTGACGTGAGTAGTAGGTTATGCAACTTGGAGGGGGGTAAGCGAAGCGAGATATGCGGTTAATGGGTTGCGTTGGCGGTCTGTCTCTCACACTCTACTCTCTCGTATACTGTATGTTGGTCCGAACATGGCTCCATTGTTTTACTTCGTATCTGAAATTTGGTCTTTATGCTTACTTGCTGGGGCTACGCAACACACACCTATCCATCCACACACACACAATCGTGTTCCACTTTCCTACTCGGCCATGTCTTCCGCTTCCTCCTCTTTGTAGCTAACGCGCGCCGTGGCCCTACCAGACTTCTTCCGTGTGGCATCAGAGCGTGCATTTCGCTTCTGTACAGCAGGAGCCTCGTCTTCCGTCCTTACATCGCTAAGTGGAGGCGAGCTAAGCTGATCGTCGTCTTCGTCAGAAGCCGAGGGCGTGGGCACGGACTTTGGTGCTGCCTTCTTCTTGGTTGGTTTGGCTGCTGCCCGCTTAGCCGGCGTAGCCTTCTTTGCTGGTGCCTTGATGGGCGTTTGCTCTTCGTCGAGTGGACCTGCTTCGCTCGTCACAGACGCCGCGTCAGCTGCCGTCTTACGCTTCTTCTTTGCAGGTGTGGCGGCGTTCTCTGTTTTTGTCTTGATGATGCGTTTTGGGGGTCTGAGCCAGTCCTCCATGCCTGGAGGCCAGTATACTCGTCCCTCTGGTCCTCCCATACCTACTTCTTCGTCAGGGACTATTGGAGGAGGCTTCTCTTCTTCCTCTTCCTCTTCCGTTTTCACATCCAGCTCCTCGAGTTCATTCTTCTTCTTCCTGCTCTTCTTTGCCGCCTTCTTGGACTTGGGCTTCCACGGTCTATTCTCATCTTGTCGTGTATGGGGAATAATATCGTTGAAAGTCTCAAAGCCGGGAAGTTTAAAAGTTCGCATGAGTTCAAACACAGCCTGCTCCTTGTCCTTTGCCTCGATCATCAGATCCATGGTATCAGGACATGGAGGGAATGTCATGACACGCGGTGAATGCTTTCTCCGCGTTGTGCGAGTGATGGCAGCCGGCGTTGGTTCAGAGTAATGCATCTTGGGCGTGATCTTCTTCTTGTGCCATGTCTCAAGAATACGCGGGTAGAGTTCCATAATATCCTTGGTACCCTCGCGAATCTGAGTCTCGTCGAAAATGATGTTGTGATGGTGATAATCAAGCACAAATGGAATGTTGAGCTCCTCGCACAGAGGCAGTAACTCATGCACCGACCAGACAACATCGTCGTTCTCAAGTACCAGACGGTTCTTGACGCCCTGAGGAAGTCTGACATAGTTCTCCTTGAATCTTTCAATGGCAGCTGGCTTGTCGCCATATGCTCCACCCAGATGCATAATCATGACAGCATCTCGATTCTGCTGCTCTGGAAGCTTCAGGAGTGACAGCATCTCATCGTGATACTCCAAATCACGCATCGCATTGTCGATGACCTGCTTGCGTGGCGAGCCCAACTGCGTAAATTGGCCTGGATGCGTCGTCACACGATGACCCAGCTCTCCAATTACTTTGCCAACTTCATGCAGCGTATCAGCAGCAAACGGTTCCAGCTTGTAGCCATACTCGTCATGGCTGGCAAATGGAAACATTTCGCTGCTCAAACGCATAAACTTGATACCGTACTTGTCGTTCCAGCGCACCATCTTGATGATATCGCGGGTATTGGCGAGACCAATTTCCTCAACATACTTCATACCCCGCCCGACGTCGGCCGGCTGCTGCTTGTCAGGGCGATTCTTAGTGGCATGCTCAGGTTGGGAGGGGTCTTTCAGGGGATGGCGATGTTCGATGATGCTCGCAATCCGACATGTTCTGGAACTGAAGACGGGAGGATTCGCATAGCGGAGATACGTATTGAGACAAGCCTACATGCACGCTCGTTAGTTTAAATTAACAGGTACCCGCAGCACACATACATAACCCAATCGCCCTTTCCATGGAAGAGGAAGGTATTCGGAGTTGACAGGTGGGGGTCGAGACAAGGCTTCCTTGACCTCTTGCTCCTCATCTTCTCCGGCCTCCAGGCCGTCGGCGTCGTCTGGATCGCCAGGCACCCCGGCGCTGACTGCAGGGGCAATGGCGCTCTCAGCGGCTCCGACCGCGTTATCATCCTCTTCCACTTTGACCTGCTGCGCACCTGCCTTCTTTCGCTTGTTCTTTGCAGTAGTGGCGACAGAGGCTACACCGTTTGCTTTAGGCCAATCGCCGATGGCTGATGATGGAAGCACCTTGTCTTCCGTGGTTTCATCTGAAATGAGACTGGTGTCTTTTGCAACGCCATTGCTGACCGGAGACTTCAGAATCGAGTTGAGAGGGGCGTCTTCGTGTCCATCAAGCGACGCCCGTAACGCCGTGACGCTATCGAGTATGTCGGGATTGAGATTAGGGACCGTCTTCTCTGCTTTGCCCGCACGACTCGACTGGCGACGCGGTGGCTTTGAGACGTTTGACGGAAGAGGCACTTCTGTTTTGCGCATCTGGGTCCGATCAATCAAAGGAGGACCGTCTGTCACAGGCGCCGCAGCAGTAGCTACTGCCGACCTCTTTCGTTTGGGGGGCATTGTGAGAAGACACGAGGGCACACTCGAAGTGGGTATATAAGCCGGCACTCGAAAGGGTGTTCGGAATGCGACACGAAGGCTGATGCAGTGGAAAGAGCGTAGCATGTGCTCGAAACTCAAATGATGTCGCCGCACTTAAACAGCATAAGTAATGAGAAGGGGCTGAAACCTGCGATTTGCGCTGCCCACGCCATGCTGGGTGGCTAACGCGTCGAGCTCGCGAAGACGTCATTGACAATTGAAGTTTGTGTTATGACGGCTGGTGTTTGTTCGATCGGCTCCCGATCATAGCGCGATCGCCCGTCATTATTGTGGTTTTCGAAATACCTTGAGCCGCCTGGATCTGGTTAGCTTGGTGCCCAAGAACATCAACTCCCATAGTAATTTGTTAGTAAATTAATGCAGCAGCCGTTTCCCACCTCCAGAAGCCCATGAAGCTAGTCCTGTACTCTAAATCGTTCGTGTATAGCGTTTTGTTTGTGTGGAGCTTGTTGCGAGCTCAATCTAGCTGCTGTTGGGATGCCGCCCAAGCGCCAGCGTAAGCCGAAGCAGCCATTCGATCAAGGCGTTAACCCGTCCTCCCAGAAGCGTAGAGCGCCAGCAACTAGACAAAATCCTACCCATTTAACGCCTAAACGTGTCCGCCGTGAGGCGCTGCCGTCGCCTCCAGCGACTGCCCCGCCGCGCCGTCAAAGCCCGTTGTCCGAGCCTGAGCTGCAAGCCACCCAAACAGCTGCCTCCGCGCAAGCTGAAGATATCGTTGGCGAGGATGAGGATACTTTCGAGGATGGAGATGGCGATCCGCTGCCTGAGGATGAGGATGAGATCGCTGCTAAGGGCGCTGCCGGTAGTGTTGAGGATGAGGGAGAGCCAGCGTACCGACGTCAAGAAGGCACTCCATGGCTGCCTCGCTCATCGCAAGCGCTAGAGGATGAGGTTAATCCTGTACTGCGCGTTAGGTGGAGGGCTTGCCTTGGTGGTGATATGGAGAAACACTTTATTCCTGAAGCTGCCGATAGCGAGCACGGCGTACGGCTGTACTCGCTGCATTTCGACGACCTATGGCAGTGGGTAGATGACGTTGTTGCAGAATTACGGCCAAAAAGAGCGAAGATCTCATCTGTTTGCACTGTTGTTTACCCAGCTAAGCAGGCCAAACGCGAGCGCGCGATAAAGCGATTGCGGCGAGGTGTTGATGCAACGTGGAATAGCTTTCAGCGCCTTGTTGTAGAGGTTGATAACTATGTCAGCGAGCCAGTAAACGTCGATTTCGAGCTCATCTTGGCTGAAATTCCAGGGGAGCAGCAGCCGTTGCCAACGGTTGTCGACGGTCCTCGTCGACGCACCGCAACGGTGATTCAAGAGGAGGGGCTTGCTGGTGTAATAGCAGCTGAACAAGCAGGTAGCGGGCATGCTATTGCTATCCGGGATAGATGGCGCTGTACAGATACCCATTGCGAGAACTATCCTTATTGCTGCTGGATGGCGCCAACAGCGAGGCAGCCAGCGCGCTTCGAAGATCACCTCTTTGTCAACGGCAACATTATCTCCATGTGGGCAAGAGCAATTACAGCGAGAAGGGCAACGTACGATGAGCCATCTGATGATGTACGGCTTGCAATTTTGAGAGCAAAGGACCTGCGGGTGCATGAGAAAACGCGCAAGTTGCGGGCGGCTGGAGATGGCGACGATGATATCAAAAGCTTAACAAAACTGCTCATCGTTGGACAGCTTGAGCGGATGAACAGGCAACCTCAACAGGAGTCTAACTTGCAGGCAGCTGCACCAACGATAACAAGAGCTGAGGTATCTAGTGCATCTCAGTGGGCGCCTATCCGATATGATCATGAGCAGGAGATTAACGAGCATACTAGTAATTTCTTTAACTACCTTAAGTTAAAATTTCCTACAGTTGGAGAGGACATTAACGAGCTTTATAAGACTCTTGTTATTGACGGAGCTATGGATATCAACCTCTTGATGCAGCCATCTGGTGATATCTTGAAGTTGTGGACGCAGCATTTCAAGCAGCCTCCTGGCTGGTTTTTCACGCTACAAAACACTGCAAAAGAATGGCAAGCTGGGTACCAGGGTCTCACAGATCGTAACTGGAGACGAGTCGAACGTTGTAAGAAAAGAGAAGAGATTGCGCGCAAGAAATTGGTGGTTGAACCGTCTAGCAGTGTTGTGGAGGATGATGGCGAGAATGCTTGAAGCTTAGTGGCCTGAGCGTTTTTGGTGACAGCGGCCCGTGCCCGCTATAGTGTTGAGGTTTTTCAGGCGTTTCAAATGCGCTGCAACAATAGTCTATTTGGATAGCCCTATGTACAACACTACAACGTTATGCGATTATAACAGGTTAACTTCCTAAGATAGTTCTATATGTATAGAAATAGCTCTTATTTTTTTAGAATTATTAAATCGCTTTTGTGGGTTGCGCATTAAGGTGTAATCGTTCGCATTTGTATGGTATCATCTACCTATAGAAACGTACTGTGGCATCCATTTAAAAGCACAATTAATAGGGATAGCCACACCTATGGAACCAGCTTCTGCAGTTAATATTACAGCACACCAGCTGCGCTGCATACTCAAGAAAGACCCCAAAGTCAATGAAGTTCTCCGCTTGCGCTGAATTCCTTTTCATCCACCCCTTGAGCTGCTTAAAGCTCTTCTCGATGGGGTTGAAATCTGGTGAGTATGGCGGCAGATACTCAAGGAGTACTCCAGCACTTTGGCAAAGCACCCGTACACGCTCTGATCGATGGATGGAGGCGTTATCAAGCACGATTACTGAGGCTGGCCCTGGGTGAGGATTGCAGAACGGCAGCACTTGAAACTCTAAGAAGTCTTCTAGGATCTCAGATGTAATCGCGCCTTGAAAGATCTTATAGCTTATGTAGCCATCTATCGTCATGGCTGGCAGCAGCGACCACCGTTCTGATCGCCTGAAGCTGTGTGATAGCTCCACCGGCTCCCCGATTGGAGACCAGCCATACTTGCGGTCGCCCGTACGCTCATTGCAGGCGCTCTCGTCCAACGCAACGATCTGCTCCGCCTTATAGTGTTGCGCCATCCTGGCAAGATAGAGGCGGCGGAGTGGCTCACTCTGCTCCTTTGCCCGCTTTGTTGCAAGCTTGCGAGACCATCTCATCTTCTCTAGCTCTCGGTAAACGCTCGCAAGGCTTATCCTAACGTCGTACTCGTCGTACAAGAAGTCCCTCATCTCATCCATGTATGCGCCCGGTGAGCCATTGAGGTATGCCTGAAGGCCTTCGCGCTGAGCTTGCCGGAGTATAGATGGCCGCCCAAGTCGAACGCAGCGCGGCGGATAAGGCACGCCCCAAAACTCTAAGCTCAACCTCAGCTTTGCTACTGTGTTACGGCTCGCACCTGTAGCTCTAGAGATGGCTCGATCACTTTCGCAGGCAGCAATTCGGTCGAGGATAGCCTGGAGAACAGCGGGCTGCAAGCGGTGGCCGGTGCCTGGCATCGCGATGAGATGGGCTCGAGAAAATTGCAACACCAAAAACGCGAGTCAGTAGAGGCGATCGCAGCAAACAATGAACTTCAAATACGTTGTGGGTGTTAGAAAGCGTGGCTGCATCGATTTACTAACAAATTACTATAGGAGTTGATGTTCTTGGCCACCAAGCCAACCAGATCCAGGTGGCTCAAGGTATTTCGAGAAACACCCATAGTGAGATCTCATCCCTGTAAACCCACCAGCCTCCGACTCAGAACACTGCCAAATTCATCACTATGCATTCTCGTCGCTATAGTTATGAATGTAGTTTTGAAAAAGCATTCTCGATGCTTATTTGCCCTTTTTCGCTGTGAGATACATGAAGAACCCAAGAAATAACCCCTCTGTACTACATCCCAGGCTCAAATACTAACAAAGAAACTCTTCTCTCCCTTCTTGGGCTCGACCCACGCACGCTTCAATATCGGATCTGCACAGCTGATCCTTATACGCTCCGGGGTAGCCGGACTAACCAAGTGCAGCACCTCAGTTTCCCCAAACTGCGCGCGAGCAGATTTGAGTGCATCGCGAATAGCGAAGAAGACAGCTGAGCCCATGAAGAGGGGTGGTTCGCCTACGAAGATGTTAGCTCAAGCACATAGACGGAATAAAATGACAAAACTTACCAACACCCCTACTCCTCTGAATAGTTCTCAGATTCTCCCACTGCACATCCTTGAGCAAACTGAGATTGAACACCTGCGGTATGTCTCTGAAGCCAGGAATCTTGTAATTGCCCGGTCCCTTCGTCGCTATGCCACCCGTTCCCCTGAGCCAAAGACTCTCTTCAGTAGTGAACAAGCCCTGGCCCTGAACAAACGCGCCTTCGATCTGGCCGTAGTCGATGGCCGGGTTGATGGAGCGACCGACATCCATCTTGATATCGGCGCGACGACAAGTCCAGTCACCAGTCAGGGTGTCGATTTCAACCTCAGCTGCTGCAACACCTTGAGTGAAGTAGAAGAACATTTGGCCAGTGTTGGCGCCCCAGACGTAGCCGATGTCGGGTGTTTTGTAGAAGCCTTGGGCGGAAAGGTTGACACGGTCAAAGTAAGCGGCGTGAGCCAGTTCCTTCATGGTCGCGTTGGGGCCAAGCTTCTCCTTGAAGGGTGCAAGGCGCTCGTTTAGTTGTAGACAGGCGTTATGAATGGCGTATCCGTTCAAGTCTGAGGAGGCAGAGGCGGCAGTCGAGGAGCTGTTCGCAACGGTGTTTGTCGCCGTCTCGCTGATGAATACGTCCGCGAGTGGTACTCCCAGCGTCTCAGCTGCTATCTGCGTCATCTTCGTGTGCAGCCCCTGACCCATTTCTGTTCCACCATGTGCAACAAGAATGCTGCCATCATGATAGATGTGTACCAGCGCGCCAGCTTGGTTTAAGAAGAGCGCTGTGAAGGAGATACCGAATTTCGTCGGTATGATGGCGAGACCGCGCTTATTCCACTTATGCATCTTGTTCCATTCTTCAATTTCTTGCCGGCGCTGTGCGTAGAAAGACTCTTCTTGCACCTGCTTGTACATCAAAGGAACATACCAGTCCTTGATTTCCTGGTTGTAGTGCGTTATCATGTTCGTTTCGGGTGAGTACATGTTTATTTCCCTCAGTCTCTCAACTGGAATGTTGAGGTGGTCGGCAATTTCTTCCATGTAAGTCTCGGCGATGAACATTCCCTGTGGTCCACCGAAACCACGGAAGGCTGTGTTGGAGACTGTGTTGGTCTTTGCGACGCGGCCACGTACGTGGATATTAGGTATCGAGTAGACGTTGTCGATATGCGAGAGAGACCGCTCGACAACCGCACCAGAAAGGTCTTGACTCCAGCCACCGTTGCAGAAGACGTCTGCATCGAGAGCTTGCAGTTTTCCGTCCTTGTTGACAGCTACTTTCCACCGAGCAAGGAAGGGGTGTCGTTGTCCGGATGTCATGATATCCTCGTCCCGGTTCAGCATACAACGTACAGGTCGGCGGACCTTGTTCGCTGCGCAGGCCACAATACCAGCGAGTTGAACAGAGCGTGTCTCCTTACCACCGAAACCGCCACCCATACGCTTCACGCGAGTGACAATCTTGTTCGCAGCAACACCAACCACCTTGGAAACGTAGGCTTGTGTCTCTGCCGGATTTTGTGTACTGCTGAAGATTTCCATCTCGCCATCTTCTGGCTTTGGAACTGCCAGACAAGCCTGAGTCTCGAGGTAGAAGTGCTCCTGTCCACCCATTCGCGCAACTCCAGTGAAGACGTGATCAGCCTCGGCGAATGATTTCTCAGTATCTCCTTTTTTAATATGACGGAAGTGGTTGAAGTAGCTCTCTTTCTGGATAGCCTCTTCAATGGTGAAGATCGCCGGAAGCTCCTCGTACTCAATCTTGACGGCCCGCGCAGCTTGCTCCGCATGCTTTGCGGTATCTGCCAGGATCATACCAATAGGCTGACCGGCTGTGAAGACTTCATCAATGGCGAAGAATGTCTCGTCACAAGCCGGCGCACCCCACCAGTTGGATTCGGGTGTTGCCAAATCATTGTGATCAACATACGCAACAACGCCAGGTAGCTCTAGCGCAGGTTCTGCGTCAACTGAGAGCAACTTCGCGTGCGCCTTGGTTGACAGTACCAAGCATCCGTAGAGCTCATTCCTTTGCAGTGGGATATCGTCCGTGTACTGCGCTTCACCTGTACATTGCTTCATAGCCGCGACGTGATTCTTCGATTGTCCAACTTCGTTTTGGATGTACGCCTCCGCGGCCTTCTTATCCTTCTCGCCCTTGCTGATATCTCTTTCAATCTCACCAATAGCTTGGGTGTCAATCTCAACTTCCTCAGCATGCAGTTCAGCCAAAACTTCATGATAGAACTTGTAGAAGAAACCAAGAGCAAGAGTCTTTCTGTACGTGGCCATACCACCTGGTACGCCGAATCGCAAGTCAAAGTCTTCCTCAAGCTTGTCCATGACACCTTCCAGCGTTTTGAGGTCGGCAAACTTCTTTCCCTGGAGGAAGTCCATTGCTTTCCGCGCGTGGATCGTCGTGGGTGCCATGCCACCGTACACCAAATCCACACTCTCGACAGTATGTTGATCGTCCAGTGTAATCCTCAGTGCTGCATTCACAATTGCAATGTCGTCGTCCTTTCTTTTCGCCTGTTTATAGGCACGGATATATTCACCCTTCTCTTTCGCCACTGGGATCTTTAAACCAGCGATCACCGCATCTGGTGGCAGTGCAGTCTGCCTATATCCCTTGAAGAACGTCGACATGGGAATCTCCGTCGTCTCCTTGAGGCTCTTGGCCACGAGCGTTGCGTTCGTGGCGACAAAAACCGGATTCAAATCTGAAATGGGACTCGCTGTCGCCAGATTACCTGCTGGTGTTCCTACGTTCCTGATCTGTCGTCCGGCGAAGTATCGAATCTGCTTCAAAATGGTCGCAAACGGCTGGCCCTGTACAGGCCCATAGTGTTCAAGAGCATCTTTACAAATTTCCTCGAGGTCAGTGAGAACAACATTACCACCAATTTCGAGGTGGTCGTTATGCAACTTAAACTGTCGTAGCTCTGCAATATCTCCAACAAACACTGAAGCGTTGTAGTTCATGCCCTTGAACTTGATCTCAATCTGTGTCTCCGTCGAGCCACCGATGAGCTTCGCTGACGGATACGCATCTTTGATCTCTAGTAGCTGTTGCAAAGTCGTCGGTCTGAACCACCTCTTCTTCTTATTACCGAATGCCAGAGGCTTGAACTCGTGTTTTCGTAGTTGTGGGGGGAATATCAATTCTGTATCCGGCTTGTACTCGATGAATCCCGGTGGTGTGAACCTCTTGATAGGTTGGTCCTCTCCGTCTGTCCTATTCTTACAGCAGCCTCCTCCATTTGCACCATCTTTTTCCATGCAACATCCACCACCGCCATTGGCCTTTGCTTTGCCACAGCCCGTCTTCACACTGAAGCTCTGTGCCGCATCCAATATAGGTCTGTATCCTGTACATCTGCAAAGGTTGCCATCAAAGGCCTCCTCAACCTCAAGTTCGCTCGGCCCAACATTATTGCGAAGGAGCGCATACAAGGACATGACTATGCCGGGAGTACAGAACCCACACTGGCTACCATTGCCCTTTGCTATGCGCTCTTGTGCCGGATGTGGTCGCTTTACATTGCCGATTCCCTCGACTGTTATGACGTGTTTGCCATCTATGCTGACGAGCGGTGCGAGGCATGCGTTTACGGAAGCGTGGTATATCTTCTTGGTAGTTGGATTGAATTGTGACACAACCTACAAGCGGTCAGTCTTCATGTTGAGTATCCCTGATTACACCCATTCCCTCAACAAAAAACCAAGAGAGCATACATACCACCGTACAAGCACCACATCCACCCTCTGCACATCCCAACTTCGTTCCGGTCAACCCAATCCCCCTCAGGTACTCCAGTAGCGTGACCTCAGGATCCGCACTGTCCAGCACCACCTTCGTCCCATTAAGGTAGAACCTCAACGTATCATCGTACTCGGCCGTCACTTCATGGAGCGACTTGGTGGCCTCTTTTGACACGGCAGGTTGAGGGGAGACAAGACCGGGCGCCATGTTTGCCACACAGACTCGTCTGTGGTTTTGTTGGAAGGAAAGACAAACAAACGTCACGGTAAGAAACGAGGAAAGCAGGAAGGAAGAAAGAAGGGAATTGTGTGGGGAATATCACAAAACAAAAAGCAAATGTCAAGCTTGCCCTTCAAAGAGCTGTCCAGGGTTCTGTCTAGAAGCCTGCTGGTGGGGAATGTGTCAAGCTAGATATGACAAGCGTGTGTGGACCGCGGCTTGGAGTCCACCTGTTACATTGATCACTTGGGTAGCTCTAGTTGCGAATAAGCCGAGTCCAACGAATCAGCGACGATGTGTTTGTCTTATCTTCGGAACGCGCAGTTACGCGCTCCTGGTGCAGAAGCTCCGCGCGCAGGAGCTCGCCGATGGCCGTAGTTCGCGGTTTGCCCCTCCTTACCGCCCCACTCCGTCGCCGCTTTCATATGTAGCTTAGCGTAGAATAAGCACGTGAGCGGCCAATGCCTGGTGCCGCAGTTTCTGTCATAATAGTGGCAAGATCAGTGCTTAGTTGTGGATTCTCTGATAGAGAGCAGGCATATGCATAAAAGAGGGTCGAATTTTGAACAATCAATATAATTCCATAATGTACTATACAAATCCAAAAATACATCTCATCGTTCATGCTCCCACGATCCTGATTATACTCCAATCATTCTGATGGGGAACGGTAGCACATCGGAGCCTGCCGACAGAGTCGCAAGAGAGGACGACTGAGCCTAGGTCTACATGCCCAGATTAGGAGCATGAAGACAATAAATGCTTTTGATAATGAAAAACCGAACAAGGATTTAAACACCCTATCCGCATGGACAATGGCTATTCCAGTGATAGTCACGGTACATGCGATCAAGTGGAAGGTACAGACGATGAATGCCACGAGAGACGCTTGAAGGCCAAATAATGCACCATTGATCGGGACGCAAAAGGTATAATGTGGGCGCACAGTTACTCGGTAATTTCGTAGACTTGAGGGTTTGCAGCAGTCATCCATGAAGCAGGCATAGATCGAGCAATGATCACGCAAAGCAGGCGACAGCCACAATGATGATCCGTCGTAAGAAGGTTTAAGGCCATGTAATCGCGGGCAGGGTTCGAAAGACGGCCAAGTGATGGGAGAGCATGGAGTGCAAATGAGTCATCTGCAAGTCATGGCGCGCCGACTATGCGCAAGTCAAGAAGGTCGAAAGGGATCCAGAAAATCGGGTATAGTCATGCCAGGGCCAGCAAAATCCAAGTATCGGTCATGCAAATAGGCAGCATTCGGTGAAGTTCAGCAAGACATGCATCGGTCACAGCGACTACGTGGCAATTATGCGCCTGGAGGTCCTTGGGCACCTTGACCGCCTTGTTGTTGCTGAGCAATGGAAGCATACCACATAGCCAGATAGTTCTGGTAGCCGCCATAAACAGCATATGGATCAGCAGCAGCACCGCCGGCAGCAGGTGCAGCCGCCTGTGGAGGCTGCGCTGGCGGAGCGCTTTGTCCGTAGGACGGTGTCTGTTGATGTGAGTAGCCATTGTCTTGATTTCCGTTATCACGTCGTCGCGAGTTGTTCTTCTCTCGCTGTCTAGTATTAGCAACAATCAATGACAAACAATCTTGACGAGACACTCACCACTTGATCAACCTTCTCCCAGATAGCACGTTTGGCATCATCAATAGCCTGGCGAGTTCCGACGAGGCCAATCTCGCGCTCGATATCAGCACCAGAAGCTTGCGAAACATTAATCTTGCACCCTGTCTCGGACTGCATCGATTTGATAGTTTCACCACCTATGGTTTGTTAGTACGATACATCAAAGGGGATCACATTGCTATTACCTTTGCCAATAATCATGCCAACGGCGTCAGAAGGAACATGAATGCTGTCATTGATCTTGCCTGCAGCTGCACCTGCAGCTGTGCCTCCGCCGTAAGGGTCGAAGGTTTCACGCCTGTTGTTGAATTGTTGTTGCGGCTGCGGCTGCTGGCCACCGGAGCCTTCCATTTGCTTAGTGTCACTATCGACAATCTCCATGATGAGCTCCTTAGCATGAGCAGCAGCAGTGGGACTTCCAATGAGGTTCACAGGACGGAGACCGTTCACACTCTTGTTTTCACCGACAATGTTGACGTGGCAGCCACTGCGCTCTTGCAGATCACGGATAGTTTCACCACCACGGCCGATGATGAGACCAACAGTACGATCAGGCACCATAATCTGGGACGATTGTTCACCCTCTCTAAGAGCAGGTTGTTGCTGACCAACCGTCTTAGCGGCAGGCCGTGCATTGCGGCCCGTCTCACGAGCAGGGTTGCCACCATTCTCTTCGATGATACGGTTGATTTCGCGCTTTGCACTGATACGAGCACCAGGACTACCGGTTATACGGCACTCGCGTTGAGGTCCGGATTCGGGGCCGTTGATGAATTGAATACGAGTCTGGGATTCTTGTTCAATGCGGCGAAGACTCTCACCTTGACGTCCAATGACCAAGCCAACCAACGAAGAGTCAATGAGAATCACCTCAGAGTTGTCATTAGCGGGGGGCGAACGCGCCTGCCCGTATTGCTGCGAGGGAGAGAAGGTGTCACGCCTAGGGGGGGAGCGATCACGTTCACGCCCATAGCCGCCTCTGCGCTCATCACGGCGCTCGTCGCGGTATGGGTTGTAGCTTTCACGTGCTGCTTCTCGGCGCACCGGAGATCGCGAGCGCGACCGAGAGCGTCGGTACGGCTGTCGTCCGCTAAGTCGCGGATCTTCCTGATAAGCTGCAGCCGTGTAAGTTTGCGCTGGGACACCATAACCAGACCAAGGTTCAGAGATACCTGGACGCGCTTCATGTGCAAGGCCTTTTTGGGCCGCAAAACCGCGCGCCTTTGCCAGCGCATCCTCGATGCTCACCGAGCCAGAGCTCACGGGCTTGATGGCACTCAGATCAAGACTACCAGAGTGTGTGGGAGTGGGGAAATTATAGCCATGCATTGCAGGTGGAGTGGCACTAGGCATTGCGCCAGGGAACCCGGCTGGCAAGCCTTGCGGAGGTGCATGCTGTGCCTGTTGGGGCTGCTGGGGCGCTGCAGAGGGGGTAGCTGAGGGATGGGCGGCTAGTAATTCAGTCAGTACGCTGCTTGGATCGACAATGAGGGCTTAAAAAGACGCACCGAGAGCCGCGAGAATCGCGTTCAGATCGGGGGTGGCCATGGTGAGATGCGCGTGACCAGCAGATCGACGGCGACGCTTCGATGCTGATGAAGGACGAAGAGGGGGAAAAATCCGCAGTTGAGCTGGTTGCGCGGTGATTGTCAGTTGGGTGGAGATCTTTGTCGCGGCGAAGAAAGAAAGAGGAGTCGAGTAGCCTGAGCACGCTAGACTGGCTAGCGCCGTCCTAGCCGAGCCCTGGAACTGCCCAGTTGTACTTCACTTATGCGTCCGAGTACGCATCACTCCAGGGCTTGGGACCCCCGGAAAAGGAAACAAAGACTCTGTCGAGTACAAACAGCTTATTGTCTGAACGCCGTAATATCTATAACGACTTATGCTATGCTACCATTGATGAAATCCCCTCCGGTCTATAGAGATAGACATATGCATCGCATCCTGCGTAACAATCCATAACACCCTGCTCCTGCTCATGCAAGCTATCCAAACTCTTGTCCTACTCAAACTGACGTAGTCGTACACTGTTTGCCCTACCGCAGGCATCAACAGTGACAAAGTGCAAATCTCATCCGAAAACCAAGGCTGCCGAAGCACGACGACCAACAATCAACAACCAAGGCCCCGTCCAGGATGCGCTCTGGACGAGACAAATGTGTATATAGACATTAGAACTGAATCAAAGGGCGATCGACGCTACAGAATAGATCTGATCCCCAACGGGTGGCGGCGCCTGCGTGCTATATGCAGGTCAACCCAGACGCCTTCTATGCAGACATGAGGCCCTAATCCGGGCTTACTTCATCATCTGTGAGATGTTGTTCCATTTCTGCTTGAGTGCTTCGTGTTCCTCGTTGATCTGGTGCCATCGTTAGCTGTGCTCGATTCGTGCTAGTTGTGGACTTACCGTGGCCCATTGCATCTTGACCGCCACCAGCTCCTTCTCCATCTCGGCCATGGACTCTTCCAGGTTGCGATTCTCATTGTGAACGACAATGTTCTTCTGCATGACTGTTTCCATCTCACTCTTCAGTCTTGCCTCGACCTCTGCAGGCTGTGTGTCAACAATCTTTTGCAGCTCTTCAACCTTGGTCCGAAGCGCTTCGTTTTCCTCGGCAAAGTTTTCGTTCTCGACCTTGGTCTTGATCAGTTCAGAGGCGACCTGAACGTGCTCCATGTCTGACTGCTCAGTACGGTGTTCCAGCGATCGGACCTTCTGTTCCAAAGAGGTGACCTTGTCTTTGAGCCCATGTAGCTCAGTTTCACGCTCCTTCTCTATCCGTTGCTGTTCTTTCCACTCGACCGTATACTGTTTGAGCATTTCTGGTGTAACTTTGACAGAGGTTGCATCCCTCACGAGTACGTCAGCGCGGTAAACTTCCTTGTCAACACCAGCCGTGGAACCAAAGAAGCCATTCTCAAGGATCGAGTTCGCCGAAGGAGCTTTGTCAATGTATACGTCAAACAGCCGCTCCTTGAGGAAAGTCGTGAGCGTCGACATGTCCTTCATGCCCAGCAGCGCTTCTGCGTTCTTCTGCATGAGTACAATGCCAAACTTCAAGATCGCAGACTCCAGTCCTTCGCTGAGAATCAAGTCATAGATACGCAGAACTAGCTGTAGCGGGAAGCGGTATGCGAATAGAGTGAGGAACCACTGTGTTGCATATAGTTGGGGCTTGACCTCCCTGCGGCGGAGATGGCAATAAAGGGCAGGTTCAAAGTCTTCCAAAAGACGTTCGAACTGGTAGAGATGTAGGTGGAGTCCGGCCATATCTGCGACAAACAAGTCGCGCAGGTGGTATTTGTTCATCAGCGTTACAAAAAGACTGAAAGCTTCTTCCTCTGGCATGTTGAACAGTAGAGGCATAGCAATAAAGTTCATGCCTTGAGCGTAGCCAACAGCATCATCGTACAGGGCGTAGGCTTTGCAGATGCCGAAAAGGCCGTCTTGTAGACCGGCTGCCATGACGTACTTGGAGTAACTGGTTCGCGCACCCAGGTCGCGTTTGATGACCTTTTCCAGCTTGGAGATGGCCGCCACGCTTAGCTTCCTTTCCGCAGCAATTCTTGCTTGTGTCTTGGCTGGGTCGTCGGAGGAGTCGGAGGCAACGGATGGCGAGCGCAACGGTACGTTTGTGCTTGTGGTGGTGGTGGCTGGGCTCGAATAATCGGAGTGGACAGAGGAAGAGGACGAGGCAACCGATTCTTTTCCGTTTCCATTCGTTTGGCCGTTGCTGGCGTTGGTCGGCTTAACGCTCATTTGCTCCTTGTCCGTTCCCCGGGCTACAAGCTCCCTGTACATGCACTCGAGCTCTTCGTTTTTGCTTTGTGCCAGAACTTGCCATATGACGCCACGGATGACCTGAGGGATGCCATTTGCGATGGCACGATTGAGTTCCTCGGGACTAGTACGCGCAATAGCTGCTGGGCCCTCGTTGACAACCGACTGCCACAGATCCCAATCCACAGGCTCGGCCGAGTCTCCTGCCGGACCTGCGGCAAATCCAGACGCGGTTCCAGGAGCCAGCTTCGGGTTGATGGTGGGTTGTTTCTGGAGCGCGGGCGGGCTGCCTGGTTCGTCGTCGGACAAGCCAGTGGGACTGCCAATGCGACTACTCGAGCGCGCGTGGAGGATGGGCGGTGCCGTTGAGGGGGTGCCATCGGAGTTTGTCTCGTCGCTTAGTGTTATGCCCGCCTCCTCCCTCATGCGTAAGAACTTGAAACGGTCGCGAAGGCTACCCTGGCTCGATCGGTTATTCGTACGCATATCGCCCTCGTCATCAATTCTACTCAAGGTAAGTTCAGGATTGCTGCCAATGGTCGCGATCGAAGCTCCTGTGTGTCGCTTCTCTGCTGTTGATGTTGTAGTGGTGGATTCGGGCTTCTTGCTAGAACTGTTTCTCGATAGCCATGCAAATGGGCCTGTGAGTTTTCTTGTCGGTGCTGGCGCGGGCTTCTCCAGGGTGGCTGGTGGGGCAGGAGGTGGAGGGAATTTGACGGGTGACATTCTGCCGGAAAGGCCTTGCAGCGAGCTCGTCGAGTCCTGGGAGGCTCGTGGTGGAAGTTTCGGCCCCGAGCCAGGCGTCTTTGTGCCTTCTGTATCATCATGTCAGTTCCAGTCGAAGAAGTTTGCCAGGTTCCATGTATAGAGTGAGCATTCACAACCCTCTGTTGGCTCCAAACGGGGGGTGGTACTTGCCTCCTTCTAGCGATACATCGGTCATGTCTGATGTTACCGACACGCGATGCGCTGTGAGCAGAGGCGAATTTGCTGCCGGTGCATCGTCGCTGTGTTTCTCAGCCAGCTTCTCAACCGGCTTCTCAACCGGCTTCTCGATGACTTCAGGCTCGCTTTCCGATTCGTCTGAGTCGTCATTGCCTTCCTTGGGCACTGCGGGTACTGCAGGCTGCGGCGACGTCGGCCTGGCTTCCTGAACCGTCGACGACGATGACTCACGCTGCAGCAGCGACCGTGACCGTGACTGCGCGCGTTCGGTATGTGAGGGCTCGGATCGTGAATCTGGGCGAGAGTTGATTTCAGGAGCGTCTTCGAAGCTGTCCTACACCGCCGCATGCCAGTTAGCAAGCTTTCACGGCAAATGCCCTCGTCTGGCAGGCTGGTATAGGGGCATGATGCGTACCCCCTCCTTCTCGGAGCTGTGTGAGCTCGTAGGCCTCTCGGGCTTGTCGTCCATGTTTACAGAGGTGGGCTGGGCAGGCTATTGAGGCTTGGGGAGTAGTATTTTGAAAAAGGCAGCTGCAGTCGATGCAGTGTAACGTCTAGTTGGAGCCAGGTACAGAATAGAGATTAAAAAGCAGTATGTTGGCAGGTTAGCGAAAAAAAGTCCGTGGCGAGGGGCGCAGCGTGCTTGTTGGGGTGCATGTGCAATTAGGAGCCGGCTGCGGGATAGACGTGGATGGTGAATTAGAGAGTGGACCCTGGTGGCCGCGGCCTGGGACTTTGGGGAAGGGAGCACTCGATGCACACTACCCTACACCCACTTCAACACCAACACTTGGCTGTCGCACACGCAACTGGGCGTGTCAGTGAGCTGATCAGGAGTCTGGGTGACGTCGGCAATTCTCAGCCGCATCAGCAATTCCACTGCCAGCTGGCCATATCGCCCTTTGTTGTTGTACGCGGCAAACAGCCCACCATGCGCCCGCCAAACTTAAGGTTAATCTGAAACGTGCACTAATGCGGCCACTGCCTACGCTCACGAATCGAGGCTTACATTGACCCGACCTCACACGCGACAAGCAACCTGACACTGTAGGAGCCTGTGGAGGGGTGGTGACTCTTGAACTCTTCGAGCCGACACCGTCGCATTCGCGAATCTGAGACGCCGACTATCAAACCACTGGCTCCACCGCATCATAATACGAAAAAGCCCTAGGACAGGTGTGTACTGGTACAGTACTTTTGTCAGTGTACTATTCCATCATCCTATCTCTCAACAACAGCCCTACCTACACCCCTAGTCTACCACTGTCCATGTGCTTTGTTCCTCCTTCCTATTTTGCCTTACTATTCCCCATCTATTCTTAGCGCAAACGGCCGACACGCAGTCTGGCAAGACCATAGACATTCATGCATCCCTACTCTAGCAAACGTTTGTTTTTCGCTGGCACGGAGCACTGAATGTGCTCCCTTATATCCAGGGACCAGCACGCCGGCAAACGACCCACAGCATGGCCAGAAGAATTCATGCGTACGTGGTCCCCATAAGCAAACGTTTGTTTTCCGGGGTTGTGGAAGCATGGTCCCAGGGTTCCAAGCTGTGTCAAGGTCTACCCGCAGGCCACTTCCCCGTTGGCTAAAAATAAAACCTGGCTGCCGTCCAGACTTAACATGTCTCCTATACAGAAACATTGGAACACAACCTCGATCGCCGGACTTCGGTCGCAAACATGACCGATTAAACCGCAAGAAACACTCGAAATTTGCATTCACATGTTTTGAACTGATTGGTATGACGTCAAATACTACGAGCCGGGTATATGTACAGTACAGAGACTCTTAGTCTTCGTTCCTTTACGCGTAAGGAGTGTCCAAGCGTGCAATTACGAGGTGGGACTCGTGCACAGCATCTAGACCTTTCCTAATCTCCTTCCAATTCCTTTTACTGCACACACTGAGAGTACCACTCATTCTGCTTAACACACTTAGCAGACCCCTCACAAGTCGTAGGACCCGTAAACCCCTGGCCACCACACTTCTCCCAAATCTTAGCCGTCCCAACACTTGCCTTGGGGACAGTACCAGTCGGAGCAGCAACACCGGGTGAAGGCCGAACAAGAGTAGCGAAGCCAGTAGGAGCGATGGTCGAAGCGCTGGGCAAGGTAGGACTCCCCGACGGAGCGACAGTAGAGTTGGAAGCCGGAGAACCAGAAGCCGGAATACCATCACCACCACTTCCACCACCACTTCCCCCACCGCAAACAGCAACAGGACCCCCAGGCGCCTTATAACTCCCCACTTCGAACCCACTGTAAACATCCGGAATATAAACACTCTTATCCTCCGCCTTGTACGCCCCTGGCAAACTAATCGTAGGTCCACAGGCCTCGCCCTTCCCACGTTTTTCACTCTTCCCACTCGCCTTACCCCCTTCAACCTTCAACTGCGCACATCCCACATAAAACTCCGCACCGCCCACCAACTGCGCATTATGCAACGCCACCATCTCACTCCTGAGCAAATACTCGCCGCTAGCTAACCCCTCCGGCAAGCTAAACTCATGCGTATAATTCTCCCCAATCATAACCTGACTCGCCCACTTGCCCCCCACACTATCCAGTTCGTCAATCTTGAACCATCCCGCGCCCTCACCACTTGTTTGCGAGGCATCGTCCACGGGGCCGTATAGCATGTGTGTGATGGGTCCCATGTGCACGAGAGGACTCCATTGGACTTTTATTTTGGCGCCGGCGGGGGCGGGTAGGGTTTTCACGCCAGAGGGGGTTTTTGTGCCGCCGACGTTGCAGATGAGGGAGGGGCTGGTAAGGTCTTTGACGGGCGAGTTGTTGGGGGGTGTGCGGATGCCGATTTGGGGACCGGGGGTTGCGTTGTTGATCCAGAGTTGTTGGAGGGTTTGGTGGGCGGTGGTTAGGGGGAGGAGGAGTGTGAATGTGGCGAAGGTGGTGGGGAAGAACATTGTGGATGGGTGGGATTGAGTAGGTGGGCTATTTGTATGATAGATTTGGGTTCGTGATACCAGATCACTGAATGAATGTGTAGAATGAATGAATGGACAGATGGATGAGTATGGTATGATAGATAGGAAACACGAACGAATGTATCGTAAGGAAAATAAACTGACTTTATGAACGAATGCTAAAGAAACAAAACATCTCATACTTCCGCAGTACTTATACCAATCCAAGTCCAAGTCCACCTACGCGCCCCCCGATCTCGAAAATCAGGCTAAGCCGCCATACAATCCTTCCGTCACTGCCGTTCCCGCAGGCACGCAGGCACATGCAAGGTACTCCGGTACCTCACAGCCACTGGTGCAGCCTCGCATAGAAGTCGTATTGCGGCACAGCGACATGTTTCTATATCCAGTATAGGATCTACTAGGTATAACGGACATCACGATGTAACGCAATGCACGAGTATGGGGGGAGGTGGAGAAATATATCCGGGTAATTGTTTCTATCGAGTTAGTGAACCCGTTATGCGCAACGGGTGCGGGCGGTAGGTGTTTCAAACACCAGTTGACGAGCGGTTCGCTGGGTGGGGATGATGGGGATTGTGAGGCGCTTCGCTGGATGCGCGAACATGGTAGGTGAACTGTCTAGGAAGTTTTAGGAAGTCGTCATGGGAGTTGGAAAAGGCTTGGATGGAAATGATTATGCAGACAATTGTATTGCAAAGAAACAGAGACTAATACTATTATTTTTTTTAAAAAAAAAGAAGATCATGTATTCTCGTCGAAGCGTTCATCATGTGGGTACAAACGTACATAAGCGCCTTGCGGGCGCGTGAAGTGGGGCTACCGTACACAACCCAAAACCATACATCCTGGATCCCTCAAACTATCCCACCCTCTCGTGACCGTTACAAAAGCCGTAGGCGCCGCTATGCTGCGCGCCTGCTGCTGTGTGAATATTCTATCTAGGTCATTGCTCATATCGGGAAGTGCATCTCCGCTGCTACTAGGCTCAGGCGTTGGTGTTGGGCGTGGTGGGGTAGACGTCGGGCTACTGGTTTGTATGACTGCCGTTGATATGGAGAGTGTAGCTGCGCCCTGGAAGATGTCGCCGTTGATGTAGACGTTAATTTGTGGTGTTGGGGGTGGTAGGGGTCGGGTGATGGAGAGGAAGCGTGCGCCAAATAGCATCGACGTGTACCACAATGTTATGAGGAAGAAGATTATGAAGAGTATCCATGGTATAAGCACTCGTTTTTGTGGCATTCGGCTGCGTGGAGGAAGTGTTGTTGGGAAGTCTGGGCCGATAGATTGTGCAAAATGAGGGTGTTTTGGGTCTTGATAGTCAGGCTTGACTTGAGCTTCCTCCTCGTCTTTTGCAGGTGCCTTTAGCTCTGGATGAGGTGTCAAAGGAAGTGGCCAATGTTTGTTCGACTGATAATATGGGTTGTTCGGAGTGCCGCTCTTCGACGTAGCTACGGAGGCATGTCGGGGCGACGTGCTGGAAATGTCTTCTGAGTGAAAGGTAGAGCTGTATGTTGGAGCCGGCGAACTCATATCTCTCAGCTCAACTGAAGTCATATCCATCGAAGGCGCTCGTTGCTCAAAGTTCATATCGTAGGCTGACATGACTTAAAGATATCTTTTGCAATAGAGGAAAGGGCCAGCCTTTGGAAAATTATTACAAAGAAGATAATGCAAGAACTGGACTGGTGTACCGAGAGTCCGTCTAGGTACAAACCCTCAAGATAAAGGAAATGCATATGCTGGAACAGCCTAGCACAAGTGAACAAAGACCTAGTCCTGTCCATTCAGCAACGGCAAAGGTACATATGTTTCACTACAATTATTCGTTTGCACGTTTTCTTTGCATCTAGTGAAACATGTTTCTATGACAGTAGTAGTGGTGATGAACAACTCTGGAATCTCGCAGGTTTGGAATGCGCGGATGTGACAGCGAACGATTGGCGCGTCTGCGCTTTCAGGTGTAATGTGACGTCGTGGCCATTGGATGAGGATGTTTCTTACTTGAGCCACCGCCAGCGCAGCAGTGCATAATAGTTATCAAAAGCAAGAGAAAGATACAGCCTCAAACGCATGATACAAATTAGTTGAAGTCAACATACTAGGCTTGGTCTGATGTGGGAATTGAAGAGTTGTAGAGGATGACCACTAAGAGCAACGGCTGAATAATCCAACAAACGTCATTCTGCGTTTGGCCGAGTTACCGAAACTTCGAAGCACTCACCTGTACACTTCGCCATTGCGACACCACGACCACATTTTCGTACAAAGTCCCTACAAGCTATTAGAAAAATGGCCTCCAGCACACTGTCGCGTTCTGCTATGCGCAGCCTCTCCCGTACGACGCCATCTATACGATTAGCAACACCGCGCATCGCCACAAGATGTCTACATCAACAACCATCCCCCATTACCGCCTCTCGACTCCAACATAGACCCTCAGCACGATCATGGAGCCAAAACATAGCAGTACCCTCAGCATCAGTCACCCGGAGAACAATGTTCATCCAAACCGAGCCCACCCCAAACGCCGATGTACATACTCTCCCTCCCACTCTCCCACTCCGCACCGTCTAACAACCCCCCAGGCCCTGAAATTCAACCCCAACCAACGCGTCCTCCCCGAAAACATATCATCCCCCTTCCTCGAATACCTAAACCCACGGTCCACGCTCGCCCCACCGCACCCCTCACCCCTCGCCGCCCAACTCATGAACATCGACGGCATAACCAGCGTCTTCTTCGGCGCAGACTACATCACAGTAACAAAAGACTCGTCCACACCCTGGGCGCACATCAAACCCGAAGTCTTCGCCCTCATCAATGAATACATGACATCCGGCCAACCTATTGTCAACACCGTCGCCGCAAAAGCCGGTGAGCAGGGCCAAGGCGGCCAGGAAAACGACAGTCTGGCCTACGACGAAAACGATGATGAAGTCGTTGGTATGATTAAAGAGTTACTGGAAACACGCGTTCGCCCTGCGATTCAGGAGGATGGCGGTGATATTGAGTTTCGTGGGTTTAACGATGGGCAGGTGTGGCTGAAGCTGAGGGGTGCGTGCAGGACTTGCGATTCTAGTACTGTGACGCTGAAGAATGGGATTGAGAGTATGTTGATGCATTATATTGAGGAGGTTAAAGGTGTGCAGCAAGTGCTGGATCAAGAGGAGGAGATTGCGCTTAAGGAGTTTGCAAAGTTCGAGGAGAAGTTGAGACAGCAGAAGGGGCCGGATGCTGTTGCGGGGACGGTCGGTAAGGGGAGTTTGGATTATGTAGAGTGAGTGTTAGGTGGTGTCTGCATGGGAGAGAGATTATGTGATACCAATGCAATTGTAGTTGTTGCATAATAAAAAGCGTCCACAATTGCACTTCATTTCTACCAAGTATTGGACTGTGAACTCGAGGAGGAAAGATGTGGTATAGGTAAACAAAGTGATTAGGTATCCTTCCACTGTATAAATTACAAAACAAGAAGGAGATGGAGATGGAGTTAGAAAAGTATCGAAAAAGGTAGAGATAAGGGGAAAGATGTAGGCCCCAAGAAAACGCCACTTAATGCCCAAAAACCCTGGGTATTCTTTGGCAATAACAAAGCTCAATAAACACCATTGCAATTATGCTCTCGATCCAACCACGGCCGTCTATACATGATCGTTCATCTTTCGTTTTTCGTTTCTGTGCATCTTCGTCGTGATGCAACCGTTCCCTCGTAATCTTGTTCGTCGTCTTCGTGCATTCCCTCGTATGCAAGCGTAACAGTCATTCTGAACCAAACAGTGAGAATAGGGTAAAGGAAACACAGACAGACAGACAGTGAATCAGGACTAAAGGAGATAGGGAAAAGGAAGAGAATAGGTGTGTCGCTCAACAGGCGGGTACATGATCCAAACATTCATCATCGTTGCCTCGTCGTCGTCGTCGTCGTCATCCAATATGGTAATATCTTCATTCTTCGAACAAAAGCTCCGTCATGGCATCCAGTGCCTCACCAAAAGAAGCCCAGAAGCTACGCCTAGGCGGCGAACGAATGATAGTAATGTGTCTCCTCTTGGGTCGTGGTGGTAGCGGTTCGAGGTCGTCCAGGGTCAAGCTATCGACGGTACTACGCAGCAGTTTGGTGTATTCCTCTTGGACTAGTCGTGCGATGTCTTCCTCGTCGACGAGAGTTTGCCAGCTATCTACGCCGAATTCGCCTGGCGCATCTGCGTCTGCGTCTTTGTGCGCGTCGTCTTGCTTGGGGGTTTGCTGAGGGGAAGAAAACTCATTTGGTTCAAGATGAGGAGTTTTGTCAAAATGATGCGTATCTTCCGGATTAAATGTTTCCTTTTTACCCCTGTCGAGTTCGTCGCGCATGCCCTGGCGGACCAGTCGCATTTGCTGGCGAAGGTCTTCGATGACGTCTAGCTGGATGCTATTCAGAGTTTTGAATTCATCCAGGCGCTTCTTGAGATCGCAAATGGTCTTCTGAACGCCCTCGATGTAGTTGCCTACTTCCGCCACATAAGCTTCTGGAAACTGCGTTGGCGTTTCCATGGGTTCACCTTTCTCTTCGGCTTGTTGGATACCGAGGCCCTGATCTGGATCAGAATAGTATAGCTCATCCGCCCCGTCTGCTTGTGCTTCGGGTGTCGATAGGTGAGCGGCCATGGCTTCGAACTGTCCTACAATGTACTCCATTTGGTCGTCATCGGGCTCTTGCGTGTTGATCAGGTTCTCGAAATGCGATATGCATGAAGAGAGCGCATTCTGCACGGGCGATGAAGACGGGGATGAAGACGCTTCCGAGTGCTCGTCCCATAGTATAGGCGAGGTGGGAAGTTCAGTGCTTCGCTGCAGTATCTGCGAGCTTTCCGGTGTGAAGGGATAGCGTGGTGGGCCTTTGGATGCCAGATGCGACTCGTTGAGATAATATGGCCGTGTTGGCGTGTATGGAGGCGGATCAGTGAACCTTGAACTGGGTTTGGGTCGCGATGCGCTGGTGGGCGTATTGGCGCTGTACTTGTCGGCTAACCAGGGCTGGTCGCGCACACGACGAGCATCCTTGAGCCATCGCTGCTCGCGCGACGTAGGATATGGCAAAGGAGAGCTACTGTATATCTCGAAATAGTTGGATCTCGCGAGCGTGTCGTCTTTGTCCATTTCAGGCGGTGTCCATGGCTGGTCCAGGGTACGTGGCAGCTCCATTGCGCTGTCGTGTCGGCGTGTGGGCCGCATCCCCTCGTTTTCCCCTATCAGATATTTTCGTAGACTCTCAGGAGCGTAAAGGGGCAGTCGAGAAGCAAAAGGCGCGAGCGCTGGTGTTGAGCGGTAGCGATGTTGAATAAGCCTGGTAGCCTGGCGATGGTGCGGGAGAGAGTAGTTCACCGCTTGTGACGTGCGCCGCCGCGGCACTCAGACCTTGTATTGTGTAAAAGCTGGGCGGAGCTAGCCGCTAAGTGGGGTCGAGTCGAGCGGGTATCGATAACAATTTGCATCGGAACGATGCCCTTTCCGATTGGCCAGGCATCCATCATTTCTGGCATCGTTCAATACACATTGCGACATCTGTGTAAGTCACCTTTCACTCTCTTTCTACACTCGTAGTGAACCCGTAGTAGTCTTATTGTGGTCGCCTTGTAAAGCATTGCTGCTACCGCAAATATGGCCCAACAGGTATGTATGCGCCACACCAATCAGCCAACACAATACTGAGCGCATGACCACAATAGCTAGGCGTTCAGCCATCGCTCGACACCATTCGAGGAGTATTGGCTGCGGTAGCCAACTCGCCCAACCCACCCAACCTCGTTCCCATCTTCTCCTCGATATCCGCCGAATTCCTGACGCCGTCGAGCATATACCTGAAAATCTCAGCAAAGTACGTGTGACTCATTGGAAGCGCGAGGCGAATACAACACCTGAGCAGGGTTATCCTGGAAGGAAATGGATACACGTAGTCGGTTCAAGTGTTATGAAGCTGACATTCAGCGCTCAGATCAAAGTCGAAGCTGTCATTCCTCTTTGAGAGTGCTGCGACAACAGAGACGATAGGACGGTACAGCTTCATTGGCGCAGGTCGGTACTTGGAAATAAGCTTTTCACAGCTGACTGACAAGCATCAGACCCGCGTAAAGTCATCAAGACTGGTCCCGGCCATGGGGAAGAGACAGACCCGTTACCCCTCCTTGAGAAGGAGCTTGCGAAGAGCCGCGTCGCAACCGTGCCCTCGATACAACTACCTCCCATGACAGGCGGGGCAGTCGGATACGTGGGATATGATTGCGTAAAGTACTTTGAGCCCAAGACACGCCGAGACGATGTAAAAGACGTGCTCGGAGTGCCAGAAAGCTTCTTTATGCTTTTTGATACATTGGTGGCTTTGGACCACTTTGCACAGGTTGTCAAGGTAATAACTTACGTCCGGGTCCCGGAGAGCATGGACAAACTGGAAGAAGCCTACGAAGAAGCCAAGGGCACACTGCAGAGATATGTAAAGATGCTCAAGGCCAAGGATGTTCCGCTGCCCGAACAAGGGCCGATCCAGGTCGGCAACGAGTACTCATCAAACATCGGCCAAGAAGGGTACGAGAATCATGTGAAGACGTTGAAGAAGCACATTAGCGTTGGCGACATCATCCAGGCAGTACCCTCGCAGCGATTTGCAAGACCCACCTCTTTGCATCCTTTCAACGTCTATCGAAACCTTCGAAACGTCAACCCGTCGCCCTACTTGTTCTATGTCGATTGTGAAGAGTTCCAAATAATAGGAGCCAGTCCGGAGCTATTGGTAAAGGAACATCAGGGTCGCATCATTACGCATCCCATCGCGGGTACAGTCAAGCGCGGTAAGACGCTGGCAGAAGACGCAGCACTTGCCGAAGAACTATCGAACTCGCTCAAAGACCGAGCTGAACATGTGGGTGCCCTTGACGACAAGCTGCATGGACGACGTTGAAGCTCACGTTGTTTTTTCCCAGGTCATGTTGGTCGACCTGGCCCGGAATGACGTCAATCGCGTGTGCGACCCACTAAGCACAAGGGTTGACAAGCTAATGGTCGTGCAAAAGGTAATCCGTTCGGAGCATGCTATCCGGGCATGGCGTGATGAGATGAATGCTAATGAATTGCAATTCAGTTTTCCCACGTGCAGCACCTGGTCTCGGAGGTCTCAGGGGTGTTGCGACCTGGCAAAACGCGATTCGACGCGTTCCGCTCAATCTTCCCCGCCGGTGAGTAGTGCGTTTGTAAAAGTGGGAATTGGGCTAAGAGCAGCAAGGGACTGTGAGCGGCGCACCCAAGGTTCGCGCTATGGAGCTCATTGCCGAGCTCGAGAAGGAAAAACGCGGTGTGTACGCTGGCGCAGTAGGCTACTTTGGCTACGGCAGCGTCGACGGCGACAAGGAAATAGAGGGTGCCATGGACGTGAGTAGTTTTGGCTTCATCGAGTTTGACAGGAGGCTGATGTCTGCACCAGACGTGCATTGCACTAAGGACCATGCTTGTCAAAGACGGTATCGCCTATCTCCAAGCAGGGGTAAGTTTGCCCAGTTTCCCTGCTTCCGTGACGGGGTGGTTGGCTGACTATTGGCTGCTGCAGGGCGGCATAGTGTATGACTCGGATCCATATGATGAGTGGATGGAGACGATCAACAAGCTGGGTGAGATTTTCCTGCTTTGCGCAGCCTTAAGACGTGCGTGCACTGACTGACGGGTGATGTGACAGGCGCCAATACGCTTTGCATTACATCGGCTGAAGAGAAGCATCTGGCCGAGCAGCAAGAGGGCGACGAGTGACGACCAAATTCACGAGGCGGGGAGGAGGCGAGGACGCGCACTCTTTGTGAGGCTGGGTAGTTTTGCGCCACTGATGGAGGCTGCACATGCTGCACGAGGTAGCATGGGACTTGAGGAGAATGATTGGCAGGGTAACGGCCGTGGTCGTGGTATGGGCCTAGACCGAAGATCCATCTACTCGCGGGGAAGCGAGGTTGATTTGCAAAAAAATAAATGAAATGAGAGACATTGTAGTGGCAGACGCTATCACGACGTCACGCCCATCGACTGACTGGTGGTGGTGCGGCGCAATTGGAGTGCAAACAAGATTTGATTATTTGGTGGTTCCCGCAGGCCAAGGTCTCACCGGCGCGAACGCATAGCTGGGCTAGAAGCACAGTGAATACTGCTCGTGCTGGAATGATGACGACTGTGACGAGTGACGAGTGACGAGTAACAAGTGACGCACGTCTGTACCATTGGGTTGCGACGACAGCATTAACTTGGTTCAATATGTGAGTTGTACATGCACCTTCGGCTATCGGCCCCTCGGTGCTGTGGGAGACATCATAGGGAAGGTGCGTCCGCGGCATTGACCAATCGTTGGCCAGGGTGCCGGTCGTGCTTTCCGACTTCCTTGGTTTGGCGGCGATCGTGGAGCAGTGCCTGGCCGCTGGGGCGCTATCCCTGCCGCTACTGCCACTACTGGCGCTCTAATCCGTCACCAGCCCGCTGCACTCTCTCCTTTGGCCTTGTTTGCACGCAGGAAGCTGGGCGCAACTTCACTCTCCCCAGCCACGGACCAGCCCCTACTGTTTGTGTCGCCTGTGATATAAACTTGCTCCCACTCCCCTCCCTTCCATTCCTCACTCACCCAACATCATCAACCTCCCAGCTTGACTACCAGTCCTACACTTGAAGCTCCTCCACTTCGATACTCCAGTATCTTATTCCAGCTTCTTGCAAACTTATCCTCTCCGCCTCCTTTACCTCCTCACCCCTACAGTCAATATGAAGTCCGTCACCATCCTCGCCACCTTTGCTGGTGTTGTCTTCTCCCAGGACATGCCCATGCCCAACGGCGACTGCTCCATGCTGTGCATCAACAACATGGCCAGGATTGCCCAGACCGAATTCTCCTGCGCATCCGACGATCTCGCTTGCTTCTGCACAAAGTCCAACTGGGCTTATGGCATCCGCGATTGCTCTCTCCAGGCCTGCGACACCGAGCAGTCTTCTGCCGCCATAAGCTGGGCCTATGCTCGCTGCGCCGGTATCGCTGCCACCGCCACTGGCACTCCTCCTGCTGTCCCCATCCTCAGCTCTGCCATCGCTAGTGTCGGTACTGCTTCTTCGACCAACAGCGGCAGCGCAGGCGCCACTGGTATTGCCAGCATCACCTCATCTCTCGCCAGCGCCGCCTCGAGCTTCACCTCCAGCGTTGCCTCTGCCGTGGCATCTGACGTTTCTTCAAGGACTGCGTCTGCCTCTTCTGCCATCAGCTCTCTCGAGTAAGTCTTAGATTTACCTGCTTCTTTCACCACTTACTAACGACCACCCAGGTCCTCCCTCAGCGACGTTATTGCCTCCGCTAGCTCAGCTCTTGAGTCTGCCACCAACAGCATCAACTCCGAGGTGTCATCCGCTACAGGTGCCGTCGGTAGCGCCGCCTCATCTGCTGCCTCCGCCGCCTCCTCTGCTGTTGAGGGTGCCGGTGCCCAGGCCACCGCCATGCCCTTCATGGCCGGTGCCGGTGTTGTCGCCTGGCTTCTTCTCTAAACGCCCTCATCTTCACGTCATGTCCAAGGTCTTCGCTCGATGGAGTAATGTGTATAATGACTGACAGCGAATGGGGAGATAGTAATTGCGAGGGTCGGCTTTGGATACCTTAATGGATGGGCAGGTTTTTCTTTTCCTTAACGAACACAACGAGATGAGCATGACGATTACGATGGAATTGGTATTGCAAAGCATGAGATTGATACCCCGACACCGGGACTCGTGCAACGGGCCCCTCTAATAGTAGCTCCTGTAGATAGCAAAATCAATGATAATACCACTGACGGACTCTTTTTTCGACCTCTTTTCGGTGACATCATCTTGGACCATATTCACCCTCCGACCATTCTCTTCCCTTTCGTGATCAGCATCCTGTACAACACCACCTGTGTCCACGTTGCCCCCAGCCACCTGTCCCCGTGCAACGCAACACGAGCGCTTCGCAAAATTATGTGCTACAAGCCGTCAGTTAAACGAAATTACTTCACCAAACAGCTGCCGTCGTAACCATGTCAATGGACACATATGTGCGAAGTGATATTACATGTTTGAAGTCATGAAGTCAACTTAGCGTTTCCCGTTATTTATCTATTTGCTCAGCCGCAATGCAGTATAAGTCTTGGCCTTTTGGGTGGCGTTGGTTGGGGCAGTCCCCCACTTTCCGCGAGTCTCTGGTACTTGCACAGGAGTCACAGCACAATCTCCATGTCTTGAGATGGCATGGCATGGCATGGGGTGTTGCAGCATGTTGCCGGTTGCTTGCAGGGTATTCCGTTGTGCCTAGGAGAGGGCTGGGAGTAGGCTGGGGTTCGGTTGGGGTTCGGTTGGGGTTGGGGTTACACGGGGCGGTTTGCTTCTGGTGGACATGGTTTGTTTTGTTTTGTTTTGTTTTGTTTGGAGAGGGTGATGGTATTGATGGTGTAGGAGGAGCTTGAGACTACTGATGTTACTTAGGGTAGGATAGATACATAGATACAGCACGATGTTGGAGCTGGGTATGTGAGATGTGAGCATTGCACGGTCAACTCCTCACACAACTTACAGTCTCAACCTCAACTTCAACTCGTCACTTCTGTCTCGTTGACTTTAGCGAAGAGTTGTAGAGCCTCGGCGGACGAACCGGTAAGAAGCTGGATAGAAGATTCTAGAATCATACTGAGACGGTAGTGGTGCGAGAATGAGAGTCAGTTAGCCATGACCTCTGGGTAATGAGACCTAGGGTCTTCTGGAAGGTTCTTGCGTGGAAACGGCCAAGCAAGTAGTAGATACAATAAATTCCTAACTTGATCTTAGCTCCGGCAGTTCAGTCGAGATGATGCCTTGACGACATGGTCATGCGGCAATATCTGTTTTAGACACCTGCAGAGCGGGAAATGTCAGTCGGAACCTATACAGATGATTCCGATGATTTGCAGCGAGAATGATGTGAGGTGGGATATGAATCGTAGACGGAAGAGGCAATGCAAGGGGTGTGGTGATGTACAATCGCCTGTGCATTGTACCGACCTAGCTGTGATTGGTGTCTTTCACAAGCGACAGTCTTGGTATTATGATCCTCCTGTTCCATTTGATCATACATTCGACTCGTAGAGGTGAGATAACGTGTGTGCGACACAAGCAGACATCCATTGCTTCGCGATGACGGTATCTTGCGCTGATACTGACAAGGTACATGCATATCGTACCGATGTGTGATTCACCAGATGCCCCGCAGCGCGCATTAGATAACGCCAAAGTGGATACGAAGTGGAGCCATCCGTAATAAGGGCACACCCCTCTCGTCCTTCTTCTCTTTATTCCGCCATCTTCTAGATATATCTCCTTGAACGTGTCATGAAATCGCCATGGAGCCGCCAGCTGTGACTGTCGACCAGACTGAACCCCGTGTACCGGACAAAACTCCGGATATAGTTGACACCAACCGCGTTATCCCTCCAAAAGCAAAAGAGACTCCACCTTGCACCAACGCAACCAGAGATATGGAGGGTGCGACACACGCTACCCTTCCAGATACCAAAAACGTTCCAGAGAAGATAGCTCTTACTGCCAAAATCGATCAGTCAGTCGACGAAAATGCCGCCCCTCCTTCATCGTCCAAGAATGCGAAAAGGACAGGTCGGCCCGAGAACACCCAAGAAGACGGGCGTCCTACAGTGAAGAAGGCCTCAGGACGCAAACGGCCAGCTGCGCCAAACGACAGTGACTACGAGCCTGCCACGCCAGTGGCATCTGCGAAGAAAGCCAGAGTGACTGTTACACCAGCGAAAAAAGCGCGCAATCCAGCGGCTCAGACTCCAACCACGAAGCCTAAGCAAACGAAGAAAGAAAAGGAAGTATGTCAGGCGTTCTGGAAGGACTGGCTGTTCATGCACGACATTCACGACGAAGGAACCAATGTCTTTGGCTTCGACGATGACTGCATAACTGCGTCGAAGTGCCTGGAGCAATTCAGATTGAAGAAAGAAGAACTTATATCCCTTAGGTTCGAAAAACGGCCTAACCCAAAGGGATTTTCTAAACAACCAATGCGACTGTACTGATACCAGGAAGTCGAGGAGCTTGCCTACAGGAAAGAGGCCATCTTGGCCGGTTTGTTCGAAGAAAACGAGAGACAATTGCTCGCGGAAGGCAAAAAACTATGGGATGCAAAATCGTTAGTGCTTCCCCGTGTCTGTTGGCTTATTCCGAAATCTGACCTGTTCTACAGATCTATCGTGAAGCCGAAAAGAAAGGCGAGGGCTCGATCAGATTCATGGTCTGACGATGAAGATCCCTGTGCGAACAACATGCCAGATATCTCCTGGCTTATGTCCCACCCCAAGTCGCAATGGTGATAGTTGGCGTATTTTTTCAAGCTTAAACGGCCTTGTCTCGGTGGTGTGTGTAAAATTTTTGGTCGTTAGGTAGCTCTACCAGTACTTTATTGGTGTTTGTGGTGAATATAGGAGCATCAGCATGCTGTAAGACATGTATCTAGGTAGAAAACAACGACTTTTGGGAGTTTAAAAAATCTGTACCATTTCTAATGCAATTTCGATATTTGACCGACGGGCTCGGGGCAACTGCAAATGAACAAGGGATTTGGTTGGTATACCCTGGGATGGGGGGCCTCATCGCATAGAGCAAGACTGCCTGCCGTACATATATGTGTATGCACGATCGATCTTTTGAACGAAGATCGACTAGAGAATAACCGCCGGAATGTGATTTGCTGCCAAATTGCAACCACTAGAGTTCTACCAACTGGCATGCCTGAGGTGATAGAGGGAATACAGCGAAGGTGACGACACATGGTAGGCGTGGGTGATGACGGATTCAACCGCACGATAACGACCGGGGACGGATATAAGTAAAGTCTGTACTGTCATGGGAAGACGGCTCAATATTAAAGACTGTGGCTTAAGCCTACGCGTGGTGTCGATTCGCTAATGCGCGTTTCGGCCGTAGCGGCATGACGTTGGTCCTCCAGCACCAGGCCGTGGAAAGTTTGTGCCGGCTCACCACTCAAGTCGCATGTCCAGGTTGTCATTGTAAACATGCAAGGGGCTAGGATGGAGATATATAGGGAACGCAGTGTGTAGGATGATGCTTACCATCACCATCAACGCCGCTATATCTACACCAGTATAGCTTGAATCAACCGCCTCATCAAGCGTCTGAACTTTCAAGTCACCACAATGTCCAGCATCCAGTTCGACCCTGCAACAGATATCCCAGACCAGTCCGGGAGGGTCTTCCTCATCACAGGTGGTCAGTGATTATCTTTTCGTCCGACCTGAGCAACTCACTGACTAACCCCTAGGTACCACCGGTCTTGGAGCGTCCACAGTTTCTTTCCTGCCCTCCCATAATCCTGCACACATCTTCTTCAGCGGTCGCAACAAAGCCCGCGCCGATGAACTCATCTCGAAGATCTCAAAATCCTCGCCCTCCACCAAGATAACGTTCATAGAATGCGACCTCGCCAGCCTTGCTTCAGTTCAGTCCGCTGCCAAGCAGGTTCTCTCACTAACCAACCGCCTCGATGTCTTGATATGCAACGCCGGTATCATGGCCACGCCATCCGAGCTGAGCAAAGACGGCTACGAACTACAATTTGCCACCAACCACCTCGGCCATGCCCTTTTGATGAAGCTCCTCTTACCACTAATGCTGGAGACGACAGCGCAACCCAATCCAGACGTCCGCATTGTCAATCTCTCCTCTGTGGCATACAAGGCCGGTGGACCATCCTCCGGCATCGAGTTCTCCAAGCTCAAAACTAAAAACGCCAGCTACGGACCCTTCTACAACCCCATGAAGTGGGTATACTACAATCAATCCAAGCTAGCCAATCTGCTCTACTCAGTCGAGCTTGCCGCACGACACCCGAGTATCACGTCCGTTGCGGTGCACCCGGGCTTCATCAAGACGGATCTACTTGTGCATATCAACTCTATGGATCGCCAGGTTATAAATTTGCTCTCTCACGGCGATTGGCGGACGGCGGTTACGGGCGCGTATAATCAGACGTGGGCGGCTACTACGCAGAAGGAGAATTTGGTCAATGGGGCGTATTATGAGCCGGTTGGTGTGAAGACGGTTCCAAGTACGAGGCAGGGTAGGGATAGGGCGTTGGCGAAGGAGTTATGGGAGTGGACGGAGAGGGAGTTGAAAGACTGGAATTAGGAAGGTGGGGAATCCAGAACTGGGGGTTGTCAGGATGTTGGCTGAGATTCGTCTCGCAGCGGTGGTTTGGGGTAACTTGTTTTCTTATCTATCGGATCGCGTACCGTGAGATGTTAGTGGGAGACTCTTAGGGTTGATTTCGTAATGTTGAGGGGTAAAGAGATTGAGTATACAGATCCCAGCAGCTTCGTTTCAAGACCAACCTTTTCATCATCGCGTTCAACCTGTCGAATTCTCGGTGCAGACCTTGTCTTATTTGGTCTCTGCCAGAGTATGCATATGCATAAGGAGCATCCCTCTGCATCATGCGGATACTTATCCGCGCTATGGCTCATGAGGGCATGTATGTATGTGTGTGTGTGTGTAATCCATTAGCGTCCTTTATCAGTCAGAGACTATGTAGGACGGTGGCAGATGCCATTCTAGCTATTTTTATCTCTCCTTTGATGTTCGTTGGTTATGTTTGACTAATGTAGTTTAGGCATGTCCTAGCTATTACAGGGGAGGAGAGAAAGTAAAACCCTATTATAGCTGCCTGTTTTTCCTTCTCTTCAACCTATCTCTTTTTGCAACGCTTTCCTCGTGTTCCTAAGTCTGAAAAAACCTCAAAGGGGAAAAAGCCATGGGATCTTGAACGAGGCGTAGGGTTGTAACAAGCTTAGCGTAGTGTTTGTAGTCGTAGCAGTGCGTGGCTCGGGTGTACTGCGGCTATAACCTGTCGCTTAGGTTTGCAGGGGTAGGTGAAAATTTGCGAGTTGGAGTAAGCCGTTCGATATTTTTTGGTAAAGCCACAAGTGGCGGTGAGAGGAGAAGGATTCGAACCTTCGACCTCTACTACACTGCAAATTTGGAGTGCGGTAAAGGAATACCAGGCGCTTTACCACTGCGCCATCCCCCCTCATGAGGGCATATATACCTGCGTAGTGATGGACTGTTGACGTAACGGAGATGCGTCCTCTTCCCCTCACTGAATGATGACCTCAACATCTACCAAAAGGACCTTTTTGCCCACCGGTCTCTATGCGAACGCGTAACAGACGATCGGCGACGCAGGTTGAAGTTACATCCATGGTTCTGGGAAACCGTTTGAGCTCCACAGCCAACCCCGTGGGGTCTTCACAGTAACATGCCACTACTACCGAAAATACATCCGACATGACCCGCGAGGATGGGCAATAGTGCAGAAGAATATTAATTGGCCTTTGCGCCTGGTGGTGGCCAAGACGAAGGGTTTCCGGTGGACTGGCTTGGCCGGCTCGTGATTGGGCCAGATGATGGTGGAAGGGATGCGTGCTCCGGAGCAGTTCCATTTTCCACCCAAGCGGCCTCGAGACGAAGCTGACGCTAAACTACATGGACGGGCTCCTGTCATTCTGACACCCGACGAATATCCGAGCGCGGCTCCATGAACGACGCACTGCCAGGACGCTTAAAACCCCATCCGTGCCACGAGTGCAGCGTCGGCGCTACCTTCCCCGCAACGCACTTCAACCCAAGCTCTTGGAACAGATCTCGGCTGCTTGGCCCTAGCTTCCAAGTCCAACGCTCGGTCGCTTTTCAGGCCTTCGAAACAAACCAAACCTCCAACACCAAGATTTGGTGGCTTGCCAATCCGCCTTTTCCTGCGACAAGACCCCAAAGACTTTCAGCTTCCGTCTGGGCTGATTGACCGGAAGCATCTACGAGTTTTGATGCTGAAAGGTTTGCGCTATTGTTTGCCTCAGGATTGTTCTTGGTATTTCGGCATTTCCTTGTTGGGGTGGGGTTCGTGCTTCGTCACGATGTGCTCAGCTGGGTGAGGTGAGACTGGAGAAGAGCCGCGGGTGTTTATCCAGCCTCATGTTTCAATACTTTACGGTCCGGATACTACGGCGTATACCGAACAAGTCGACCCCCTACTGTAACATGATGCTCACGTTCATTCAACAATTTTGATGTCGGCGACACACTGGCGACTTCAAACGAAACACGCGACCACCGAAAGACTCCGATATAAGGCTCGGACCACAACCAGTGAGCTCCCGCGCTTACTAGTCAGGAATGCCCAGCTTCTGGACAAGTCCCCGCCGCGCTTTTGTGCCACATGCTTGCATGTTTGCCATCCCCCGGTAGTTGAATGACCTCCCAAGAATAAGCAGCGGGCACACTTGCCATGGGAGAGCCCGCGCTACCTCGCCATCACCCGCGTCAAGACTCTCCAAGACGGCCGAGAGAAGCGTCTTAGGTTTCTTGGGTAGTATGCATGCGCGGAGAAAACTAGTCAGTGCCGTGTGTTTTCGGAACCTGGTTGATAGACATGATCTGAGGCAATATGGGTCCTACAACATCACTGTGGGGATTTGGTGGTGTGTATAAGAGGCGACTCCACGTCCTAGGGTTTTTGCTTCCCCAGATCATCCAGCTCGGTCTCTGGCGATCCATCGACACTTTTTCTACATTTGATTTGCTCACATCACCATATCTCAACTGTTTGCAGCAACTATGATGGAAACTAAGAAGAATGAGGTCGTCACCACGCTTGAGCGAGCTCAGACTCGAGACGAGGAGCTCATGAAGTCTGTCCCCATAGTCGGCAAGGTCGACTATTCTGGAGCATACGAGAAGACGGATCCACGAGAGATTGCACTCGTCAGGAAACTCGACAAATGGATCATGCCCATGCTGTGGTCTATGTACTGGCTCAACTACCTTGGTAGGCCTATCACAATTTTCTAGGGGACCTCCATCTTTACTAACATCTCATTCTAGACCGTAATGCGATTGCACTTGCCCGTCTCGATGACCTGGAAGAAGACCTAAACCTCACCAGTACCCAATACCAAACCTGCGTGAGCATCTTGTTCGTAGGATACCTTCTGGGTCAAATCCCCAGTAACATGTTCCTCAACCGAACCCGTCCTAGTCGCTATATGGGTATTTGCATGGGTCTCTGGGCCATTGTCTCAGCCCTCACTGCCTTGTCTAAAGACTTCACCGGCCTCCTGCTCACCCGCTTCTTCCTCGGTGTGACAGAAGCGCCCTACTACCCCGGCGCCGTCTACATGCTCTCCATGTTCTACACCCGCAAGGAAGTCGCCACCCGCATTGCCATCCTTTACACCGGCAACATCCTTGCCACCGCCTTCGCGGGCTTGATTGCAGCGGGCATTTTCCACGGTCTCGGCGATGTAGGCGGCATCTCAGGCTGGAGGTGGTTGTTTATCCTCCAGGGAGCTGTTACATTTGTCATTGCCATTGTAGGATTTTTCCTGCTCCCAGATTTCCCACACAACACCTGGTGGCTTACTCAAGCGGAGCGTGAACTCGCCACCAACCGCATGGCCTTGGACACTGTCGGCAACAAGGGCGAGACCTCCGTCTGGGCTGGATTCAGACAAGCCGGCAAGGACCCCATGGTTTGGATCTTCGCTGCTATGGCGCACATGCATCTCGCAGCCAACGGCTTCAAGAACTTCTTCCCTACTGTCGTAGAAACGCTCGGTTTCGGTCAGACCATCACACTTGTCCTCACATGCCCACCTTACCTAATCGCCGGCGCCGTCACAATCGCCGTCTCATGGTCCTCCGGCAAGTTCAACGAGCGCACATGGCACATTACCATTTCCAAAGCCGTCGCCACCTTCGGCTTTGGTCTCGCATGTGCTGAGATAGGTGTTGCGGGCCGTTACGTCGCCATGGTCATCTTCACTATCGGTACTTATGGTGTCAACTCTTTGATTCTGGGTTGGTGTGGATCAACATGTGGTCAGACGCCCGAGAAGAAGGCCGTCGCTATCGGTATCGTTACTACGGTTATGAACGCCTCGTTTATCTGGTAAGTCCCCTAACACCCTAATTGTTGTGTGTATAGAGCCAAGCTAACATGTTCTAAAGGACCCCGTACCTCTGGCCCAAGTCTGATGGCCCACGCTACGTCATTGCCTTGTCTTCTTCGGCCGCCTTTAGTGTTGCGACTGCGTTGTTCGCGTGGGCTGCAAAGATTTGCTTCATGCGCAAGAACAAGAAGCTGAGGGAGGAGGACAGCGATAACCATACCTTTTATGTCTACTAGATCATTTCCTTTCTGGCTATAGAATGGGTTGGTCGTGTGTGGTAATGCAAGAATAAATCGGCTGCAGGAATCAGCGCAGATAGATGGATGAGGTTTATCAATAATATACGTTGATCAGTTTTGATTGTTGTACTTTGAGTGTTGTTTCCTGCCGCCCCCTCCTACTCAACATTCTAGGCTTTTGGAAATGTGTGCTGAGAATAAAATACTGCGAAGATGCTAAAGCTGCTCTAATAGAAGTTTAATTGCATTTGTCTACCTAATTCCAAGCGGTTTCCCACGTACACAGGAGCCCAAACAACATTGAACCTCTCAAACAAACCACGTGACCTCCCTCCCACCACACCACCCCTGCGCAATAACCAGCCATCTCTAGATACCCTCTCATACCAATCCCCCTCCCGCGCCTTAAACAATCTTCCCTGCATACCCGCTCACGCCTTCCAGCAACCTTCCGCAACCGGCCCTCGCTAGTCCCAGCCCTGTCCCACCAAAAACTAGGCAGACGCGTTATGTCCACCTCGGGAAAAAAGGGCCAAAAAACTCTCATGCATGTGTGCGGCTGATTAGATTGAATGGTTTAGGTAACGTGGATGTTCATAGTGACGAATTAGGAGCAAAGAAGATGGTGCACGGAAGCGGGAATGGTGGAAGGGGACGGCTGGGGAGGATACGGCTGGCGGGACGAAAAAGGCTATATAAGGGTACTTCACTCTTCTTCTTCTTCTTCTCTGCCGTTGCTGAGAAACACGTTTTCATTTTTCTTTTGAAAACGTAGGATACGCATGATGATGTGATATAGTTGTATGGTTTGTCATTACTACGTACATGATTTCTCTCTCTTCTCTTCTCCATAGCTATGGCTGGAGCGGGGAGAGCGCGCGTACAGCCTGGGGTGGGTAAGAGATAAAACTAACCAGAAAAGAGATAAGAAAAAAGTATCATTTTCCCCATAGCCGAGCCTAAAACGCCAGAGTCATGCTTTTGTGTCCTTGGGTATGCCAATCTGTGGACAGTCGCTGGAGCAAACGAAAATGGATGCAGTAATGGAAAGAGTAGGAGTAAGAGGAGAAAGAAGCTGAACAGTATGTGTGTAAGCGGGCGGGTACAACGGCAAGGAAAGAGCATTGTCGCTTGGATTATGAGCGACGTGGCACCGGTTGTCGAGGTGCTCTAACGTGCTGCGTCCGATGCCGCCGTCCATCTCTATCGCGTCTCCTGCCAACGGTCTCAACAAAGTTGGCGGGCGGATGCGACAAGTTATGATTTCCGCCTTTAAGTTCCTTCAAATCCTCGTCGTCGATGAGTCTGCGCTGCCACAGAAATTCGAAGAGGTGGAAGTCTGGTCGCGAGGTGCGCTGGAGCGTCTGACCCTGCATGACGTGATCGTATGCGATGTGCTCCATGCGCATATCCCAAGCCATCTTGCCAAACTCGCACGTCACGGTCCAGTCGCACAGCGGACACTGCGCCGTCTGTGGTGGTTCTTCGCCGCGGAGATGCGAGGCGCAGTGGACTTCCCATTCTTCTTTGTCGACAAAGGTGTAATCGCAGTTTAGGAACCAGAAGACGCATTCGAACATTGGTGTTGGACAGACGACATCTGGGATTTCGAGTATGCCATCGTTGTTCCTTTCTACCAAGAGTGGTACCCCGGAGAATGTACCCGCTAGTCCAGTGCATATGCTCGTCTCAGTCGGCGTCGAATCAGTGCAGTACGAGCGCAGTGATGGCGGGTTGTGGATCGAGGCATTGCTCTGATGGATGAGAGCAGGCGCCATGGACGACCCGCTCTTGACGGTGCTTGTCTCGAGCAAGTCTTCAATGCCCGCCTCGTACAGGCTTTGTAGGTATTCGGTACCGAAATTCACCAATCGAGTGGTTACGTCGGGCTCATCCACCCAGTTGTTGAGCATGGGAGCAATCCGACGATTGTTGCGTTGAAGGCTTGCCAGAGACATGCTCGCGCGGCTTGCGGGGTCCGCTATTGTGGCGCATGATCAGCCTTGAAATCATTGGAGAGAATGCATGTTACAGCCTTGCAAACGAATGCTTGCAGAGGCTGTACAAGCGAATCAAGACTCACTGGATGTTGGGAGTTGTTGGCCCGGCATGGTGTCAGGAACAACGATACTAGGACGACGGGTGCGATTTAGCGTATCGCGGGGTCAAGCGGTTGGTCTTGAGAGTTGGTCTCCAAGGATGCTTCACGCTTCTCGAGCACGGATCAGACCGACTTTATATCCGGCTAACAACGTAGCCAGCCGATCAGAGTCATATGCGGAGTTGAGGCTCTGCGGAGATTGCAACATGGACTTGTTGACCGACCCCGCCTATCTTCACCATGTGCACACCAACGCTTCCACTACGGACGACATCTACCCGCCAAACCAGCCAAACCTATGGTATCGCAGCATCTCTCAGCAGCTCGATATGCCACGGCCCGCCTTCCTGGCGGAGCGCCAATTGATTGGGGCGGAGACCTGCAGATGACGGCTGTCTGCAGGTGTGGGGTGACTCTTTTGTATGAGCGGACAGCTGCTCCACACCTCCGACCGCCCTTTCGACACTAGAACTATACCTTCAGTATGGTGGTATGTCGGTGTGCTGTATGCTTTCTTTTGTGTAACTGACATCCGGTTAACTATGCTTCCCGGAACCGCCCCTACATGGTGGATGAGCAACAACGTCTTGGCGTTCTACTGCTCCGCTCTGCTGTGCGTTTCAAGCCGGATGATTCATGCCACATCGAGCAGCCTGCGACACGATTCCAACGCATGCGCCTCACGTGGGCAGGATCTGTTACTCGATTCATTATTGTCAGCAATAACGCGGCCAAACGAACTCGACTCAGTTGTAGGCAAACGCCTTTGAACACAGCAACATGAGCATTTATCTTTGATACGCCGAGGCCGAATTATCTGAGCGATCCTGCCAAGCACCACTGTCTCATAAACCGGGACATCTCGCGGATACCGCGCGTTCAGCCTTACTTGCGTTCGCCGGGACCCCTTCATGCGCTTTGCTTTTCGCGACAAAGCGTCAGGTCAGGGCACTTCAACGGGATCCTTGAAGCTTGCGCATCCTTCTTACGTTAAGTCGCTGAGCGACAAAGGTTGCCGTTGCTGCAGTCGTAATACACATTCGTTATAGAAGGAGATCAGCGCTTCACCCATGCTCACACGGCTCGAAATCACGAAATCACAGATCGGTAACCGGACGGCCCCCCGGTGGCTTCGTCGACATGCCCACGCTCCACGCGTTCTTCAACCTTCCCACGATCCTCCTTACGACGCTGGTTGCCCACGCATATGCGCAACAAGGTGCTATCGATGACGAAAAAGTCTCCAACCGGCCCACTTACGCGACGGCACTCACGGGCGGTGAGGGTTGTGAGTTTACCGACATTGAGGAGATCCGCGATGGCTTCTCAGAGATGACGATGCTCTTCGGCGCTGCCACCCCGTTCGATCTCACTTCTCAGCCAGCGCGAGAGCTCTTTGGTTCGTCAATACTAGGGAACTATACAGATATGATTGCGACAAATCTGCAGCGGGCAGCGAATTATGGCGTACTGGTGGGGGGACAAGGAGCAGTAAACTCGGACATACACATACGATGCGACGACCCCATGAAGCTCTGCAACAAAGGCAACAAGCGCGAAGGCGACCACGCGGCATACAACATTGGCAACGACCCCCACGTAGTATTCTGTCCCGACTACTTTACCATGGACTCGCTCGACGCGCGCATCGACAGGAAAGCACAGAACCAGATAGAAAAGGACCGGTTGATGGAATACTACAACCGCGCAGCCCTCTGGGCGCGGATGGTTATGCACTTTAGTGAGATTGGTATAGCAGTCGTCCAGCGTCCTGCACCCGCGCCTCTCAACTCGACGAGTGAGTGGGTCATTGCTGAATCTCGAGGTGCCATGAACACCTCTGTGCTCGCTGGTGTACTCAACGAACAGCCTGATAGACGCACGGATCCACAAACCCTCAAGTACGCCTATGGCGCCACACGTGCGAAATTGCTTGCTGTGTTGTCCACGCAGATGCCCTATGATGCTGCGAATAATGCGGAGAATTACGCCTTGTATGCGCTGGCACAGTATATCATAAAGAGGAGGGGTTTCTACCCGGCCGTTCCAATAATGGATTTCCCGAACGAGGCCAGTGTGCTTACGAATGAGAACCTGCAGGATGGAGAGAGGGTCAAATATGCGTATTTTGATGCTGTGGATGTTGTGTAAGTTTGCGTTTGTTCCTGCAGAGTGAGATTAGAGCTGACAATAGACAGTGCGAGACCAGCGAATATGGTATTAAAGGGTGCGCCGTTGCCTTCTTCGGATGCGTCAGCCAACGTCGTGTCATCTGCGGTGGTGGGTCTGGCAATCATTCTGATGGCACGCTCTTTTCTCTTCTCATTCATGGGTTGAAGTGTACGATGAGCAAACGACAACTCAAGTGGATGAGAACGGCTGAGCTGGAAATTAATTATCCACTCGGCCAACATATCCCTGACCCGCATCGGAGCTGAGGAACAGACTGCAGACGGCTGCAACGTCTACTTTCAGCGGACTGCAGAAGGTGCCTCATACAAAATCCAGCATGATCGGGTGATTGCACTTAGGCACCATCAGACCCTCCGACTTCTGGATCAAACATCGCCGCTGAGCAGCTTGGCATGCATGCTCCGACCCCTGAAGTCCAGGATCAAGGCCGTTTCATTCCCGCACGAGACGCAGGGAACAGCGAAAGGGTTCGCTAAGGGGTGGTTCATGGAGATTATGGGATATCAAATACGTAAGCTTGGTGTTCCGGCGCTCTGGGCCTATCCACAGTTGTGTTGGCTGTGGGAGATGGATGTTACAAGGGAACTCCGGCCTGGTTGGAGAATGGAACTTTCAAGTGGTCAAGCCGCAACAGCGAAAAGGCTGGTGGGAGGAAAGCTCAACACATGAAAGTGATGATGAGTTTCATGTAGACTGTTTGTAAGGGATGTATCAAACGACCTGTGATGGTCCCGTGGTATTACTGAGGATGAATACATGTGATTCTCCATTGGCTGTGTGTTATATTACAGGGTGCTTGACCGTGTTCCGCAACGGGATCGGCCGAAGAAGCTTCTTTCAATCAAACCCATAGGGGTATCGTACGAGCTTCGGTGGCCGTACGGCGTAAACTGCCTACGGCGGACTCAAATGGTGATCTGCAGCCGAGGCGACAAAAGTCAAGATGATCATGGTAATCTAGGCCGAGGATACGGCGGGGAACCTAACGCAACCAGTGTGTTGTAGTCGCTCGCGCCGTGATGGATGATGTAACGGGTAGGGTGCATACAGTAATGCAGTACCAGCCCCCAGACTGGTCCCCAGATCTCCCAACCCCAGGGGCGATCGGTACATGTCAGCCAACTAGAGAGAGTGTCGTGTGACGGTTGAGAGTGAGTCAGTCAAACAGGGCGGGCGGAGGATTATTTTTCTTTTGGCTAATGAACGGTTGGGAATGCGGGGGATGGCGCGTTTTGCAGCAAAAAAAGACGAGGGCTGCCACGAAGAAGGCGCAAAGTGCAAACCCTACTGTACCAGTATTCAGTCGAAAGGCTATAACAGTCACTAGAGGCGCCCGATGGAATTGGAGCATGTCGTCCGGGGCGGTTCGGAAAGCTTGGCCGTTAGACGGCAAGTAGTGGACGGAGCAAGCGACTAGGAACGGACTAGCGGCAGCAGTTGGCAGTAGTGGCAGCTGTGGGCTCATGTGGGTGCAAGACTTCTGGCATGTGAACACGAACTTCTCATGCGCGTCGATCCGCAGAGCACACAAACACTAGATTGTCTTTCCCCGAGGCACGCAGTGAGATTCATGGGAGCTGGATGCCGGGGATGCGACTGCTCATAGCACCGTCTCCCCACACTCTACCCTTCGGCCTGCCCTCGCAGCGACCGTCGCGATCCGTCACCGTTCCTCACGTCATATGTCCCAACAGCTCCCAACAACTCCAATCTGAACCGACCTGAGACGCACCGTCACGACCAGGCGACTGCTTTCGAGTCTAGATCTGCCCTGGGAGCGGCGTACGAATGCGCTAGTCCGGACATCCTCGCACTCTAGCAGGTACTCTCTACCTAGTAGCTACCACCACCACCACCACCCTTTCACCTTCACCACCTCCCAAAATCAAGCTGGATACCCTGTCGCATCACTCGTTCGCGGGGCTCGCGGGTGCTACCGCCAGAAGCCTCCCACGTCCCGCTATGAACGACAAGGACCCGCCGCCATTTGGCTGTAGGTGGACCTGGAGTGCTTACAAGTGACTGCCGGCTGACAGTGAGAGTAGACACCTTTTCCAATGACTTCTTCGAAAGCATTCCCTCGGCCTGCGACAACAATGGCCAGTCCATCCTCAGCGACATGGAGAACCAGCACCTCGACAATTTCTTCTCGTCGACCAATCCCTTTGACCTCCTCGATTCGCAACCCCTCCCGCCAGCCCTGGAGTCAAAGGCAAGCGCGCATGACTACAACAACTGGGAGGACTTTATAGCCCCTCCCACCGTCCACCGCGTCACCAGTACAATACCAGACCAGGCGCGCTTACAAAACAACTTCCACCACGACCCGCACTATGCGCCGTCTCTACACTCCAACTTTCTAGCAAATACAGAGGATGAACTGCAGGCAGCCGCGACGCTGTTCAATCAGGCACAGCCCTCGTACATCAACGGCCGATCACATAGCATGCATGAGCAGCCACATGCAAGTACAAACTTTGCCGTAAATTGCACTTCCGATTTTAGTCACACTGGACTGTCCATGACTATACCCCCGCACAGTCTCATGAATGAACGCCTGGGTGTCCTGACTCCGAGCCATAATGGCCAGGGCATGGATCCACAATTTCCACCGCAGTGGTCGACAAGCAAAGCGCCGCAGCAACAGCAAGCAGACTTTGGGCCGCCGCTACAAAAGCTAGATCTGAAGAGATCATATACTTTTGGCACAGACAACTCATTCAATAGTCCATCCGGCTTCTCCGGACTTAACGGCCGCCCGAGCTCACAGGTTGCGGCACGGTCTTCAATAAACGACGTGGAAGAGACGCACCAACACTTGCTGCGCGCAGTAGCAGGTATCGTTGAAGCTCCAAGTACCAGCCCTACCACATATACCCATACAGCCTCTTCACTTGCCCCTGGACCGCGCGACGACGACGATCAGTCTGAAGAAGATGTCTCCAACGACGAGCACGATGATCGGCCGGCAAAGAAGCGGAAAAAGAGTCTAGCCAAGGGCGGCAAAGACACTCCGAAAAAGGCTGCGCGCAGCAGCAAAGCCCGCAAAGCGGTCGTGGCTGAAGAAAGCGCCAAGAAGAAGCGGACGCCGGCTGCAGCACAAAAGACACACCGCGAGAACCTGACGGAAGAACAGAAGCGTAACAACCACATCTTATCTGAGCAGAAGCGTCGGGATTTAATCAAGCAGGGCTACAAAGATTTGAACGAAGTCGTGCCTGCCGTCCGCGGCGGTGGTCTCAGCAAGAGTCAAGTCCTAGTCGAGGCTGCGAATTTCCTAGAGAAACTCATCGAAGATAACGAAACCTACCGGCGATCAGCTGGGTGAGCATCATAGGGGTCGACGTTACTACCGCGCACGCTTCACGTGTCAATCACAGCCACGCGCCCGCTATCGCATTAGGGTTCCTGCTTGGACCGATGCAGCTTTGGCAGGACAGCTAGACTGGATCTTGAATTATTACATCACTTGGCAGAGAAATTGACCACAGCTTGGGGACCTTTGATCTCCACTCGTCTTTGGATTCCAAACTTGTCACATTCCGGGGCACCCTGGGCAGGAGAACCCGTCGATGGATATGGAGCTCAGATGAAAAGAGAGCATTACCTGATGCATTTAGTTTACCTTTTAGGAGTTTAGGATAGGCTACGATACCCCGACGAGGAAAGCTGAAACTTGTGTAGAAACATGTAGTTAAAAAATAAAACTTTGTATATACCTCTCTATCTTATACCTGCTGCATCTTCTCTTCCAAACCATCTGTACAGAACCCCACAATCATGCCTCTTTCTTCCCACCCCCTGTCTCCTTCGCCCCCTCCTCTGGAATAACAACCCTCATAGCCTCGTTCCTCACCTTCGCCGCCCCAAACTCATGTCCCACGGGTACACCAGGCACCCTACTACTCCGCCTCCCCGCATTCGCGCCGGGCCCAAAAACCCGCTTCTTCTGCCCGGGGTAATCACACCGCCCGTGATCATTACAATACCCCGTCTTACACTTCGCGTTACTGCGACACGGGGCCCCCAGACAAGCATCTGTGTCGCCACACGTCTTGCAAGCGCCCCAATCACAGTATTCATTCGCCGAACAATGCGCGGCTAAGAAACAAGGGGCCGGGTGATGATTCGGTGGTAGACAAAGCGGGGGTTCCTCCTCCTCCTCTTCTTCGTCTTGTATCTTCATATCGACAATAGCGAAGAGGTGCAGGAGGGAATCCGTATAACACGTCCCCTGGGGATTATTCGGTTGAATGACCAGTCTCTGCGGTTTTTGCGGCAAACCCATCCATGTCCTGCTCTTCTGCACGGGCTTAATCGTACGTCTCGCCGAACAAGTCGCGCATTTCCCCTTTTCACAGCGTAAATGCGATAGACAGGGTGTTTTACTATTACACTTCTCACCCACTTTCCCAGGCTGACTCTCAGCCAGTCTGACACATACGCTATTTTTACACCACAGCTCCGGTCTACATCCGTCGGGTGCGTCGCACAAATGTCCCTCACAGCCGAACGTACAGTCGCTCTGCTCGATGATGTGTGGGTTTAGCGGGACGGATGTTATGTTTGAGAGGGGCAGCGGGGAGATACTCCATTCTTTTGTGCGGTCCTTGGTGAGCATTTCGCGGAGGTAGTGCTCTGTTTCTTGGGTCGCGGTGAGCGGGGTGATGGTATAGGGGGGTGGTAGGTAGGCGGACCAGGAGAAGTGAGTGCGCGTGGTTTGAGATTGTTGGAGCAGAGAGCGGAGGACGGGCCAGGTTGTAGTGTGTGGGTGGAGAGGGTTTATTCGTGAGGAGGTCGATTCGGGGAGGGAGGTTAGGTGAGAGTATAGCTTTTTTCTGGTGTTAGTACGCTTGGGGAGGGTGGGATGGGGGAGGAGGGAGACGTACCCAAGGAATCCCCCTATAATTCAAAGCTGCACCCTGATCCCAAACCGCCTCATTCCGATAAAACAACCCAAGCTCGTCATTATGAACATAACTCCACTCCTCCACCAACAACAACTTCCCCCCTTTCCCTTTCGCGTTCCCATCCCCCAATGCCCGTGCCGTTAGCGTATTCCCAGGCACAAACATATTCGCCCACGGCGTGCCCGCCGTAGCATCTTTTTTCTTGGGATAATACCCATGGATCCCAATCACATCAATGGCCTCGCATTCAAACACGCTTTCAGGATAGTTTTCAATGCCGTCAGCTGATAGGGGGCCGGAGACCCCGCCGCTTATGAGGCAATGGAGGAGGCAGAGAGGTTGATGGTGTCGTGTAGATGGGTGGCTATGTCGCAGATCCAGGACTCGCCTGCGGGTATGGGCCAGATTGAGCTGAAGGGTTGGTTTTGGGTGTCTACGCCCTGGCGTATTTGTTAGCTCGATTGGGGGCTTGAGTTTTTGAATGGTCAGATGGGAGGGGGGGAGTGAGGGGGACGGACGAGGATGACTTCTGAGAGTTTGCTCCATGGGCGGCCGTCAAAGTTTTTGGAGGGGTAGTGTTTAAAGAAGACGTCGAGACGAGTTTTGTAGAGTTCGCGGTCTGGGATGGGGGGATTAGTAGAGGGTTTTTTTTACTTAATTCATCTTCCAACGTACATTCTTCTACGCTATAAAAGTCAAGGAAAGCGCCGTTGAGTTTCTTGCAATAAGCGTCACAGGGAATATCGTTTGTTCCACGAAGGGCGTGAGAATCATGCGGTGCGATGATAACTTTGACCTGGCCTAACACAATATTAATAGTGCATCTCCATACAAATCACCAACTCAACATACCTTTCGACAAATGATGTATCGCAGCTAACGTATCATCAAACTGATCAAGCATCGACTTGTCAAAACCACCAATCTCACTCTCGGGCTAACATCGTCAACGCTCCATCTCTCACAATCTAACAACGCACACTCATCTTACATCAGGATGTAACTCATCAGGTCTTACTATATCCCACTGTCAGCTCTCCTGCACACACCCAACGCACAACGGCGGGGAACATATTTACTAAACAGCCTTATGACCCTGGCCCCACTCCTCACAATCTCCCGTATCGTATCATCGCGATGTTTGGGCGTGAAAAACTGTAATTGAGGATAATTCACACCACCGAACGAGTGGTTGTCCGCTGTAATTCTCAAGCTCTCTGCTGCTGAGCCGTGTCCCGTGAAGGTCACCAGCGACACCAGCGCTGGTAGCAGAAGGGATGGTAATATCATTGTTTCCCCCTCACTCAAAGAAAGATGCAGATATTGTAGTAGTGAAGATGGAGAAACTGTCAGAGATTGAGACTAAATAGCAACCCTATATGTTTTTTTCTCGTCCATCTGGACACGTGTAAAACCGTTGCAAACACGGTATGTACCGGTACATTCACGTGGATTATAGCCACATTTGTGCTTTAAGGACCGGGGACTAAGGTACGGTTTTGCGGGCGTGAGGGAAGCGGCTCATATGTGTATATTAATTGCTAGGTGGAGAGCTGGCCAATGGGAGCGCGCATGTTGGGGATGTGTAGGGGTGCGAACGTGAGAGTGTGCGGGGGTGATGGGAATGTCACTTTGGTGGGAACGTGAGCGGCCTGAATTTAGGGGGCTATGTGTGTGGGATTTTTCTCTCTTGCGCGCGAGGGCTTGGTTGGGGTGGAGTGAGGTGTGGAATTTGTGGGGGACGCGGAGGTCCGGGGAGGGACCGGGAGTGATGCGAGGACGGTCGCGGTGTTGAGGAGTGGGAAGGATGGTTCAAAAAAGATTGCAAAGATTGTACTGTACCAAAACTAATTCCTTCTATCGCTAATTGTTTGTGGATTGTGTGTCCTTTGACCTCAGATGTACTGAGCTGCGGGACTAGGTTGAGCACTCCCAACGGACTATGCTCTTTTCAAGCATTTCTCAAGTTCACCGTTGGAAATATTGAGATCAGCTCATATCTATACCTGCACTGTGACTGTTTCGTTGTACGTGACTGACGGCGCGTTTGGTTTCACTTCATGGAAGAAACCTACTGTGGTCCATGCCTTTTCAGAGTACGCCAGGCTGACTTGCTGGGTTCGTTATATAAATCGTAAGAAGGTATTCGTAAGTCCAGTAACATGTTCATCAAGCAGGCTTCTCGCAGACAGCTTCCAGTCGTCCGAGGGTTGTCAGGACTTGTTCTCCAAGAGCCTCACCACTGGCTGAGGAGGGGAACCGGCCATGTCGAAGGTCACTGAGCGCGCCAACCACGTCTTGAACCTCAGCTAAGACTCTATTATTTTCTTGCTCTATTTCGGCAATCTGTGCCTCGATGCTCTGGCATGCCTCTTCGATGTCGGAGTGGACGGTTTGTAGCGTATGCGGTTTCTTGCGACTGCTCCCAGACAACTGTTCACAACGTCAGTAGTGTCCTCGATGATGACATGCGTATGATGGCAATACCTCTTCTTCCATCTGAAGCGTAACAGTGTCCAGTCCTGCTACGGTCGCATTGTCCAGTTGACGTCTCTCGCGAGCATATTCGCGCCTCAATTGCTTGGACCGCTTGACCTCATCGGCGATATCTCGGCGTACAAGTTCAATTTCCTTCTCTCGCAATCTGTGGAGCTCCCGGTAGATATCTTGGACGGCCGGATTCGCACGATGGGTACGGGGGAAGATGTCGGTAAAGTCGCGTAGTGTGACAAAGTCGCGTAGAGGAGCGGGTGCCAGGAGGAAGTCACCAAGGAGCTTAGCTTCTTGCGAGGACATTGTTATGGTAGTGGATGGCGAGGTTGAGCCGGTCCAGTCGGGTATACACGGTTGGCAAGTCAGTGTTCGTTGTGGGATGCCCTGAAGATGGAAGATCGGAGGCGCGACGACGCGTGCTGGTCCGTGCCTGCTCTCAGAAAAGACTCCGTAAGATGCGGCTGCAACGACCTCATGCAAACGTCGACCGAGCCATCTTTCATCAGGCCCATCGACTTCATCCTAGTGCTTGAAGTGAAAGACATTTGCCTTGCCGTTTCCATCATCTTCATCTGGCGCATCTTAGCGGCAGCAACACGCGATACGTGGTCGTCCCATCTCTCGCACCCTTACGCCTCCACTCTTAACTTCTCAACCTGCCAACCTCGAATTTGTTACTTCTCAGCACAATCATGGCGCCAGCGGCTGTACCTGAGCCGTCGTTCAAAAAAGATGAAAAAGTGTACTGCTTTCATCACGAGCTGCTCTATGAAGCAAAAGTGCTTGAACTGAGGCCTGTTGAAGGCGATGAAAAGAAGAATGGCTTCGAGTACAGAGTGCATTACAAGGGCTGGAAGAACACGTAAGTCTCATTCATCTGGTTTCCTCACTTGGCATCTAGCTAGATCCCGCTGGGTTCACACCGCGCAAGTCACTTTTGCCGCTCATTGCCCTCACTTCTGCACCATTGCCCAACCACGCCACCTCGTTCAGTCACTTGTATCTAAAACTTCCAACTAAACCTTTCCTCTCAACTTTCACTTTGTTTTCGACCGCTACGTGCAACTGTTAACATTCCGCAGCTGGGACGATTGGGTTCCTGAAGATCGGCTTCGCAAGCTTTCGCCCGAGAATCGGGAGCTGGCTAACAACCTGAGACACGAAATGCTGGCTGCTCAACGCGCCGCACGAGCTCAACCTGCACCTACTAAGAAGAAGACTCAAGGATCAACTCGCGGCAGCGAAGAACGCCAAACTTCCGTTACTGCTGCGCCTCGTGGTCAGAAGAGGGTCCGCGACAACGACCTCGAAAAGGTATTTACTCGACATCAAAGCGTTAATCATTTTTTCTCGTTTTCTCGCTAACTGTTTTTACAGGAAGAATCTTTCCAGAACAAGCTAGCTGTCAGGATCTACATGCCGGACAGACTGAAGAGTCTCCTGGTCGACGACTGGGAGAACATTACCAGGAACTTGCAGCTTGTGCAGCTACCTTCAGCTCACCCCGCCGGCATTATTCTTGATGAGTATCAGAAGCACGCCATCGAGACTGGAAGCCGCACTCGCATGGAGCGTGACATTCTTGAAGAGGTCATCGCAGGTGTGAAAGAGTACTTCAATAAGTGTGTCGGTCGCCTACTTTTGTACCGCTTTGAGCGCGAGCAGTTCTATGACATTTGGACGCGTACTCAACAACCTACCGACGACCTCGCTGGCAAGCCACTTTGTGACATCTACGGTGGCGAGCATCTCCTACGTCTTCTAGGTGAGTACTTTCTGGATTTTGCACCCGATCATGACTAATTAGTCTTAGTCACCATGCCTGAGCTCATTGCGCAAACCAACATGGACCACCAGGCAGTCACGCGCTTGCGCGGAGGAACTTAGTCAGATGACTACCTGGCTGGCCAAGGACTCTCAGATCAACACTTTCTTTGTGCCCGCTTATGAGAGCCCGGGACAGGCGTACATTGACAAGGTCAAGTCTAGCACCTAGAAGATTAGCTTTTCCAAGGAGGACTCTTTCAGTTCTGAGAACTTCAACGGGGTAGATGTCGATTGACAGGACATCCGACCGGCAGCGTGTGAATCAACGACAGCTTTCATTTTTCTTCGTACCACTACTTCCTGCATGGCCAAGGGTCTTGGGACATTGCTTCGAATGGCGCATCGGCGTTGTAATCAAGATGGCTCAAAATACGAGCTTTCCGTGTGTGGGTAATTGGAGTCATGCTATCAGAATGCAATCATAGTAATACAGGATTCTATTGCCCGTTGTATCGAGTCTTCTATCGTGAGCCTTTGATAACGCTTTCCAATACACCAGCTGCCCAGTTCAGGCACCTCGTCATGTCGCCCTCTGCCTCCTTTGGCATACCATGTATACCCACGTTTTGACAGACATTTGGATCCAACTCGCCGTCCACGTCGCCATGTTTGAACAAAAACCTATGATCCTGGACATAGTTTGGCCACACAATATTATCTACGTAGCCTGGAGGGTCTTGCCAGAAGCCTTCTAACGTCACGTAGCCGCTTCTTGCCTCTCGTCTCCGCTTTGCTGTCTCGTAACTGGTGCGTAGGAAGAGTTTAACATCAAACAGCTCGCGAATATCCTTCATATCCTCGGAGAAGAGAAGAAAGCCATCACGATGCAAATGCGTCGGCCCTCCCACTCCGGCTTCCCTTGAAGCCATGTGCGCACCTCATCCCTCAGTCTCTGGATCTCAGCTTCCGGAACGTAGTGCTCGCCCACGCTATTTTGGTCCTCTCGGCTCACGAGCCATTCTGGGCTCTTGCCCCGCTCTTTGATATGCTGCAGGGCGGACTTGAGCTGCGGGAGATTGATTGATTCTATGCAGTCCCAGTCCTGGACACCATTTTTGACGGGAATGTCGGCGTCGGTCTTGTAGAAGTCATCTAGGTGAAGGATGAAGAGTTTGGAGGGGGGGAATATGTCGCGCAGGAGCCGGGAGAGGGTTGTTTTGCCCGAGGAAGAGGGTCCAGATATGCCGACGAGGAGAGGTCGAGACATGGTCGGGGGTTCACCACACGCCTTCTGCTTCCTATGTCTACGCCAGCGGGGCTATCCAGATGATATGTTATGCGGAGGTTCCGTACCTAAAAAGCAATAAGCCCCAATCCCGGATCCTGGGTGCCAAATGCATCCCACGTTGATGGAGCCATGGAACATGGTGGGGCTGATCGGGATTCGATCGCCCCTCGGCCCGCTCAAGTTCCCCATGCGCGACGCGACATGATGGCCATGAGAAGCTTGACATTATCGCGTCCACCCGTCGACGCCTTTTGTAGTCATGGAGCCGTCACCGCTGACGCAAGACTCAAGACCTGATATATTCCAGCCCAAAATCATCAGCCTTTACGAAACCCTTTTCAAGGTGTGCTTCCCACAAATCCCGGCGTAGAAAACTGGCTTACACGGTATAGGAAGATGAGGAAGATGTCGAGCTATCCGAGGGTTTCTGGCAGGAGTTCTTTCTCCACCGGCCAGATACCTCCGGTCTGAAGAAGATGCTGGCCTCGGTTACTCCCGACGACATGCTACATCAACAGGCGCATTCCCAGCAACTGTTCCGCCAGGCCATTGTCCGCGTCAAGCAAGCCAAAGCCCCCGCCGACGAAATCGCCCTCGAGGTACGATGATGCCGCTGTAGACATGGCCTCACGCGCTTACCGCTTAGACCTTGACAGTCTTTCTCGATGCAGCCCTGAGCAAAAAGTACACGAATCCGAGCTCGGATATCATATCTGTCCTCTGCGGTCTCAACGATGCCGACGCTGTCATGACCGACTTTGTGGCCACGCTCGATACGGCTATACGAGGTGGGAGGAGTAGTAAGTCAAGCCCGGAGAATTGATTTGGGGGACCAGCTGATCAGATTAGTATCGGTGCGTCTGAGGGCTGTTCGAGCCACCCTATCCATAGCCGCCGCTGGCTTCCAGACAGCGCTTCCGTCGTACTTTACACATCGAGATCTATTCCCTTCACTTATGAAAGTATGATAAGAGCGTATACAGGGGCAGTATGGATACTGACGCGTACAGTACATTCAAGACTGCGACAACAGTACCGATGTCCTACCCGCTCTTTACCTCCTCGGTCTTTTGACAAATTACAACAAGTTCGAATTCCAAAATCCGTATAGACTACGGCTAGATGATTTTGTCAACGATGAAATCATACAAGACATGGTCGCGTGCTTTGGGAATACCTGTATAAAGCTACGGGATGCATACGTGGCTGTTCAAGACGACATGCCCGAAGGCTGGACGCTGGGATCAACATTGAGCTACATAGGTTTGGGCGCCCTTGCCCCGACTTCTCGCCCAACTACGCCCCAACCAGCGGCTGAAGATGCAAAGTCATTATTTGCTACTTTGTAGGTGCTATACGCATGATAGCCTGTTCTAGGCTAATCATCTACAGACCCGGTCCTGAAATTGGCCTTCTACTCTCCACGTACGACTTTGCCAATGCCAATAAAGTCTTCTGCTTCAACCTGGTCAAATTTGGATTAGAAAACAAGAGCCAGCCAACGCCCCTCAGCGCCTATCTTTCCTTGACTTCTTACATGTTCCAGCATGCCCATCGGTCTACAAGAGCTGCATTGTACACATATCTCAGTCTCTTTGTACTACAAATACTTGTTGAAGATCCGATGCTCGTCAAGCGTCTTTGCAGTGACGAGACGAAGCTTTCGGTGCGCTTATGTCGCCAGAGACAACCGTATCTCCCTATTGTGCGGGGTGAAAGAGTTCCTGCGGCTATAATTCTGGATATGGTGTCTGATGGCATCAGCCATAACCTACGGAGGCGGTTAGACGTCGACTTTTACACGTAAGTGTGTCTGTTTTATTTAGCCGACACCCAGCTAATACCTTGTAGTCTCTGTCTAGGCGTCCTCTTACGACTACTTTCGTATCTCAGTAGAGCCAAAGTCCGCATCGCATACCACTGGTCAGAAATGTGGCGGACTCTGCTATCTTTCGTCCGCTTCCTCACTACCTACGAGAGCGATATCAAAGCAAACTACAAAGCAAACAGTATGGTCAACGTCCTCGTCAATCTCCTCGCCTTTGCTCTTTCCAGCGGCGAAAACTTCCTCCCTGATCCCGCCTCATACGACGACCTGTTTTACAAACTCGTCGAGAGCGGCGATATCCTGACAAAGTTCCGAGACGCATATGGATTGGCTGGCCAGTCTGATTCGATGCAGACACTCATTAATGTGTCTTCGCATTACCAGTCCCTTCTCGAAAGCGACAAGGCAAAGGCGCGAAGCAAACATTTGAGTCCGCAGGAGGTTAACACTATCATCAAACAGGGGTATGAAACGCTTTCTATCGATGCGAGTGAGGGGCTGGATCGGTGGGAGAAGTTTCGAGAGGCTGATTACAAGTCGCTACTAAAGAAGATTGCGAGGGCTGCGGTGGAGGATGCCAAGGCGTTGAATGCGGAAGAGATGAAATAATTCACCACTGTAGGCTGGGTACTATAAGACTGAGTCTCGAGAGGCTTACGAATCAACCTCCATGCCGAAATACAAATCGAAGTATGCGTGTATCTCTCATATTCCCGGTACCCGTATATCGATTGATGTGGGGTGCATACATAATCCTGCCGCAAGCGTCTCTCTCCTGTGGTTCTCCTGTATTGATCGACATGCAGACACCACATTGGTCTACATCATCACGTGCGGGTGTTATGACCGGTGTACATAGAACCTGATTGACCGGCTAGGTAGTCTGTTACCCCTCACATTGTCCAGAGCATGTCCATACCGTACCAGATGTTACCTCGTGCCTTCTCTCCATATCTCCTTCCACCATGCTAAGAGAAAGCCCTCTTCCCCCATCAAATCATCAACATAACGACATCCAATTCAACACCATCTGTACATTATGGCCACCCATCCAGCCCCCTACAACATCTTCGAACCAGGCGAAAGTTCGAAGGTACGTATCCCCTCCCCCTTCCTCTCAAGACAACCCCCCAGCGGATCCATCAACTAACTAAACTCACCAGCAAACAAATCTTAACACCACCCCCGCCTCATCCATTTACACCATCTACTCCCTTCCCTCATCCAACCCCTCTCCTACCTCAGAATCTCCACCTTTCCCCAACCCCCAACCTCCTTCTCCCAGAAACCCATACACAACACCCCCTTCAGCCACCTACACGCTCCCTGCACCGCCAACAGCCAGACCACGAGCGGTCGGACCACCAGCTGTTCGGTACCCACGCAGAGTGGCAACGGCAGCAGGAGGGTCACGGTATATGCATCTTCGTGAGTTGGAGGACGGTGGTGGAGATGGCGATGACGATGGTTTGACATGGAGGACAGAGGGGAGAATAGGGGAAAATATGAGGAGTACGATCTTGGCCATCCCGGTACCGAAGTTGAAACCGGTGGTTCAAGTTTTCGTGGCTGAGTATCAGGGGTTGAGATTGTGTGCGATTAGTGATGCTGTTCCTTGGTGTATGTTATCCCCTCTCCTTTCTTTCCCACCTCTTTTTAACAAGAAACCGCAGTACTATCCCCCCTCTCCATCCCCATCCGCCTCCAAGCCATCCTCGAAGACGGCACCCGCTTTCCAGCTCCACTGTGTCATCCAGCACACCGGTACACGCATACACCGCGGGATAAGGCGCTGTTGGCTCTTCTGACTTCGCTGGATGGAAGGAGGGAAAGGGGGAATTGGTATGCGCAGGGTTTGGCTATTAGGGGTGGGAAGTTGGTGCTGTATAGGAGGGGTGGTGGTGATGGGAAGGGGGGTGTTGGACCGCTGGGTGTGGATTCAGGGATGTTTGAGATGTGGGCAGAGGAAGAAGTTAGTGGGAAAGGGAAAGGGAAAGTGGAGGAGGAGGATGGGGACGTGGAAATGTTCAAGCCGTCTGCATTTGGATCTGGATCAAGGAACAAGGCTTCGAGCGTTCCTCCTCCTCATCCACAGCATCCACAGCATCCACAGCATATCCGGCCGGAAAACACGCAGGACATACAGCTCACACCATTCCCGCAACCTGAGAGGTCAATTTGGAGCAAAAGAACCCCTGCTAGAACTGAGGAGGGCAGAGTCGACGCCCATGAGCCAGCGCAAGCTAGGTGGTGGGCTGGGGTGAAGACTACGACGCGGAAGGTTTTACTGTGGACGTTTGTGAGTGTAGTTTGTACTCTTATCATTGGGGGCATTATTTGGGGGTTGATGGGAGTTATGGTGAGGAGGGACTAGTGATGATGATGATGATGATGATGTGAAATGATTAGGGTCATTGTGTGTGGTGGCGTTGTGGACACATGTATATCTGTGGGATTTCCTGAATTTTTAGTGTTTAATGTCATATATTCTCTGCTATACACGCCTCATCTCCGGTCCACAATTCATGACTATGTTATACCAGTCTCCATACGAGTGTAATCTGGCCTGTAGATCTTAACTATCTCACAGCAGCAATTCAATCTTCAGGTATAGTTCCCGCCCCTCCAATACCGCCAGCGTCTGTCTCTCGATTGTTGAGTTGGAAAATGTTGAGTGAAATAACCCTTCCAATATATACTTGGAACGGTATATATTCAAAATGAGTTAAATGGTAATCATCATATCGGCGGAGACCAAAGAAGACAGTGCCATCCGCCCTGTTCCACATTTATGCTGTAAGCTCTGCTCCAGGAGAGCGTTCCATGTGAGCAATGGGGTCATTCTCCTGTATTAGGGTAACAGTGAATGTGTTCCAGCCGGGATTGCCCCAGGGTAGACAGCCAAAGCCGGTTCGACACACAGATTGAGGTCTTGCCAGGACAACAACGGCAAGACACATCAAAAGGAGGTGAAGATATTTAGAAAAAGTTCGGAGAATCGTGATGTCAAAATGATATGATTGGAAGGCTTGGTGTGGTTGGGGTGAATTGTGAACAGAAAATGGAATAGTAGGAACCCAATGCTTTTATATTCTTGAGCCTGATGTTCCAAGCCTCTCCTCGAATGTTCCGGAAAGTAAGCCGATCTACACCATGCGGCTGGCTTTCTAAATACTTTTGACACATAGAAACCCCGCCTTGAAACTCAAATAAATCACAATGTAGTGTGTTAAAATATCCAATGATGATCTGTATCAGTGTTGGTGACAGTGATCTTGGTGCTCGAGAGTACTTTGATGTACTGCACGGGCAGAGATGTCAACAAGCAAGTCAAGCTGGCTTGATTCTTATCGATTGCAGATCACAGACAATATAGAGGCTCGTGCACAGTGGCACGTCCCAGAGAATGGTCTGTGATCTGCAATCGATAAGAATCAAGCCAGCTTGACTTGCTTGTTGACATCTCTGTGCACGGGTGAGTCAGCTATACGGGCCGTCTCGTATGTATAGACTAGTGTAGTTCTTGGCCACACAGATTCCGAGAGAATTGTTGGCCAACAGGATAGCTTGGGTATGGCAGATCATCACCTACTATAGATCAATGTAATCTCGGTATTACCACTTCACCAGGTCCGTTCCGTGCCATCCCGTACAACTCAACTCCAGTCTCCACGAGCTCTATTTAGTGTAATCCCGTATAGCATAGCTCTAGTCTATACGAACTCTATTCAGTGTAATCCCGTATAGCGCAGCTCTAGTCTATACGAACTCTATCCAGTGTAATCCCGTATAGCGCAACTAGATTCAACACGAACTCTGTTCGGTGCAATCCCGTATGAACCAACTCCAACCCCTGTCCTATCCCGGCGTAGCACCGTGTTCCTGAGATATGCAGTCCCATCTCTGGCAAAGCACCGTCATGATCTATGGAATGATGCTGTTTGTGACTGTTACTCGACGATCAATCCACCCTCAAGTCTTTGTTTCTCCACCGTAAGCGACGAAAGCCGCCGTGGATCATGTATTTCGGCCGATGATAGACCAAATACTGTACTGGTTTTTCGTGGAGAGGACCGAGATGAATTTTGAACTGGGTGCATAGTGTGGAATTGCACTCGTCTCCCCGTCACGGTTGAATTTTTTGGGTTTTCAAGTGGGGGTTTTCTATGTATCAAAAGTTGACTCTATAATTGGAAAGGCAGCCGTCTATCAATCCGCGCTCACCGCCGTGCCATAAGCTGAAGGCCCCTGCCTAAACTTTTGCGGGTCAGACCGGCTTTCCTGATCAGCATTGATACCGTACATCACTATCTCAACCGCTCAGGTTTTTTCATAAATTTGCCACATGTCCCGTCGTTTCAAGTCCAGAAGCAAACCAAGACTTCCCCTTCTACTTGCACCAAACAGCTACGGCTACGCCTCGAACCCCCAACGAGATTCAACGCCTCCCCCATCCACGTTTCGACATTGAACGCCTCCCACCCCCATTTCGCCAAAAGTAAGTCTTAAGTGTCTTAATACAAATCATACAGACCATACAACTAACACCTTCCTCAATTAGTGAAGCCCTTGCTCTATGTCCTCGTCACAATCTCACCCGTCACTGCCGCTAGGATCTGCCACCTCGATTATTTCAATGCCGAAAGCAGGATGTCTTGGGATGACTGGAAGGCGGCTGCGCCAGGGACATGTGCTTCTCTCGGTGGGAATTGGGATGGTGGCCTGGGTGAAATAACCGATAACCAAACGATGACGTGCAACGGCGTCCCCAATTGGATTCCCTGTGACGGCGTCGCAGATGTAGGAGGGCACAACGTGGTTTTCGCTTGCAACAATTGCGCGCCCGTCCCAACCGGGCCACCAAGATAAGTCTTGGGAAGACATAGCTGATTATTGGACAATAGGAGGCAGGAAAGTTGCAAGGTCACAATACAACGATTTTGTTCCAATTAGCTACAAATTTAAACAGATTGTGAGAACCTATCGTCCCTTCTTAGGTGTAATACGAAATACATACGACTAATCGTGATTATATATCTGCAAAAGTGTAACTGGTATATTATGAAATTGGCTAAGGTTATTCGGATTGGCAGAAAAGATAACTAGGCCAGCACTTCTAAAATCGGGAAATTTGCTTTCATCGCAATCACAACGCCACCTACTTACAAGAGTGGAAACTCCTAATCAAACACTATCCTACTCCTAATCAAACACTATCCTACTCCTAATCAAACACTATCCTACTCCTAATCAAACACTATCCTACTCCTAATCAAACACTATCCTACTCCTAATCAAACACTATCCTACTCCTAATCAAACACTATCCTACTCCTAATCAAACACTATCCTACTCCTAATCCCACCTACTCTACTACTCTACCGCCTACTAGCCCCCCCTCTCATTACTATTCGCTACTACTACTACTACTACTACTACTACTACTGAGTCTATTCTCAGCCTGAACTGATCTCAAAATGAGCATGCAGGCTATCCTTTTCTAGCTATGCTAGTACTACTTATGTATAAGAGAAAAAGGTTACCCTACTAAAAAAACTCTTCCTTTTTGCCGCGCTAGCTTAACTATACGGGCAAGAGGATAGCAAGATTCGAACTTACTCTCTAGAAAACCAGAGCGGCCAGGTGTACGCCCACTACACTATGCCCCATCACTACTCGCAGGCACGACAGGTCCCAATCGCGCCCCAAACCTTGTCCACGCGACCCGCACCACCAATTTCCCAGCGAAGCCGTGCCGCAGTATTTAGCTCGAACCTACCTCCTCGTCACTGCCAGCCACTGATCGATTGATCGATTGATTGTGGTTTAACGCCCATTTGACAGCCTCCCAAGGGACATTCAGGCGGGTACCGTCGGAGGCTTATGCGTTTGGGGCGCTGCTTCGTGGTACCTATTCTATAGAGATAGTTACAAGTCGTGGGTAGAGGTCCGCCAGTTGACACTGCTGATCCCGTTATGTCTGTGGCGTGGGGCCGTGTTGCTCTGTCGGCCAGCCACTGATTGACTACTCGAAGGGATACATTAGGTTCGGTATAAGCCGTGATTTCCGCTCCGCTCCACTCCGCTGGTTGTGTTCCTTGCAGTGCGTTCCTTGCAGCGAGGGTCTAGGCTTTGGGGATCTGCTGGTAATGTACCCGGTGATCGGCTCGGCTAGGGAGCAAGTTTATTGGCTGGTAGCCGGTTAGGATGGGGTGTGTGTACGGGGATGACGTGATGATTGTGGAGTGGTGGTGGTGATAGGGGTTGATCTCCCAGTACGTAGGTACGCGTAAGATACGATACGAGTCCTACTGTACGGGGGATGGCTGGCATGGTTGTGTCGGGACTTGGGCTTCAACACAGTTCCCTCTAGGAAAAAAGGATAGCTTGCATGCTCATTTTGAGATCAGTTCGGGCTGGAAATAGACTCAGTAGTAGTAGTAGTAGTAGTAGGACTTGGGCATCGTAGTTTGAGATCGAACGATGACAACAATGACCATGACATCAGATTTCCTGCTGAGAAACTTTCCCCCTTTGCTTGCCGACGTCGGGATATTCCGCTAGCACTCATATTCCACTACTGTAAACCCACCCACCCCCTTTGCGTTGCATTTTGCCATCTTGCAGATTTCTCAGATCCTTGTTGCAAGCGCGTTCAACGTTTGTTAGATAAGTTAGGGGTACTGGACTGGACCCGTAGACACAAAGTACCGGTGGAGCTTAGCTCAGGAACATACGGTCTGTGCCACGCGACGACGCGAAAAAAACGCGAGAAAGCCTATTTTTAGGCCGATGAGAGTCTGGACCACAGCATCGGCAGCAAGCAACTGTCAAACTATGAACCTGGTTTGTCTTGTAACAAAATGAGGTCCGTGGGAAAGATGGACCACAGCGCTGGGTCGCGACTAGCGTCGATGGGAGCACCGGCGGAAATGAGGGCGTGTATTACATTGTTTTCGATTTTTGTTTCTTAAGTGTATCGGGATGGGGTTGTGATGGACGGATGGGGGAGACGGGGGGATGAAGTCAGGGTAACAATTTCTCCGAGGTAGCGATACCGTTTCAGATTGTATGGGGGAAGGTGAACGAGAGAAGGGTGTTTGTAACATATTGTCCCTCAGCTGCTGTTTTGGCAAAAGCAAACATACCAGCAGTAACAGGAAAAGACAATATAGGCACTTTGCCTAAGAATAGGTATCACGACCTTACTCACGACAACAATAACAACAGGAAAAACTAAGTTCCCTCAACACCGAGTTCACTATCGCAGCTCGCCTGATGGACCCAACAATGCGCCAGCAAAGGCACCTAACCCTAAACACGACGAGAGAAAAAAGATGAAGGAAGCATTTTTCCGCCTCGCCTCAATACTGCCTGTAACTATCCAGCCCGTAAACCCCTAGCTCCCAAACCCCATCTGAATCGGAACACGAGCCTCACGATATTTCAAATACGAGAAACAAAAAAAACCAACACACACACACACACACACACACACACATCGGATACGGGACCCCCTCCACCCCGGCCCACTGCAACAGTTACACCACCAGCCACCACACATCTGCGGCAACCCGCCACCCTGACACCTGTCAAAACCAGAAAGCGGAACCCCCCTCCACCTTCTACAACACACACTGCAGACAAACTGTTTTGAGTTGATTGAACGAAAAAACGAGTGAGCGCGGCGGGGGCCCGGCGCCGATTATCGGGCCTATTTTATTGCAGGGTGCGTCTGTTCCCTTTTACGGTTCCGCATCATCCATCATCATCATCGCACACACAGACACACCCTGACTGGCGGCTTTCCCCGCTTTTCTGGAACGTCTGTGTGCCGGTGTGTTGTGTGGAGATGAGGGATAGGTCCCTGAATCGGGTTTGCTGTTGTGGTTATATTGAAATGTGTCCACGGGCGTGAGACGTGGTGGCTGCGACGGAGTCTGGGTTTATCGCATTGCAGGAAGTTGTAGGGTTGTGTTGTATTGGCGCATTTGGCATGGCATTGGAAAGGGGAAAAAGAAATGCCGGTTGTGAAACGGGGACCTGGGGAATTTTGGTTCCGTGCTATTATCGTCGTCTGTACTGTCTTGCATCGCTGTTGTGTGTGTGGTGTTATTTCCGTTTCTAAAATCTGGGCTCGCGTCTGTCGGTACTACTACCGATAACTCCATCGAATTACAGTACCATACACACACATCGAGCATCGACACAACCACACTCAGAACTTTTCAACTCACAGATAGGTCGACGGAGCAACCTTCCACCAATACAAACGGCCTCGGAATCATATCAAGTTGCCCAATGCATATGGCCTCCCGGACACGAGGGCGACACCCGATCAGCAAAAGCCAACGGATCGACAGATAACCCTAAACCCAACCCAACCCGGAATCCTTATCAACCAGTTACCCTGTCCGCCCCTCATACGTATTCGGCCCGGTGACACAGGCCCGCGATAGTTCCCAAACGGCTTCCCATGTATTTTCGTATCCGGCTTAGTTGGGAAATAACTAAAGTTGTTCCTGATACAAAGTCTTTGTTCGATCTTCATGCCTACGAAATTAGTCTTCCAGTGTAAGTAGACCTAGATAAAGCCAAACCCAGCGACATGCACAATCCACCCCTGACCTAGTAAAATACAAATCACATGCCCGCTTCCATCCTCTCGCTACATCGTGCACGTACCCGATACCCAATCTAACCCACTTCCCTGGAATTTTAGAAGTACCGCACAGCGCAGAAAATATTAACCCCACACCTGCTTGCTGCAGCATCAGCTATGCGCCTTTTGCGGCACCTTGGCGTTGACGCAATTACGGTCGCCTGAGCTTCTTTGGCTAGGTGGCATGGCATTTGTGCGAATATGCGTCCTGGGCTGCTGATGGATGATGTCATTGGCTGTGGGTGCGTGGTTTGCGTGGTTCCGCGGCGGTGCAAGGCTCCGGGGAGAGATGCGAGATGCATGCATGTGAAAAAAGGTTTATTGACACTTGTCATCTCAGCAAAGTCCCGTACGCGTAGATAATCGAGTCAGGTAAGGGAGGCGAGAGGCTGTGTACTTTCTCAAAGTTGTACCGGTAAAGTGGAGAAAAAAAAATGGTCCTGGTATTATCGCCCTTTGCTATGGTACTGGTACGATGCGGCTCCGATCGATACGTGCTGTGCATACTTGGAATGATAGCCACCTACGGTACCTACCGGTAGTAGAGAAAACGTTGCTTGCGTGATGCTCACCAAAGCAGACGCCAACACAAAAACCCGCAAGCGCATGAGCCTCATGGTGGTTCAAGTGTGGCAGTTGGCTTAATTTTTTTACCCTTGCGCGGTACCCTTGCAACAGAACAGGCAAATCGATTGATGGGGATCGGCGCGTCGATCTGGGAACCTTTTGTCACATGGCTGCGATAAATTCGCGTGTGATCGGCAAGCGATTAAAGACGGGATCACGTTAGTAGTGGCTTAGGGTGGGCAGGCATTATGGGACTATGGATCGAGGGATTCCAAATAATAGTATGTATTGCGCGTAGGGTGGAAGAGGGGTATGTTCACATGTACGTGTATGTGTGGTTTGGATGTGGGTGTGTTTGATTATAGTGTGTGTGCTACTAGAGCAAACATGTGAATGTGCTATATTGGCAATGCGATGATAATAAAAAGTTGTAAATAGTGAAAATGGTGATGCTATAGTAAGATCGTCGCCCTGGACAATATGCAATGTGGTATCATGGAAAGAATAAACACCGAAAAAATGCTCATCAACGCCCCGGGTGTACTCTTGCCTCATCCCTCCCTGTTAAGTTCGTGTTCATAACTCTCTCCCTCGGGTCCGTAGATCTCTAGTAGCTACTGTCTTCACTCGCGGCATCACTTGCTGACGATGCTGACGACGCTGAAGATGATTTGTCGGTAGTTGGTAACGGACCGAGAGTCCAGCGCCAGTCTCTCGTCCTCTTCCGTCGTCCGGCGACGGGGGTCTCGGGACACGAATCGCTGTCATCTTCCGATGAGGAAGAATCTCGCTTCTCTCCTGTTCGTGGTTCTCTCTTAGGTGAGCTTTCGGCCGAGGATAGGGTCGAGCTAGACTTGAGGAGAGAGAGTTGAAGAGGGGATATGCTGGTCTCGGGCGCAGTCTTGCATGGCTTTAGGGTCAAGGATGGCTGCGAGGTGGAGGCTTCCGACTCGTTGGTTGCGGTAGAGGCCGAAGATGCGATGGATGATAGGGTGGAGCAGGACGACTCAATGTCAGAGTGGGCAAGCGTGTACTTGGTCGTCGTAATTTCCTCCTCGAGTGGTGTGCGGAAAGACACGCGCTTCTCAGCGGGGAACATTGGTCGGCTGGAGTTCATTTTGCGTGGTATTATCGAACGTGCGGGACTGTTTGAGAGAATCGAGGCCAGGTTGTGAGGTTGCTTGTAGGGTATTGAGTGGGTGGCCGAGTCGTTTGAGGCTGATGTGAGAGTAGATGATAGAGTAGAAGCTGAACTGGGCGTGGATGCACTGCTGCAGGCGGGGAAGTCGCTCTCTATTGAGAGCTGAGGTCGCTGAGGACGCTGGAGAGCGGGAGCAGTCGATGGACGCTCATAGGCGTTTGAAAACGTGTTGCGGACGGTTGGCGATACTGCGCTGAGCGTCTCAAGACGTAGACTGGCACCCTTTCCTAGGATGCGTGGTTGCTCGGTGTTGATGGATAGCTTGGGCCTAGGCGGGGCCTGGCGCGGGGGTATTATAGGCAGCTGGGTAGTCATACTGGACATGGCAGATGATTTGGAGTATGACGGTATCGAGTGGTGTGATGGCTGGAGAGTGGAAAGCATCATGTGTTTAGCCCAGCTCCTGGCGTGGGTATGGGCAGATGATGAGGTTGCGAGGGACTGGGGAGCCGGTTGTCTCGTCGCTTTGCTGCTGCTGATGTGTGATGGGATCAAACAGGAAAGGCAAAAACAGCCGTCAGTGCGACGAGGGGCATGTCGGTATTAAAGAGGTGCCAGATGCTTTGATGCCACCAACCGCACTGGTGGATCCGCAGCGCGCATCTCAACGCGCGGAGGAGCACTTGGACACGAAGCGCCAGGCTGGGGCTGGTCCCAAAATACCCATCCTCGCTAGCCCGGTCCAAAGATAGATGATGGATGCAGCGTGGCAAAGGCCTGCCGCCGGCTGAGCAGGGGACGTGGGACGTTGGGGTAGAGAGGTTTGGGCTGGCGGCGATGCAGCTGGGGCCAGTCAGCGACCGTAGACGGGCCTGACGCGGTTTGGAAACATGTATCCTTCTTCCCACCCTGTGGCCGTATCGAGACTCGAACAGGAAGACGGCTTGGCAGAACGTCGTTGTTTCGAAGCCGGGCGCCTCTGGCCACACACGTCGGAGCTTCCCGCGCGCTTCATCTGCAATCTGCATGTCTGCACACTTGCAACTCGCACCCAGCGCTAACTCGCCGTCAAGGCATCTCCAGACATGCTTGGCCCTCACCGCACGACTGCGATTGCCATGCCCAAACGACAGCTGCAACCCATAATCCTGCACTTTGTTCGTAAGCACTCGCACAGCCCTCAAGTCTTGGCGGAAGGCCCCAGCCCGCCTACTCCATATCGCTCGTGTCCGATGGGCGGAGGGTTACGGCCGTTCATCACCCTCAGCCAGCCTGTACTAATACCATGTCTCGTATCGTGTAGGACTATGTACGTACTCATGCCCATGTGCGACTGCGCTTGCGCAATCAGTAACGCAAACTCGGCTCCGCTCCACAGGACTGCTTCTACGCCAGCGTCTTTGAGCACCAAGATCCATCTCTCAAGACAGTCCCACTGGCAGTCCAGCAAAAGCAGATAGTCGTCACCTGCAATTACGAGGCCCGAAGACGAGTACGATCCCTGGACTTTACCCCATGCAGTAGTCATCCGACGTGGCGTAGCAGCTTGTTGACTCTCGCAGGGCTTGCGTAAACTGCAGCTGATCCACGAGGCGAAGAGAGTGTGCCCAGATGTAGTCATCGTCCTCGGCGAAGACCTCACTCGCTTCAGAGATGCTTCCAAGCACCTGTATGCCTTTCTGCGCTCCTTCTCATGGAACTCGCGTTGCGAGAGGCTCGGCTTCGATGAGGTGGGTCGTCACACATGTTCTTTTCCAAATGTCTCAGCACCGCCACTTTCTTCTTCCCAATCCAGACCCTCCTAACAAGTTCCTTTACGCCCCTTCGCTTTTAACTCGAATACGGCGTACAGTGCAAATATATTGAGGCGGTCTAGGTCTTTCTAGACGTGACCGATATTATCGACTATAATGTCAGCATTCTCAACCATAATGATCCCACAAACGCTTTCTTTTGTCTTGTCAAGGATGACCCGACGGTCGGTTTTCCGTACAATGCGACGCGGCTGACGGGCCATCTGTACCCAAAAACGGCAACTAAAACTCTGGGTAAGCTACTCATACTGCCGACCATGTGGCGTGGCAGAAACATGTTCCCGCTTGTATCGTGAGATGCAAGGCTGACACCTGAGCGACTGTCAGCGGCTAGTGTACCTGCCACCAACATGGTACAAAACGGTCATGCACGTGCACTGCTATCGCACATCGTATGCACCAGTGATCGCTGGTAGCTAGCCGTGGGACTACTCGGGCGCTAACTTGCAGCAGAGACCACATCGTTGGATCCGCTACATCTTCGATTGGCTCTGGGTAGCCATCTGGCACACTACATACGAAGCCAACTTGAATCCGAAAAGGGCTATACGGCTACTGCTGGTGTTTCGACAAATAAGCTTTTAGCAAAGCTTGTTGGGAGCACCTATAAACCAAACGCTCAGACAACACTACTGCCGCCGTATGTCGCTGACGATGAGACCACTGACAACGTGACCTCCTTCATGGACGACCACGAAGTTGGAAAGATTCCAGGCATAGGGTTCAAAATAGCACAGAAGCTCCGTGCATATGCGCTACACAGACCGGCGGATTTTCATGCAGGATTGGTATATGGGGATACCAAAGAGAACGTGCTCGTGCGTGACGTAAGGGCGTGTCCTGACATAGGCCCAGAGACGCTCCAACGAGTGCTAGGCGGCTCAGGCGTACCAAAGGGAATCGGTGCCAAAGTATGGGGTCTACTGAATGGTTGTGACGAGGCAGAAGTAGGGCAAGCCCGTGAGGTTCCTCGTCAGATCAGCATTGAAGATAGCTACATCCGCCTCGAACGTATAGAGGAAGTGATCAAGGAACTTCGAATGCTCGCAGGACGACTGCTGGAGCGAATGTACACTGATCTATTAGAAGAATACGACGATGTCACAATCTCAGACGCTCTCACATGCCCAGTCCCAAAGCGGTGGTTGGCTCGCCCAAAGACGATTCGGCTTTCTACGCGGCCACGTCCCCCGCAAAATGCGGACGGCAGCCGAAATCGGTCCTTTGCGCGGATATCCAAGTCGGCACAAATGCCAACGTTTGTGTTTAGCCTCAAGGACGGCATGGACGTGATCGTCAGCAGGCTCTCAAACGAGACCCTTGTACCCCTCTTTCGGAAGCTTCACCCAGAAAAGCGTGGTTGGAACTTGAGTCTGATCAACTTGGCCGCGACGAATATGGTAGATGCTGCGAGCGAGACTGGCGGGACGGAGCGAGACATTGGCAAAATGTTCAAGCGTCAAGATGCAGTGCTTAAGCAGTGGAGGATAGAAGAGCCAGTGATGAAGGAAGCGCCGCAAGAAGCACCAGAGAGGGTTGGGTCTGAAGACGCTCCGACTCCATCGCAGGAAGGCGAAAACTCTATCCTCGATAACTGGGAGTCAGAAGACGAGGACATGATGGATGGAGACTCATTTCGCTGCGATGAATGTGGTGCCCTCATGCCGACGTTTGCAATGGGTGCGCATTATCGCTGGCATGCATCGTAGCCTGGCGAAACTCAAGCAATAATCAAGGCAGCGGCAACATTCTTGTTGCAGACGCTTGTTCATGCATTCTATGATTCTATGACCCTGATATCTTGACATAACCGAATCACAACCACAAAGCAACGGAGGTGATGCTAAATGTATAGCATAATAGTGTTGCATCTCGCAAGCAGTTCCTAAAGCAGTAGGCTGCCCCGCTAAATCCCCAGGTCCACTCCTTCCAGAAGGAACAATAGGCCCGGACGCTTATCGGCAACGGCTTCCTTAGCAATGCGAGCATGTGAAGGCAAGACGTTTGACGTCGACGGTCGCAAAGCTTTAAGCCTCGCGTCCACCCCAAGACTCTTCACCCCTATTGCTATGCGCTGTGTCTTGAACTGAACCAAGAGTCTTTGCCTGTTCAGATCATACACGCAATGCCCGGCTCATCGCGACTGCCAGTCAGTCTGCGCGACACCTTCATCGCCCGCAAGAACTCGGCCAATGGCCAGCTCGTCGCCTTCAACATTGACGTGCTGCGCAATGTCATCTTTATCCTCTTCATCCTCCGATGGACGCGCATCACATTCTACCAGCTAAAAGGCCGCGGTATCTTCGGGTCGCTCACCGAAGCTTACATCAACATTCGCAAGTACCTCTACGGCGTCTTCCTACGGCTCCCTGGCGTGCGGGACAAAGTCCAAGCAGAAGTTTCCGATTCCATCCTCAAACTAGAGCGCAAACTCGTTCCGAGCGGGCCCGGAGTTCATCGCATCACCAGTCTACCAGCCGAGGGATGGAGCGAAGATGCGGTGCGCGATAAGCTGAATGAGCTGGCCGAGATGGAACACACACGATGGGAGGATGGTCGAGTCAGCGGTGCTGTATACCACGGTGGAGAGGAGTTGATACGGCTTCAAACAGAGGCTTTTGGCAAATTCACTGTCTCCAACCCCATTCATCCGGATGTGTTCCCTGGTGTCCGGAAGATGGAGGCCGAGATCGTCGCTATGGTACGTTTGGCTCATGTAGAGGGCAAAAACGAAGGCTAACAATGTACAGGTTTTGTCCTTGTTTAACGCACCTCCAGATGCAGCGGGCGTCACAACCTCTGGTGGTACCGAGTCGATCCTCATGGCCGTTCTGTCCGCACGCAACAAGGCCTACAAGGAGCGCGGTGTCACCCAGCCTGAGATGATTCTCCCCGAAACCGCACATACCGCTTTCCGAAAGGCATGCGAATACTTCAAGATCAAGATGCACCTCGTAAAGGTCAAGGCACCGAGCTACAAAGTCCACCTACCCTCTGTATCCCGTCTGGTCAACCCCAACACCGTTATAATCGTCGGCTCAGCACCAAACTTCCCGCACGGTATCATCGACGACATCACTGGTCTTAGCAAGATTGCCTACAAGAACAAGATCCCCCTACATGTAGACTGCTGCCTCGGCTCCTTTATTATTCCCATGCTACCCAAGGCCGGCTTTGACTTTGAACCCTTTGACTTCCGCCTAAAGGGCGTAACCAGCATCTCCTGTGATACCCATAAGTACGGCTTCGCACCAAAGGGCAACTCAACCGTACTTTACCGTTCTGACGCCTACCGCAAATACCAGTATTTCATCTCACCCGATTGGTCCGGCGGCGTATACGCATCGCCTTCCATCGCAGGATCCCGTCCCGGTGCTCTAATCGCAGGCTGCTGGGCAAGTCTCGTCAAACAGGGTCAGAACGGCTATCTGGACGCCTGCCACAAGATTGTTGGCGGCATGAAGCAAATTGAAACCGCCATCCGCGAGAAGCCTGAACTTTCGTCTGACCTCAAGATCATCGGCCGACCCCTCGTCTCCGTCGTTGCTTTCCTCTCAAATACACTTGACATTTACGACATCGCTGATGGCATGTCATCCAAGGGGTGGCATCTGAACGCGCTCCAAAGTCCACCAGCTATCCACGTTGCTGTCACGCTTCCCATTGTTGCCGTCGTGGATAAGCTGATTGAGGATTTGGTCGAGGTTACCGAGGATGTTAGGGAGAAGGAGCGGAAGAGGATTGCAGAGGGCAAGGGTGCTAAGGGCGCTGTCAAGGGTGATGCGGCGGCGTTGTACGGTGTTGCTGGTAGCTTACCGAACAAGAGTGTAGTTGAGGATTTGGCCAAGGGTTTCTTGGATACTTTGTACAAAGCTTGAGCGAGTTTATTTTATGCAATTGATCGATATTCTTCCTTAGCCTGGGTCAGTCAGGCACTACATTGCAGCAGAGATTTTATTGCAGATGTGTGGAATTCCATTCATGTTCGACGCGACGAAGAGAGCCTCTTGCAATTTTCACAGTTTGCACGTAAAGACAAGCCTTGACTGAATCACGATTTGGACGTTTATACTACTGCCTAGGGTGTCATCGCCGTCGTCTACTAAGCAGAAGGCAACCTCGCTGCCGTTTGCTCAAGCGGCTCCTTCCTCCTTGGCCGCTTGAGGTCCTCCTCAGTAATTCCATTCACCCCAACCTTGGTAAGACCCATAACCGGCGGATCGCCCTTCTTCACAAACTCGTACAAGCCCGGCAGCTTATTTCCCGCCAGCCTAAACGCATCCTTCACCACCTGTTCGTGCAAGTCTCCTTGGATCTCAAAAATGATCTTGCTCACCGCCACCCTCGCAGTCCAGCGGTCGAAGCTTCCCTTTCCTTTTCCCATACGCACATCGTTTCCGGACGTGTAGACACCAATGTTTGCCGCAATGCGCATGTAGAGGCGAAACTTCATGCCTCGAAGTCGCTTCCTAATAGTTTCCTCGGCGATGCGGAGTTGGTGTGCGCTGATGCGGCGGTCATGGTCGCGCATTCGCAGACCATAGTCACCCCATACTACCGTCGTACCGCGCATGCTGCCGCCGGTTGGAACGCGACATCTTCCCTTGCGTGATTTGCGGGACTCGCCGCCTTTGGGTGCGAGGTATGAGAGGTTTGAGGGAGTGGAAGAAAAGAGCCGGACAGACGGCTTGGTCGTGGGTACTGTAAAGCGACATTTGGAAAGGCATGTCTGTTGCAGTACTATAGGTCATCAGCGGGGACTACCGCAAGGCTTTTGGCCGTCTTACATGTGGGCCGTGATGCGGAGAGGCTCATTTGACTGAATTGAGCCAAAAGGCCCTGCGATATCCTTGGCGGCGGCATTGTGTTGTCGTGCGGGACATTCAATGCGCACTCACAGCTCTCGTTGGAAGTTCTGGTGCCAAGCTGTGGCTGATTATGTGTGGCTGCTATGGCTAGTGCATGGAAGGGGGGCGCGACTGCCTAATTGCCTAGTGACCGCGCGCAAGTGTAAGTCGCGTCGTGCACGTAATGCCCGTCAACCCACCAAATAACTCAACCACATCACCACCCATTGTTTGTGCAAAAGCTTGCCTCTAAGCGCGATTTTCTGTTGGCCTTTCTGAATCAACGTGTTTTGCACATTGAAGATGCCTGCCGACATTCGCAGCTTTTTTGGCGGCGGCCCTCCCAAGCCGAGCCAGGGCAGCCAGAGTTCACAGAAGAAGAATGAGCCTACACCCAAGAAGGCCGCGCCTAAGAAGAAGGGCCGTACGAGCAGAGTTGTAGAAGACTCTGACGACGAAGAAGAGGAAGATCCACAGTCAGGCACTCAATTCTTCTTTTATGACGTCGTAACTGACCAGGAGCAGACCGAAGAAAGCATCCCCCAAAAAGCCGCCCCCAAAGAAAGTTAAACGCGAACCTACGCCAGAACCTGTACTTGAAGAGACGACCACATCAGATTTCTTCGCCAGTAAAAACAAGCCCAAGCGAACAGAACCAGTCAAGAAGAAGGCCGCGGAGACACTAAAGGCAACACCCAAGAAAGCTCCTGCAAAGGCAACTGCAAAGACATCCAAGAATTTCACACCAGCGTCACTCGCCAAAACCTCTGGACGAGCGAAGAAGCCTGTCACATCCTACGAGGAGAAGGATGATGACGATGAATTCCCGGACGACGACCTGGACGACGCGGATGACATCTTTGAAGACAACATTAAAGGCAAAGCAAAAGATGACTACAAAGAAATCTCGGAGAGTGATGATGATGTACCAGTGAAATTACCACATCGCGGAACGCCAAAGGCCCCAGCGAAACAGCAAAAGGTGATCAAGGATGAGGACAAATTTGACCCCGAGGACGAAGACGTCGATATGAAGGATATAGACGCAGACGACGACTTTGTAGTACCTGATGAGGAGGAACGGGCAGTCAAGAGCACACTAAAGAAGACGACCGCAAGCAAGAAGCGTAAATCACCCGAGTCTGAGGATGAGGAGGAGAAGCCAAAGAAGTCGCGCGCAAAGGCCACTCCGGCAAAGTCGCCAGCGAAAAAGAAGGCGAAGAAGGAAGAGGTTGAAGACAGTGCAGACATTCAGGCCATCTACGACAGCATCCCTATCGTACGCGCCCCTACGCCTCCACCCAAAGACGAGAATGCAAAGTTCGACTGGAAAGCGAATGCAGGTCGTGGTGAGGCTGCGCCGCTTCTGGGCTCATCCAGTGACATGCCACAGGGCTCGGATACATGTCTAGCAGGTTTGAACTTTGTCTTCACTGGTGTGCTGCAGAAATGGGGCCGAACAGAGAGTCAAGAGTTGGTAAAACGACATGGTGGCAAAGTCACCACTGCTCCCAGCAAGAAGACTAGTTATGTCGTTCTAGGCTCAGATGCCGGTCCAAGTAAACTGGCCAAAATCAGGGACATGAACATCAAGACAATCGACGAGGATGGACTAACACAGCTTATTGAAAAGCTAACAGCTGCTGGCAACAAGGGTGACAGCAAAGCACAAGCTGATTACAGGGAGAAGCAACGCAAAGAGCAGGAGAAGATCGAGCTGCTGGCTGCTGAAATGGAAAAGGAGGAACAAAAGCGTCAGAAGGAAGCGACTGCAGTGGCCAAAGCAGCAGCTAAAGCAACTGGTAACAAGACAGCTGCGGCTACTGCGACTGCTCAAAACGCAGGACCTGCGGTGGACTCTCGACTATGGACCACAAAATACGCACCCACATCATTGTCACAGATTTGCGGAAACAAGACGACCGTGGAAAAGATTCAACGATGGCTACAGATGTTCCCGAAGAACCTCAAAACTGGATTCAAGATGGCAGGTAAAGATGGCAGTGGGGTTTTCCGCGCCGTTATCCTCCACGGACCACCTGGTATCGGTAAGACTACTGCAGCACATCTTGTCGCGAAACTCGAAGGCTATGACATAGTCGAGAGAAACGCAAGTGACACACGAAGCAAAAAGCTCATCGAAGACGGTCTACGCGGCGTTCTAAGTACCAATTCTCTCCACGGATATTTCGCTGGAGATGGAAAGAAAGTGGAAGGATCGAAGAAGAAGCTTGTTCTGATCATGGACGAAGTCGACGGTATGTCTGCGGGAGATCGAGGTGGTGTTGGCGCGCTTGCGGCGGTCTGTAAAAAGACGGAAGTGCCTATGATCCTCATCTGTAACGACCGAAGACTTCCAAAGATGAAGCCATTCGATTACGTGACGTACGACCTGCCCTTTCGACGGCCTACTGTTGACCAAATCCGATCACGCATCATGACAATCACATTCCGCGAAGGCCTCAAGATGCCACCCGCAGTCATCAACGCGCTCATCGAAGGCAGCCATGCCGATATCCGTCAAGTCGTCAACATGATCTCTACCGCGAAACTCGACCAGACCGTCATGGACTTTGACAAGGGCAAGACCATGTCTAAGAACTGGGAAAAGCATGTGGTTCTCAAGCCATGGGATATCACACAGAAGATTCTCGGTGGCGGCATGTTCGCTTCAAACAGCAAAGCTACACTTCACGACAAGATTGAGCTGTACTTCAACGACCATGAGTTCAGCCCGCTGATGTTGCAGGAGAACTACTTGGGCACAAACCCTATTCAGTCGCTCAGCTATTCCGGCAAGGAAAAGAACCTCAAGAATCTGGAGCTTATATCGAAAGCAGCCGATAGCATCAGCGACGGTGATTTGGTCGACCGCATGATTCACGGCTCACAGCAACAGTGGAGTCTAATGCCTACACACGCAGTCTTCAGCTTCGTTCGGCCCGCAAGCTTCGTCTCTGGAAGCACGGCGGGTAACCAGACACGCTTCACTTCATGGCTAGGCAAGAACAGCACGACCAACAAGCTCAGTCGAATGATCAAAGAGATTCAGGCTCATATGCGGTTGCGGTCCTCGGGTGATCGACACGAGGTTCGGCAGCAGTATGTCCCACTTCTTTGGACGGATCTAGTTCAGAAGCTACAGAAGGAAGGAAAAGAAGCTGTACCACAGATCATCGAGTTGATGGACAGCTACTATCTCACCAAGGACGACTTTGATGCAATCATGGAGCTGGGTGTGGGTCCAATGGATCAAGAAAAGGTCAAGATTGAGACACAGGCCAAGGCGACCTTTACACGACTGTAAGTCATTGCTCATCTCTTTCCCTCACAGAATGCTAACATTCCTCCAGCTACAACCAACAGTCGCATCCGATGCCCTTCATGAAGGCCTCCTCTGTCACGCAGCCCAAGAAACAAGCCAAAGAGAAGCCAGATCTTGAGGAAGCCATCGATGAATCCGATGATGGCGAAGTTATCGAAGAAGTCAAGGACGAGGATGAAGACATCGATTTGTCAAAGGACAAGTACGTCAAGCAGCCAAAGAAAAAGGCCGCGCCGAAGAAGGGAGGCAAGAAGAAGGCAAAGGATGACGAAGAAGAGGAGGAGGAGGAGGAGGAGGAGGAGGAGGAAGATGTCAAGCCCAAAGGAAAGGGCAAGGCAAAGGCGGCTCCCAAGGGCAAGAAGAAGTAGGTGTTGATGGACTGGACGTGGGTTAGTGGTTTAAACTTGTATCAACATTACGCAGTGTACAACAAAGGATGCGTGGGTTAATCGCTGGTATTCTGATGTGAGATTTGAGTTGATATCGATGTTCAAAATAGCACGGGAAGATATATCAGATAGTTAGTACAATCTCGGTAAACATGTTTTACAGACAGCCTTGTTATTCAGCGTCACCAAACACCCTTTGTGTTCACTCGGATTGATCAATGTACAACTCAATGTTGCGATTATAAGCTTCACAGCTTGCGTGCTCAGAACAAGACAGCCTTATTCACTTGAGTTCCAGAGCGTTGATCGTGACCGCAATGTTGGGTTGAGGATCGGGCCGCATTCCTAGGTACGAGATCCAGGATGTTCATGACGCTTACTCAATGGCGTAAGACGTCAGCCCCGCCTTTGACGTTAGGTGGGGCTCTAGCCGGTGCGCGTGCCCATGCATCTGGTCGACGTCAACACATGCGCACACTTGCGATATTCAAGCTTTATCCCATTAACCCTGCTCCTTCGCATCTGCACTAGACACTACTAGTTGCGGTTCGATTGTGTGCTTTTGCGCTTGCTCTTACGCTTGCTTCTCGCTCTCCACTACCCGACCAATACCCTCATATAAACAGGCCATAGTCAGTGGCCTGATCTAACCTTGGACGATCGGCGGTGAACCAGTTACTGATACTATCTGAACACGGCGTGCGTCACTAGTTTTGGAATTCTGCAATTCACGCTTGGAAATCGGCAGCACTTGCGGCAGCCCAGACACGGCTGCAGAGATCGAGAACACCCGCCACCTGGGTCTCGCCTGTCAGTCTCCACTGTTTCACCTCTGCCTCCAACTGCCGCTTTCTCTGCTTTTTTTATCATGGAGAACAATCTCTCTGCTGCTCGCGCATCCCGACGCTACCTTGACGAGCGCCTTCGGAACGACTGGGAGTACCCGGACGTACCCGCAGCATGGTCAGCCTCGGACGAGGAAGTTCGAGATGCCGCAGATTTTCGGGAACGCTACTATGGAGAGTCGGAGTCTGCCGATTCGGATACTGAAGATGAGCGTGTCGGCACATACAAGTTTGACACACCGGATGCTATCGGCGACGCTGTAACCCGCGCTCGCGATGCGCGTAGGAGGAGGCGCAAGGAGCGGTTGGAGCAGGAGATGAAGGAGAATCCCGGCCTGAGGATATGGGTAGAACGAAGGGATGCATGGACAGGCGCAGCAAGTGTCAAGAAATATGGCACCCATCGACAGAGACCGACAAACCGCCCATCGTCTGCAGCGGGCTACTCGTCGGAAGAACATCCCACCACACCCACGGGCTCCGAGTCGCATTCAATCACCAGCACAACAACACCAGACACATTTGACCTGGTGCCCGTTGCGCCCCGCCTACTCAGCCAGAATGCGATCCGCGCCTCCATCACACCAAAAGTATACCCGGATATCTACCAAAAGATTGTCGTCTCCTCGCGCACACCCTCTGTCCCCATCAATCTCGCAGACATGATAAAAGCCTTGGTACAAGGCTGGAAAGACACAGATGAATGGCCTCCTAGGCCCGGAGTCATTGATCCTCTGGCTGGGAAGAAGCGTGTTATCCCTAGTACTACATCGAGTGGGCATCATCACGCAGGCTTCATTGCGCGACACCCTCATTTGGAGAAGAGCGTGGATGGCATGAAACGTATCTTGCATCTTAATGGGCATCACGATCAGGGTCAGGAAGAGGGTGCTGAACATGCGCAAGGCGAAAAGAAGGATTGAGGTCGACTCTCTGCTTGCTCAGTCTGTCTGTGTTATTCCGCGAAACTGATGCACTTGGTAGTACATGCAAATATCTCATCCATGCTTAACGCGACAGACAACGGCTGGCTTTTGTTTCGTACTCCGAAATCGGTTTTTCGTCTCACTGTCATGTCACGCGCCCACGAGTTGGCATTGCTAGTGGGTGAACGGGAGTGGAATAAGAAGATGAAAGCTCGTATTAGATATCCATATCAGCTGATTTTTTACATCAGCGGCCCCTTGGCATTTAATTCAGCCAGCTGGTGGCCTAACACCTGACTTGAACACTTTTCACCATACCAAACCATGACCATCTAATTTCCCACAAAGAATCTGTAGGGCCGATCTACGAACCAATAGTCCCAATGCACGTTATACACGTGACACATCGAATTTTATCTGATCATCAGATAAGATGATCAGATAAAAAACTTACCTAAATAGGTTCATAGCCCCGATATCGGCATTTGCTCGGCTTGCCCACCTACCACCACCTACCACCACCTACATGCTTACCTACCCAACCTGTACCCACTTACACACACCTACATACCCACCTGCCGTAAACATTTTGTTCGTTCGTTTAAGCAAATCCTTCGTTTGTTTATATTATCTAGGCTAAACGGAAATAAGTTGCTTGTCACTCACCGTTTTCGGCCGAGAGAGGTACATATTCGGCTTGTCGGCCGTTGGTGCGTGCATACATGACGCCCGCTTGTGCGGGGCTGGTGTGTAACGCTGAGTGGAGCCATTGACAAGTTGAATGTGTGTGCAAAAACGTATGAACGATCCGCTCTGTCGGTGATGGAGGTGGCCGTGCCGTGTTTGTAGGGGGGGATGTACGTAAGAACTGGGTATGGGTGTGGGAACGGAGCGGACGAATATAGGATGGGGGACGAGCATGGGATGAGATAGGATAGAACGGGGCTTTCGCAGCGGTAGGTGGTAAGGTAGGTAGAAAGATAACAAGGTATCGTCGATCGTAGTCGTCGATCATACGAGTATAGGTAGGGGTGGTGGGTACGGTGGGTAGGTAAAGCGATCCTCTTTTGCCATGTTTATAAATTTGCCTCCTCTTTTCCTGCTCTTCCCAGATCCTCCTTATACCCACCAAACCCTCCTCCCACTCTCTTTTCCATACAAATCCTATTCAAACATGCCAGGTGCAATCTCCCCCCAACCCATTGACAATGATGGCCCTCCATCCCATGTCATTGGTGTCTACCATATCACACACCCCCGCTCTGCATCCAACCTCTTCCAGAACATGATGTCCAAGCAGCCTGGGTATCAGAACTCGGGCTACAAGTTGTACGATGCGGCGTTGGGGACTATGATGGGGTTGGAACGAGGGCCGTTGAGTGCGTGGCCGGAGGAGCGCGAGGCGTTGTATGAGGCGTATAGGAAGGGATGGGAGGCCATGCTTGATGAGTGCGAGGATGCGAAGAGAAATGTGAGTTTTAATTTGATTTTTGATTTTGATTTTGGGTTTTGGTTTTGGGGAGAAGGGAAGGGGATGTGAGGTGAGGTTGAAGGGGCGAGGGGCTTGGTGATATAAGCAACGCCACAACCGTACCGTCGTGCAACCTTGGAAGACTGTGGTTGTTGCAATTGCGCCACGGGATTGCATGCTTTGGTATCGGGATGTGCGAGATACGCATATCGGTCTTGAACATACCTCAACCCTGCCCCTGTCCAACCTACCCAACCCCACAGCAATCCTCAAAATATACACCCAGCTAACCGACCAACTCAGGGCAAAAAAGTCTTCATAAAAGAACACGCATACTTCATCAACGGCCCGGATACAATCTTCTCGTCCTTCTACCCCGAAGACGCCGCAACCCTCCCACGCATTACCCTTTCCCTCCGCAATGCCTCCCCCTCAGAACCCGTCAAACACACAAACCCCACCCCCATTCCTGACGCCTTCTTCCTAACCATGCAACCGATTTTCCAAATCCGCCACCCCATGCTCATGTACCCCTCTGCCATCCGCGCCCAACGCGCCATAAATTTGGGCGGAGACCCAGCCTCCAATTTCGGCCGCTTCACCCTATCCTTACAGCGCCAGCGCAAACTCTATGACTGGTACCTCGAGCACGGCGCCGCCGTCGGCATCGTGCCGCGGGTCATCGACGCCGACGACGTCATGAAGAGTCCCGAGGCAGTGCGCAAGCTGTGTCGGCAGACGGGCCTGGATCCCGATGCAGTGGCGTATGAGTGGGAGACGAGAGTTGTAGAGGATTTCCGGATATCGAGGTTTTTGAGCACGATTAATAATAGTAGGGGGATTTTGCCGGGCTTTGCGGCTGAGGGGTTGGATATGGAAGAGGAGAAGGAGAAGTGGAGGAAGGAGTTTGGGGAGAAGGATGCTGGGGAGATTGCGAAGAGGGTGGATGAGAGTATGGGGGATTATTTGTATTTGTGGGAGAGGAGGACTAAGGAGGAAATGAAGGACGAGGGTCTCGCGCCCTGAATCGACCCACCGATTTTTTCCATGTTGTCAATCGAGCAATACTCTTTGTTGTCGCTTAACCTCCCAACTTCTTCAAGGACGAGAGTTTGTGAGGAGGCGTTGTTCTATCTTGATAATAGGGGGATAGTAAGATGGATTATCAAGTCTTCAGATTGTAGAGACCAGAAGACCATTTTTCTAGTATAAAAAGGAGCTGTTTTCATCACCATAGTCTTACTCTTACTCCTGTTCGTCCTTCTCATCCAAGACCCTCACAACAATCTTCCCCCTACACCTCCCCGCCCTCAACATCTCATACGCGCCCCTCACCCCATCAAACTCCACAACCTCCTGCATCACCGGCCTGACCCTACCCGCCGCCACCATCTTGCCCAAAGCCACAAAATCCTCATAATTCGTAGCCGTCTTGCCAAACGCAAACGCTCGCTGTCCACCGCCCAACCATGACGGCACCAGGAACCGCCACGCTAGATCATACAAAAACGCTACACTAACTTGCGACCCAATCTGCACGTACTTTGCGTCCGGCGCCGTGAACTGCGGCGCCTGCCAGTAAAGCTCCGCCGTAGCGCCAACGTTATCGAGAACAAAGTTGTATTTACGACCAGAAGCTGCGAGGACGTCGACAACGGATTCGGTGCGATAGTCGATTACGTGGTCAGCGCCTAGGTCTCTGCATAACTGGGCGTTGGCGCCCGAGCACGTGGTTGTAACGACACAGCCGAGGGCTTTTGCGATTTGAACGGCGAAGGTGCCTGTTCCGCCGGAGCCTCCGTTGACCAGGACGTGGTCGCCTGCTTTGACGTTGCGTTGCAGACATTGATAAGTTACTAGGCCACATACGCCCAGTGTGGCGCCTGCTTCGGCACTCACGCCTGAGGGGAGGGGCACGGTGCCTTCTTTGGAGCCGATGATGTAGGCGCCTAGGGAGCCGAAACGGTGTTTGGGTTCGAGCTTGCCGAAGACCATGGTGCCGATTGGGATGGTGCTGGTTGGGCTGGCAGCCACGATGCGGCCGCTGAAATCGAGGCCGGGCGTGCAGGGGGAGGGAAGGATGAGGCGTGGGATTAGGGGCAGCTCGGGGAGCTTGTAGTCGACGGGGTTGAGGGAGGCGTAGTGGACTTGGATTAGGTATTCTCCTGGGTTAAGCGGAGCGGTGGGGAGGGGGGCGGAGGAGTTGAGCTCGAGAGCTTGGGAGAGAGTGGTGGTGATGGATGTGAATTGCCATGCTTGCATTGTTTCGGGGAGGGTGGTTGTAGGTGCCGTGGTTGTGTGTGTTTGTGACATTTTGGCGGTTTTTCTTTTGCTCTTGAGAAAGATTAGGAAGATGTGGATTTGTTCAACCAGAGCGAGCAGAAGAGACATAAATATAGAGACGTAGAAATATTGATATGTTGTGTTTATTTTTATTATTGTCAACCGAAACCTACTGGCTACGCCAACTCGGATCCCCGCGCCGGGCACATTGGCAAGACGACTGTTAGGCTGCATTTTGTCAAGATAACTTGGTACACATTAGGGGAATTAGGGTTAGAGTAGAGAAACAATATGCACTAGGACAAAATATGTAAGTCTGACGTTGGAGAAGGAATGGAGAAAAGATCGGAGGAATTTATTCCTAGGATGGATCTAGTCATCTTAACGTGTCCGTGCACCTCATGCCCGGATTCATCTCATGCCCCGCCGAACACCGACGCGTGTCTCAATACTACAACTTTGACGCGCAATAACTCCACAACTATGGCTCCGATTGATGAAGCGATTGCAGATTTAGAATCGCGCGATCCAGGAGAGAAATTCACATTAAAAGAAGTTGCTGAAAAATGGGGGGTTAACCGCTCAACGCTAGGGCGAAGATGGAGGCGCGTGACAGGGCCTAGGAGCGATGGATACGCTCAGCAGCAAGCTATCGGCCCACAACAAGAGTTAGAGCTTGTACGATATATCACTAAGCTCACTAAGCAAGGCCTACCTCCTACAAGAGAGATGATCAGGAATTTCTCATCAGAAGTAGCCCATCAGCAGCTCAGCGAGAGCTGGGTTACTCGCTTCATTAACCGACACGAGATCTATCTTATCTCAAAGTGGACCACCGCCATGGATCGTACGCGCCACCTGGCTGATTCTGAGTCAAAGTATAGACTCTACTTCGAGCTGCTGCACCAGAAGATCACCGAATACCACCTAGAGGCTCGAGATATATACAATATGGATGAAAAGGGCTTCCTTATTGGTATGATAGGCAGGAGTAAGAGGATATTTAGCAGGCGTCAATGGGATAAGAAAGAGGTTCGAGCATCTCTCCAGGATGGATCACGCGAGTTTCTGACACTCCTGGCCTGCTGCTGCGCCGATGGGAGCTCGCTGCCTCCAGCCCTTATCTACGCAGCTAAAAATGGAGCCATACGATCGAGTTGGGTGGAGGATATTAAGGCAGGAGAACATGAGGTCTTTGTCTCATCATCTCTAACAGGCTGGTCAAACAATGACGTAGGCCTAGCTTGGCTAGAGCAGGTGTTTGATCGCTATACAAAGCAGCGATCAGGGAGATGGCGATTGCTCATCCTTGATGGCCATGGATCTCACCTCACGATGGAGTTTATCAAGTACTGCGATCGCCATAGGATCCTCCTCATGATCCTTCCTCCCCATTCGACTCATACGCTCCAGCCGCTCGATGTAGTGCTGTTCAAGCCACTCTCTCAAGCCTACTCCAACGAGCTCACTAACCATCTCTACAAGGCTCAAGGCCTCATTCCAATTAAGAAAGGAGACTTCTTCCCACTCTTCTGGAGAGCTTGGCAGGCCTCGTTTAAGCAATCAACTATATTAAAAGCGTTTGAAGCTACTGGTATATGGCCAATAGATCCCAACGTTATCCTTCGTAGATTTGCCAGCACGCCAGAAGCTGAGAGAAGCTCATCTTCAGGGCTCTCTGATCATGACTGGAGAAAGCTCGATCGGTTAGTACGAGCTGCTGTCAATGATAGCCATCAGTATGAGGCAAGAAAGCTGCGCTCAAGCGTTCACCATCTCTCTGTGCAGTATAAGCTTTTACAGCATGAGAACGAGGGCTTAAAGGAGGCTCTTCAACATAAAAAGAAGCATAAGAAGAAGGGCAAAGCTCTTGACCTTCAACAGCGCCAGGAGTATCACGGTGGCTCTGTCTTCTGGTCTCCTCGCAAGATACGCGAGGCTCGAGCTAGAGAAGTAGTACGGGAGCGAGATAAGATAGAGGAGAAACTCCAAAAAGCACAGGCCAAGAAGCAGCGTGAGGAGGTTCAACTGCAGCGTCAAGTTAAGCTCGAGGAGAAGCGTGTAGAGAGGCAGAGGCTCAAGGAGATAAGGGAGCTTGAGCGAGCTGAGAAAGCAGCTGAACGCGCGCGCAAAGTTGAAGCTCAACACCAGAAAAAAGCCACCCAACAAGCTCAACAACGCAAGCGTAAAGCCTCAAGAGCGCCCTCTTCTAAGAACAAGCGTCAAAAACGAGCGATGGAGGATAGAGCTCGCGATAGAGTTGCATCTCCTCCATCGCCTCCACCACCAAAGACCACATCACGTGGCCGCAACGTCAACCTCCCACAAAAATTCAGATAGTACAAGTTAATCGCAAGTATCTAATTACTGCAATGCTATGTTTTTATTAATATTAAGCTATTGTGTGGTGTTGTACAGCTTCAAATTTGAGATCGCTAAGATGGTGTTCGCGGGGCATGAGATGAATCCGGGCACAAGGTGCACGGACACGTTACCATGTCCGTGCGCGCAATGCGCAGCAACGCGTAATGCACCCCCCTCAGCACTATAAGCCCATGAAAGATGAGGCTGTAGAGCCACCCACAATAGCTATTATTACGAGGTTTCATATAGCTATACTAATTAGATGCTTGCGATCAACTTGTGCTACTTGTATCTACTCGGTAACTTAATGTTGCGGCCGCGGCGGGTAGTTAATGGTGGAGGCGCTGATGCAATCTCTGATAGCTCCTCTACATCTATAGCAGCAACAACGCATTTCTGACGCTTGTTATTCTGGATAGAAGCTTTTGAGGCCTTGCGCTTATTGTTTTGGGCTTGTTGGATAGCTTTCGTAGAGTCGCGATCAGCTTTTTGGCGTGCGCGTTCAGCTACCTGTTTAGCCCTCTCCTTCTCACGCACCTCCTTGAGTCTCTGCCGCTCCACACGCTTCTCCTGAGCTACCTGAAGTTTGTACAAGCGAGCTTGCTCTTTCAACTCAGATCTATGAGCTTTTTAGAGTTGTAACTCATCTCTCTCACGCTCTTCTATAGCCCTACGCTCCCTGGCTTGCTGAACTTTCCTTGGCGACCAGAAAACAGCTCCTCCGTGATAGTTATCCTGGTTATTTTGGAGATGTAAGGAGTGGCTCTTCTTCTTTTACTTCTCCTTGGTACTCAGGGCCTCCTTTAGTCCCTTCATCTCATGGCGGAGTAGCTCGTTTTGGGTTGAGATGTGATAGAGTGATCTGTGTAGTTTCTTCACCTCCTTACTTGTTCTATCAGCTGTTGTTTGATCAACTAGAGCCTTAATTTTACGCCAATCTGATCCAATGAGTAAAGAAGTTGAGCTCTCATCAGAGCTTGATACCTCAGGGCTGTTGCGGTTGAATCTTTTGAGTATAGGGGTGGGATCAGGCGGCCAGATCCCTGTGGCCGTGAAGGACTTTTGGATGGTGTTTTTCTTAAAGGAGGACCCCCGGGCTCTCCAGAAGAGGGGAAAGAAGTCTCCTTTCTTGACTAATAATAGTCCTTGGCTGTTGTGGAGATAGTTGGATAAGTCCTTTAAGTAAGCAGTTGATAGTGGCTTGAACATTACAACATCAAGCGGCTGGAGCGTATGGGTTGAATCAGTGATCGGAATGGTCTGGTCTGACTTGGTCTTGGTCTGGTCTAGACCGCCAAGACTTGGTCTGGTCTGGCGATTTTTTGAGACCGTGGTCGGACCGGTCTAGATGATCGGACCGGTCCGGCTATAAATAGGTCCACGTGACTAGATCTTAGACTAATCTAGCCAGAAAATTTAGCACAATATGAGTCATTAAGATCAAGGTAAGTCTTCTACTTACATAGAACAATCAAGTCCTTAACAACCTACTTATATACTATTGTTATGGAGCCTTCAACACCAACCTCACCGTCCCCATCGAATATTATAAGACTAGATTTAACGTCTCTTACTCCATCTCCTATCCCCACGTCATCACCCACCCCTATACTATCACCCACTCCTATTCAATATCACGAATCTCCAGATGAGTTCGTGCAGGGCGGTATCACGTACGTGAAACGTGCAATAATTGCAAGGAAGGATTTCCGTCAAGGTACATCACACATCTGGAAGTACGGACTCCAATACATTCGAGATAGCGATAAGAAAGAGGTGTATTACTGCCATGAGTGCAGGGTTGGGAAGAGCAAGCAAGAGTTGTTTGTCATCAATGGCACTTCTAGGATCCGGAATCACCTGGAACAGAAGCACCAGATTGATCCCCAGAGTGGCATCAAGCGAAAGGGTTCTGTACGGAAGTCTATAATCGACCAGCAAAAGGATGGGGCTGCTTCCAGCATCTTTTTCTGGAAGGAGTCAGTAGAGAAGTTTAAAGAGCTTCTAATTCGTTGGATTGTGTACTGCCATATCGCCTTCTTTCAATTAGAGAACCAGTACTTTCGTGAACTACTCCTCTTTTTAAATCCGGCACTACTCAACCACCTCCCGAAGGCTGCGAAGACTATCCGAAGCTGGGTAATGAATGCATTCATATCGAAGAAGCAACAGCTTAGGGAGGACCTACACCATTCACGGAGTAGGATCTCTATCTCCTTTGATCTCTGGACTTCACCAAACCCTTACGCTATCCTAGGCGTCGTCGCTATGTGGATTGATACTACCGGCATGCGACGTGTTACCGCTTTAGGTATGCGACGTATATACGGCGAACATACTGGAGAGAATCTTGGATCGGTGGTCCTTGAATTGCTGGAAGAATACGACATTAGCGGAGATCAGATTGGATACTTTATGCTGGATAATGCCTCGGCAAATGATACCGCTGTTGAGTTTATACTCAAGGATCTCTGCCCATGGATGAAGTCAAAACAACGTCGTCATCGCCGGCTGCGTTGCTTGGGCCATGTCATCAACCTCTGTTGCCAGGCGTTCCTTATGGGTAGACTTCGCAACAATCAATTCAATCCGGTCACTCTCCTAGACCCACTTACCTATCTAGGTAGGGCTTAAACTCCTATAGGTAACTACTAGGCTTAAAGCGGTAATCAATCAATCCAATCTGAACCTTCTAGGACCCACTTAATTGATTGTTGCGGACTGTGCTTATGGGGCGAAACTGTGAGAAGTATCTTGCGAAGCTGGAGAAGCATCATCAACGTGGCGACTATACGAAGGTGGAAGAGCTCTGGAAGAAGTTCGGATGTTTGGGTCGTCTTCACAACCTGGTGCGATACATCAGGCTTACTCCACAACGGCGTGAGGAGTTTGCTACAATTATTATCGGCGGAGATCTTTCGCAATTCGACGGGCTTGAGCTTATCCAGAACAACTCGACCCGCTGGAACTCATGGTTTTATTCGATTACACGTGCATTAAATGTTCGAGAACGTTTAGAGCTCTTCTCGGCTCGTCATGTACCTGGAAAGGGCTCCGTAGGGATCGCGAACTTTAAGCTTGATGGACAGCACTGGTTTGAGCTTGAAAAGATTGAACTCGCTCTCAAAGACTTCTATGCTGCAACTTTGCTTTCTGAAGGTAAGAAGACGTCACTTGCGGACTGGTTTTCAACTTTGGACTGCCTTCTCCGGGAGATAAGCGAGACGAAGGATCACTACCACGACATCCACACTGAGGACGATAACAACTTTACATGGAAGTACCTTCAAGGCTGCGCTGATGCTGCTTGGTTAAAGTGCGTTGAGTACTATAACGATCAGCAGCTGAATTGGCAAAATCGATTCCCTGAAGATACTGACCTTCCACCGGCATATTATGCGGCTCAAATCCTTGATCCATATCGCAAGTGGGGATGGTTCAGGCAAGAGTGGGTTCTTCATGGCGACGAAGAGAAGAAGAGGTGGTTTGAAAACGCACAATTAGCGGTGAAGCATCTCTGGGAGACAGAGTATAAGGGAAGGTACCCTGTCGAGATGCTGCCACCACCAGCCAGGAAGGAGAGAGATCCTGACCCAGCATTTGATCGCCAGCGGGAACATAAGCGCATTCGAATAGACGCTCCAGTTTCTACAACTGATTTGTATGAACAATACATCTCTACTGACCGGCTTCATAACGAAGAGGCAGGTTGCAATGAGGCTATTGCGTACTGGCTATCTCGCTACGACTCCCAACGAGATCTCGCTCGCTTCGCTCTAGACATGTTTGCGATCTCGCCTATGTCGGATGAATGCGAACGTCTTTTTAGTAGCGCGAAGCTTACTATCGTCGATCGCCGTGGTAGGCTGAAGGCAGATATTATAGAAGCGTGCGAGTGTCTCCGGGCCTGGTATGGAAAGCCCCAAGCTGAGGGGAACAGCGATATCGAGGATAGTGAGAACGAAGACGACTAGATTGACAGTCAGTAGTAAAACACATTTCCTCGGCTTCCTTCTTTGCTTCAGCCTCATTCTTGGCGGTCTTGTTGGTCGGACCGGTCTGGTCGGACCGGTCCTTATGTAAGCACCTGGTCTGGTCTGGTCTGTACCCTCAGACCAGACCAGACCAGACCATTCCGATCACTGGGTTGAATGAGGGGGAAAGATAGCCAGGAGTATCTTGTTTTCATCGCAAAAGTCAATAAACTCCGGAGTTACATGAGATCCATGGCCATCCAGGATAAGTAATCGGTAGGAGGAGTAGCTTTTGGACCTGGTGAACCGATCAAACACCTGTTTAAGCCAGGCAACCCCTATCTCGTTGTTTGTCCAGCCAGATGGCGATGATGTAACGAAGGCTGAGTGTTCTCCTTCCTTGATATCCTCTACCCAGCTTGATTGAAGACCCCCTGAGGCGCTCTAGTAAACAAGGCTTAGCGGCAAAGCTGATCCATCAGCGCAAATACAAGCCAGGAGAGTAACCCATTCACGCGAGCCATCTTGAAGACCTGTAGTAACTTCCTTTCTCTCCCACATCTGTCTACTAAATATCCTTTTTGATCTGCCAGTAACTCCAGCTAGAAAGCCCTTCTCATCCATATTGTAGATATCCCATAGCTTAATCTTGTATTTCTCAATCTTCTGGTGCAAAAGATCGAAGTATTGGCTGTATTTAGCCCCTAAATCAGCCTAGTGGCGCTGGCGATCCATGCCTATTTGCCAGCGGGAGATGAGATGATTGGAGTTCCTGTTGAGAAATCGGGTAACCCAGCTATCGCTAACGTCACCGCCAGCAATAGATCCAGCGAAATTACGTATCATCTCTCGTGTAGGTGGCGTACGTCTCTCTGTAAGCCCCTGAATATACTGTACAAGCTCCTGTTCCTGTTGTGGGTGTAGCTTTTGATGTGCAACTGCGCGGGGCTGTATTTTAGCTTTATGCCTTCTAACCAATGTTGAGCGTACAACACCAAATTGTTTCGCAATCTGGTGATAGCTAAAATCTTCTCCTAGTTCTCTTGATTCAATAGCTTCAATCGCAGCCTGGATTTGATCCATATTGGTTGAGTTATCGCGTGTTGAGTGTAGGTTATTTTGGTAGTGGGGGGTGCATTACGCGTTGCTGCGCATTGCGCGCACGGACATGGTATGTCACTAACGCCGGGTACATTCCACCACACTCGAACACCATCCCATCCTATCTCAAGCACACTTATATTGGACGATTCTTATGTGGCTATCTGTTGATCCTGTCTGACGCCAACATACGTTCGTTTTGCGGACCGTTATTGGCATAACGTAGTTGCCCGGAGCGTCTCAAGATACTATTGAAGAGACCCTCGAGCACCTCAGAACCCGTGGGTACCTCCTCTCCGTGTAGCACCGACCTGTTACAAATGGTTACGTCTACGCGGTATTTGTCATCATAGTGCTTGGTGAATAGGTTGTGAGTGAGGCTAATGCTGACTGAGTATGATGTCACCCGCTTATGTTTCAATCGTCGAAGAACTCCTGTAACAGATAGATCATATGGTTTCTTTGTTTTATCTTCGCCTATTAAACCCTCTTTACTATTCCTATCCTTATTGCTCTCTATCAGTTTTTAGACATGATAGCAAGTGAAAACGGTACAGATTAAATAAATGCTCAGTCACTGTCCCAGGATCTAGCAAGAATGAATCTCTTAGACACATCCTTCTCTCTAAGTTGACAGAAGCCAATGTCTCCGGATGCATTTAAAGATTTCAATACGTGTGAATGGAATCCGAGCTTACTAGGATATTGGGCCAAGATCCCCTGCGTCTTACCGCAGACTCTCATCCTGATCCAAGCAGTACCCCTATATCCTCAACCCCACAATAATAGCCTTGTGCGCCTCCGCACACCTATCAGTTATCACATACAGCTCATCTGAACTGTCACTCGGTGTTTGAGTCGATGTCTGAAAGTGCGAGAAAGAGTTGTACTCGCGCTTCTGAAAGATCGCTATCGTAGGACCCCCAGAAGTTGAGTATCTCCAGTGGCGACCATGCCGTTTCCGCGGCTAGGTATGGTGATTATTTTTGCAGTGGTTGTGTCAATTCGAAGCCGGGTTTTCAATGTGGATATCTGCTTTGAGGAGGCCTTCGACAACTCTGGCATCATACAAGGGGATTGTGGGAAGGACATTTTGTGATATTCTCAGACACGTCAGAGCAATTGAATCAACAAACTAGTATATTTATATGAAGATATACCCTTGGATTTGAGATATCACTTATCCTGGTATTAGACAAGTTCAGGTTCACCAGACTCCGCAACAATCAATCGATCGACATGATTGATTCCTATATAGGTTAAAGAGTTACTTTATTAGGCAGCCTTTAACCTAGATAGGAATCAATCATGCCGATCCGATTGATTGTTGCGGAGTCTGAGGTTCACAACAAGGGCATTATGTGAACATGATCAGTTTGATAGATATGGCTGATCTGGAGAAAGAAGGTTGATTGAGTTGTGGCTAATTACACGTAACGAATGTGGTTTCGACAAAAGAAAGAAGCATTAGACTTCCTACAATCACAGTAGCGGGTAAGGTTCCGTTAGGGTTAGTAGATCGCGTGATCCAGCGGCCAGATCATAACACCTCAAGGCGACGTCGAGTAAAGCGCCCCGGAAATTTGATTCGTACGCGTGTCTCTCAACAAGTAGCCCAGCCTGGGCGCATCGCTTTGCCTTCCAGTACTCCTCGTTGGCGAGATGATTCTGAACCAATAGCCACCAGCTATATTGCAGAAGTTAGCGCACTTGAGATTCAACAAATGAGCAGAAAGAACTTACGCATTAGCTAACCTTTCATCCCATATTCCCATACTTTGCAGGATGGTGATGTACACGCGTAAGTTATCAATGACCGTGTCCCTCTCTTGGATAGGAGATGGACCCTCCATATTTTCAATCATGGGATGCATCCACGTTAAGCATATTCGTTTCCCTTCGTCCATTTGCGCTTGATCAAGTGGTTTGCAGCCACTGCATGCGCAGGCAAAGTCCCAGCTTCTATTCAACTCGCGCTTGCGGACAGTGTGGCCAACCAGCATGTGCCCATGGGTCATGTAGTTCACGAAGATCTCTGCGCCCGCTGTTATCTTCTTCGATGCTACCAGTCTTCCTTGTGCTCGTTTCACTTCAGGTGTAGAGGTTCTTGAATTGATGTGAACTGTCGCGTTTGGAACACAAGAGTGATTTGCCAAGCTTATAGTTGGATATACGGCAACATATATTTTATTGGAACGAGTGCTCCTGCTCTCTACCATAAACTCAAAACAGTTGTGTTGGATACGATCAACAAGTATATGGCTTGGTGTTGCTGCAGGATTCATTGTAAAGAGATTGTTGAATCTTATCCGGTCATTATCGTCGAGTTTCCCAACTTCGGTTTGCAGATGACTAGTGAACCTGTCTCGTTCCCTCTGGAAGAAATTATAGACTGCAGTGGCTGCGGCTCGGTTTTCAGTGACAGTTGTGTTGCAATAGACCAGTGCATTCTCCTGGACGATAAGCGCGCCTCGCTCAATGTCGTGTGATGCGACCAGGCCGTAACCTGCAACAACGCCCACGTTAGATATTCTTGCCAAAGTAGCCATGGCTCTTCGATGTATGTGATGTGAGAATTGTTCTGAAGAATCTGCAATTTGGGAACAAATGCATTAACTATTTATGTAGCAAGCTAATATAATAAGACATTCCAAGCCATCTACTACGAGATTGAACAAGGCAACGACTGAGACTTCTAGAATTGTCTTGGAGCAAACAAGATATGCTCATCAATCAAGAGAAGAGACTCTACCCCCATAATAACAAAACAGGACTAATATTGAGGATAACTCGATTCGCAATGAAGACCCATGACGTAGATAGGTTCTGAAATACGTCTATGCGTGTCGTTATGTCGACACCAGTGGAACAAGTGTTTTATTCTCCATGTTCAAACTTCCACCTACAGTCCATTTTGTGCACACTCAACACGTGTACCTCAATTTGCATTTCGAAAGCATACATCATCGCAATCTCAAAAATGTCGCAATCCTTCTACCACCACACACATGATCCTTCTCGTCTACTCAAACCGTAAAAACGAAAACAAAAAAACCCCTACAGCAAGAAAACAAGATAAAACACCACAACCACGGAGCATACGTCCAAACTGGGTTGCTGGGCTGGCCTTCCCACTATCGAAAAAAAAACAGAGCTCGCGTACATATGCCGTCCACCACACGTCATGCAAGCCAAGCAGCTGCAGCAACGGGTGCGGCCACTGCGGTACGGGCTGCGGGCATCATCGCTTGTACCTGCCAAGCGCTCATCCAGGGGCAAACAAGAACAACAACAAAAGTCCCCACCTCCCTGCACCCAGCTTGCCACAACGTCTCTTAGCCAACGCTTCTACTGCCCCATTCTCACGTGCCCATCTGCCCCTAACTCCAGCATGCAAAAGTAAGAAAGCAAAAAAACCCGCTCCGTCGCCACCGCTTTACCACTACATCCATTGGTTCACAACCATTCTCAATCCGCTGGCTTAGCCAGCCAGGTACGGTAAGTGTAGCCAAGTACCTACCTATCATGTGCACATGAACCTATCCGACCTACACCCAAGCCTTTCCAGCCGCCGTCCGTCGAAAACACGAGAATCACGAGACACACCCCCGTCCCCCCAAACCCCTCTAATGCTAGCCCTAGCCAGCTCCCAATTCGCGGAGATTGGGCCTTGCGCTTGAGTTATTGTGCATCCCAGCTCGCTACTCGCTAGGCGCACTTGCTATTGCAATGGATGGCTATAGGTAACGGGACGGTAAATAGGTAAATGCGTAGTTTATGCTTTTTCTTTTACGAGATGGGTACGAGGGCTAGGCCGGTTTGACGGGGCTGGACCGCAATGGAGGATGAGCTGAGGGACGGACCGTGATGCGCGCGCGCATGTGCGGCGGTGTCTTGACCTGGTCCTGCTGCTGCTGTTCGTTCGCTCGCTCGTTCGTTCGTTCACCCTGACGCTTTCCTGTTTCGTGATTTGAGCCAAGTCCGCGTCTTGCCTGTCTGCAATATATACTATCGTTTATGTGTTGCTGATCATTCATTTTACTTTTGTTTCGGGTAACTATAGTTAATAGTTATTATTATTATCTTTTTTGGTCAACTATACCTACCGATCCACGTAAACGTTCCTCATCGCTAGCTATACGTGTGTTGCCGCCCCAAAAGATCTAGAGGAAGGAAAGAACCACACAACCCGAAGAAAAGATATGTCAAAGTTTCTTCTCGCGCTGCTCGGCATGGTAGCCGTTGCGCTCGCACAAGATTCCCCATCAAGCAGTAAGTCACCCTTTCTTTTGGCACCGTTTTTTCAATAGTGGCATGCAGGTTACCCAGGTGGAGAAACAGTAGTATCATCGCCAACGACATGCGCGCGTGCCGTGCGTGCATGCAGCAAAGGGACCAAACTAACACCTCTACCCCTAGCCTTTGTCGAAACTAACACTGAGCCCTACTATGGCCCCAACGGTCTCGTCTACCCCACGCTCAGCGCCGCGGCTACTTCATCTGCTTCTTTCGCTTCCAACCAGACTACTACGATTGTTCTGAGCCCAACCACTTCTGCGGCTGTCTATCCGTCTGGCCAGCTGGCAAACGCTACACTGTCGACGTCGAGCAAGGCGCGGAACTCGACGATAACGCATGCTACGACCTCGCATACGGCTACTCAGTCATCCACGTCCACTAGTGCGTCCCGTACGTCGAGTTCTATAGTTCGTGGGACTACGGCTAGTACGACTGCTCCGGCGGGGACTGGCGCCGCTGCAGCAAACTTTCCTGAGGCAGTGGGGGTCATAATTGGCGGCCTCGTGGCCGGATGGGCGATCTTGTAGGAAGCTTTGAAGGGCGGTCATTTTCTTCATTAGCGTGGGAGATGACCGCAGGACAAAATGTTTAGCATGCGCACAACGCCGATAGAAATAATGAAAACGAGTGCCGTGGTAGGGACATGCTTGTGAACCTAGCGGGTGTTGGGTACAACATCATAGGGTATATTCGATATGTGCTCGTTCAAGTGACCTGTGAGCTTTCTGTAAAAAACGTCATCTAGCATTTCATACTTTTGCCATTATCAATCCCAACGCCTGCCAAACGCCGTAAGATGCAACCAAAATTGTCCAGCTTCTTATTCCTCCATGGCGCCAACCTCGGTCACCGACTCGGTGGCCTTGGAATAGTAGGCCTTGAGGTCGATCTTGAAGTCAGCCATGGCTACACCGAACATCTTCAGTAGCGCTGTCTGATGACTGTTCATGACCTTTCCCTCTTCGGCAATCGTGTAAGGAGCATCCAAGACAATTTTTCCTTGTTGGAGCCTTGTCGGCATACCCCATTTCCTGATGGTGGTCTCCATGCTATGCGGCAGCGGTACATCCTCGTCTTCAGGCACCTCCCCACCTCTTGAGTGAACCACACCGGCAGGTACTGTAAATGTCTGTGTAGCGACAACACCGGCACGCGCAAAGTCGGTTTTGGAGTAGGCAGAAAAGTAGTCGATAATCTCGCTGGGGTCGCGACTGGTAAATAGGAGCCCAACGTTGCCATTGAGGTGTTTGGTAAGCTCGGAGAGATTGGTTAGGTGCTCCTCTGCTGGCGTCTGGCCGAGCGCCTTTGCCATTACTTTGGTCTTGCCGAAGAAGAATCTGCGCAAATGTCAGATACCTGCCACCTCAATCTGCTCAGCTACATGACACATACCGGCTGTCTGAAAACTCTGCGCGCACATCCTTCAGGTACGAGTTGCGCATGTTTTCCACTGCAAAAACGAAGACGTGCTCGTAGTTATCGGCGGCTTCCTGGACATTGGCAAACAGCTTCAAGGAAAGCTCCTTGCCCTTCTTGTCCGTCTTGGTAAGGTGTACGACCTTCGCGCGCTTCGATTTGGGCATTTTGACAGGATTATTGAAGTTTTTGGGGGTGGTGTAGGTTGCGGCGTTGCGCTCGAGAGAAAGTTCGACCAGGCGCAACTTCCAAAAAATTGAGCGGGGAATTTTGGCGAATCACCGATTGGTGCAGCCGCGGCTCAACTCCGCTACGCATCTTCCAGCAATCCCACCCACCTCTCGTTCAAGCTTGCAGACATCAAAGTCGCTCGAAATGGTACACAGATGACATAAGACATGTTTGACTTTATGGAGAGCGTGCAGCATGCGTTCTACGAGGCATCACACTGGAACGTCGACAATTCCTATGGCGCACTCAACGCGTCGGCACGAGGTACGTCACATATCAGATGGCTTTGCAGAGCACGTACTGACTATATCGTAGCATTGCTCGATTTCGATATTCCCAGAGGCCTACGCATGCAGATATCCTCTCTTGCCGCTCCAAATTTTGCGACATCATATACGCTAGGAAGCGTGGGTATTGTCGACGGCTCAGTATCCTACCTTTATTCATCGCTACCACTGCGGAAGGACCTCAGGACTTCCCATATTGACTTGCACCATGTAATACGAGGTTACAAACATACCAAAGAGTTGCGAAGACCAGACGAGAAATGGTCGTGGGAGGTGTGGCATGCGGGTCAGCGAATAGACCGCAAGAGTGAGCTTCGTGACTGGGCCAACATGTACCCCGGCTAAAGATTGGTAGACACCCTCCTCTATGGGCGCATATTCCTCCCTCAGTCCAGACTCGAAGCCCTATATCTGCGCCGCCTTAGTCCTACACGACAACTTCGGATCGCGGCCGTAAGCGACTCGAACCTCAACAATGGCGGGACGATTCTTACGCTCCTGCAAAATGACATGGGCAAATATAGTACCGAATACATGTACAGCACCGATTCGGCTCTTATGGGCGTCCGAGGACTGTACAACTTTGGGCCTGATGCCAAAGTCGCGGCTACGGAGCCGATAGTTGCAGAGCAGGTAGAGTCTGTGCATGGCCGCTTCAGTGCAGGCGCAGAGCTCTACTATGGCATACTCAACAAGAGCGGGGGGATCAGCACGGGGCTGCGATTCGCTACCCTACCCAACCATGCGGGTTTCCCGTATACCATGACGCTGACGCTGAACCCGTTGATGGGCAATCTGTCTTCCACATATGCCGTCAAGGCTGGACGTAACCTTGCGCTTAGTTCCCGCTTCGACTTTAATTTCTACTCATATGAAAGTGAGCTGCAGCTCGGGTGCGAATTGTGGCGCATACGCAGCACGACTGACGTAGAGTGGGCGGTCAAAAAGCTGCGTCCAGATTGGAAACGCCCAACGGTTTCGCCAGACGACGACGTTTCTGGGGTGCTCAAGGCGCGGGTCGACCAGGATTGGCGCGTCGGAGTTTTATGGGAGGGCAGACTAAAGGAGCTCCTATTCACGCTCGGCGCAAGTCTGGACCTGTTGAAAAGAGAACAGATATTCCGATCGGTCGGTATTGAGCTGCAGTACTCATCTTGAGCGCCAGAGTGACTTGGATCATGTGTGCTTGACTCGTCATAGGCCCGAGATGGGACCTGGTGGCTCCAAATGGCTCCAAACGACGGCACCTTCCACCGATGGGGCTCCGGGCCAAACAGAGCAATGATCAACTTTTTTTCCTCAGGCCGACCGAGTCTAGAAACGCGTTTCCTTCCCACTTGCCGTGGCTGTCAGAAAGGTTTCCCGAGCAGTTAGGCGGCGGGGGAAAAAGGGGTGGGCAAGTGGACTCAGAGATGACGGGTTCGACAAGGTCCAAGCGATCGCGACCATGTGTTTAGTGGTCACAGCAGACAGGCCATGGCTGGGTGTCGAGTGAGTGGGCAAGTCTGCGGTAGAGTGCAGCGTGCAGCGTGGACCCGAGCGGTGTGACGGCTGAAACGAAGTGTGGGGATAATGGCTGTCCGTCACACTGCCCCAGGGCCGTTTTGACTTGTTTTCAATGCTGCGGCATAAGACGCACCATCTGTTACACCTGGCAGACGTGAAGGCTGCGGCACGAAGACGAACAAGCCATCTGGTCCGGTCGGCGCACGTCGGGTGCAGAGGAAAGGGTAAGCAACGACATGGTCGGTTTGGAGTAAGTTTTTGTGCCGATCCGGTCACGGCTGCGGTCGCGGCGGACGGTGCTGTTGGTGGAGAGTCAGGTTCCGGGTTGTTGGTCGTTGTGGCTCGCTTGTCGACGCGTCTGCGTCCACGATTGATACGGCGGTGCCTGGCGCAAGGCTTTGCAGGGCTCTAGTGCAGGGAAGCCATGGCTACCATAGCTTGCTTGACAGCTGTAGGGCGACAAGACGGCCGAGGAGCTAGCTGCTTCTTGTGTTGAAAGTCTTCTAGAGCAACTAGAGAATTGCCAGAATGCCAAACCCGACCAGGCCTGACCCCAGCGCCCGTCTCAATCCGACTCAATCCGCCCCAAATGCGACGAATTTGTAAAGGTGGATTTAGTGGCTTTGTGAGCGAGCGTGTCATGTTGGCGCGCCTGCGCGATCAGACGGCACGGGCGCCGATGCAAAGCAGCATCATGATCAGGATCACCTCGCATTCGGCCCACCCGAGAGATCCGCGCGAGGGCTCAGGCTCACGATGCCGCAAGGGGACCTGCGCCGCATCAAAGTCTGGTCAGGTCACTCTCACTCTGGTGGGCTCTGGGCGTGAGCGTAGGCGTGGCCGCCGTGGCCGTGGCCGTGACCGTGACCGTGGGCGCGTACGGCGAGACAGCCCCGAGAGTGCGATGGACGTCAAGGCCGTGCTCATGGTGCTGCTGTTGCAAGCTACGAGCAATGGATTGTCAACGCCCCAAACGCGCACGCCTCATGCCCTCCATGTCGTCCCCTTCCCTCTCCTCCGCCATGTGCCCGTTGGTGGTCAAGACACGCTCCATCTATTCTAGGCCGACGGCATACGCGGACTATTCCGAGCGGGCGCAGGCGCAGGCGCAGGCGCAACCACTTTACGCCGACGCGCCCTTCTCGAATAACGAGCACGTTCATGCACGCTCACTTTCAAACCACCATTACGCTGACTGGCCTCTCGGCGAGCTGTCGCGGCAAGGACTGCCCTATCGCGCCCACTTCTCCTGAGGCCCGGCTGAGGCTCGCAACATAGCCTATCCCTGGACCCATGTCGGAGTCTTGAGCTCCTACGTTAGTTCCCCTGGCCGTCTGGCTGGCCCGTTGCCGACAGCGCGAGCGTGGGCGTGTGCGGGCAGCCCTGCGGTGCGCCTGTAACAGTCGACACAGACGACACAGACGACACTGTCGAGAGCGGAGGACAAGCCGTTCAAGGTTCAGGCACCATGGTTTGCTTCAGAACATAAGCGTTTTGGTGCGTCACCACTGGTCTCGCGCCTGGCGTCAAGTCGTGGTGCCGTTGGGCTAAAACTGTCTCTGGGCGGAATCCTGGGCCACCAAGCGCCCCGCCCATCCAGCGCTAGCCGGCGCGCACCTTCCCCCCGGCTTCAAAGCCCCTTCCCTTAATCTCCCCTTTCCCACCCACGGTCGCTCATTTACAATCCAAGGCCAGCTCCTCTATCCGCATTTTCCCATCGTCACCCTGCTGTCGGTGTGGTAGCTAACACGTTCTCTTTCTCTGTCGACTTCTGCGAAGTGCCGCCACTCCTTTCGGCCTTTGCCCACGTTCCTTTCTACACAACCCTCCTTTAGGCCCTGCCTGTCCACTCCTTCCATACACGCTTCATTCACTCTCGGTCGACCCAGAAATCGCTTTCGGACGATCGTCTTGCCACCCATCTGCTCCTCGGTCAGCAGCTTACTTCTTACATACATACGCGCCTGGACGGTGTCTTGAGTCTCCATAGCCCCCGGATCATTCCTCTAGCGGCATTGGCCAAAACCCAGCTTCGCATAGCTCCACCTTCACCACCACTCAATTGCTGGAACATTACTTCACGACACTTTACGAACATTGATAGACTGAGGTGCTAGCTCGACTGCTCCCTCCACATCACATCACATCACCACCCAACCCTCAATCGACTCTCATCCACATCACCCACCACACATCATGCAGGCAAGCGACGACGCAATGGTGTCCCCCACACCATCACCACCCGCCCAGACCCCTACCCCGACGCAGGGCTCTGCCCCGCGCCGGCCTCCGCGCAAAAGCACTCTCACCCAGCAGCAGCGAAACCAGAAGCGACAGAGAGCTACTCAGGACCAACTGGTGACGCTCGAGGTCGAGTTCAACAAGAACCCCACACCGACTGCTGCTACACGTGAAAGAATCGCTTCCGAGATCAACATGACCGAGCGCTCAGTACAGATCTGGTTCCAAAACAGGTAGGACTAGCGAGCAACTTGCCCCGTGCGTAATACTGACAGCAACTTAGGCGAGCTAAGATCAAGAACATTGCCAAGAAGAGCATTGAGAACGGCGATGACTGTAATGACATCCCTGAATCAATGCGCAGATATCTTGCGCTCCAAGCAATGGAGTCTGGCAAGTCAATTGGCACAAACTTCCTTGGCCGTGCTGGCGGCATGCCATACGGCAGCGGTATGCTTCTCAACACCGACGCCAACAACTCCAAGGTTGTCATCCATCACTTTGCATGCCGCTCGCTGAGCATTGGCAGCTGGAGGAGAGTCGGACAAAGCGCCATGGATTTGGTCGTCTTTTACTCACCCGAAAAGTGCTGCATCACGTACTACATCAACAACGATTCAGCTGGCTACAAAATCGAGTACCCATTCTCTTACATCAAGAACATTCAGCTAGAGAATGGCGACATGACTGCAAACGCCGAGGGCGCATCGCAACGCCCAGGGGGTCTCATTGTGGAGCTCAACCGCCCACCAAACTTCTTCATGGACTCTTCTGGCTCGGGTGGATTTTTCCAATGTGGCGACTTCACCGAGGACCAGCAGGCATCCAACATCATGGTGCACCACTTGGGTGGACACCCGAAGGTTCTGAGTGGCCAACTTGCGAAACTTGTCTCACTGGAATCGTTTCAGAATCGACACAACATGTACGACCCCAACAGCTTTGCCGTCTCGGCACCAGTCTCGCCAATCAACCACCGTCCCGCGTCCCAGCCCAACCACCTTGTACATCCTCACATGGCTGTGTTCCAAGAATCCCATCTGGCGCCTCAACCCTTCCAACCGCGCGGCCACAAGCGTCAGCGAAGTCGGTCAGTACCTGTCGCGATGGACTTTTCAATGCTTCGCAACCCGATGCCCTCTTTCCTGATTCAGGAACAACAGCCATCACCATACATGCCTAACCCAGAGATCTTTGCGCCGCAACCGCACAGTGCAGGCCCCATCGGTCCTCACTTGAGCATTGACACATCTGCGGGATACGGCATGGACTACAGACAATACCCCATGTCTGCTACCACAGCCAACTCACCTTCCGAGTACGGCACACCCGCCTTCTTCACATCGGGTCCATCAAATGACAACATCCCGGCGTCGAACTATGGCCAATACAACATTCCTCCATACGTACACACGCCAATGGGCCCACCTCCTCACTCGGGATCAGGTCACTCGCCCATGCCAGCCATGAGCCATCCTGACCCGATCATCGCAAACCAGTCCCCACCATTGGGTTCCTTTGGCCGTGACAACCACGGCGACTTCCATCAGATGTCGCACGACAACGGCATGTCAGACGAGGCGCTACAGATGACAGACATGTACGCTAAGCAAAGTCTAAACATGCCGTTTCGGTCACCAATGATGGACGAGCATTCCGATGATTTGGACATGCAGAACCTCGTGTCGTTTGGCACGATAGACCCTTCCAGCCTGTCGCCTGAGCATCATCAGATGTAATGGAGCTGAGCTGAGACTGTTGTCTCATTGTCAATTCGTCTTTTGCTTCCTTACTCTTATACCCGAACCTAGTTAACCTGTTAACCTTAATGGGGAAGCTTGGTACGCACGTCCTCTGACTAGAGATAGTCATGGGGGATGCTTCCCCGCTCCCCCTCTTCGCGCTTGTCTTGTCGGACATAATGGTTCAACCGTTTGGACATAATGCATCTTTCGCATAGGGTCTTCCTGCGGCCGCGGGAGGACCCTCTCACTCTCCACCACCATTCATCATCTCTTCATAACGCAAATTGGACGACCACCATCATCCAGGGATTGGTTCTTGATATGGCGTTTCAACGGTATTGGCGGGATGGGACCTATACACAAAGAAAGGGCGGACTGGTGGAACCTGCGCTGGTGTTGGTTAGACGTCAGCAGTATATGCCGGTCGTCATTTGATTTTCATATTTTTCATTGTTCATCATCCTTGCTTGTTGCGAGTTAGCCATTGTTTCTTTTGTTGCTTCTGTCCAAGGTTTTTGGTCATTTCCGGGTGAATGGAGGATTGGCATTTGAGGGGATCTTGTGCTGCGGGGGTTGTAGTGGAATCAGAGCCGCTGCGCGTGCTTGAGTTGTAGCTTTCGATGGGATCTCCGATAAAGTACTGCTCTTTCTGCGGCTGCGGATTCAGTAATTAAGATACTATATTATCTCAAACCAAGCTCCAAGAATGTGTGATGTGTGTGTGTGTGTGTGAGAGAGAGAGGAGGGGAAGGGCGGCAGGCGTGGCGGGGAAATGGTATATTATAGAGTTGTGAAATTGCGATGGACAAGAGTTTCGTATTCCAGGGTCAGTTGAGGATGAGGGTCGCAATCTCGCGGACTAAAGTCGCGGTACCAAACAACACAGCCTTATTTGACAAGAGCAAAATGAATCCAATGAATCCAACTCGGGTCAGCCCGCCCGCAGTCTATAACATTGGTATTACCACATGTGGAGCCAATCAGTGGGCGGGGAATGACTTGTAAGTCATGAATTTTCTGCACGACAGGCGACGTTTGACTCGACAAACGACAAAACACAAAACCTTGTCTTCCGCGTGTGACATTTCGCGACGTGAAGAAAACGATTGAGGAAACGATTGAATGTTTTTTTATGCACGTGAAGAGAATATGTGCAACATGGCAACATGGCAACACGGCGACGGCGTCCGTATGGACATCCGTTAGCTCCGAATACGAAAGCGGAGGGCGAAGGAGCTCAGTGTGTTTTGGAGTGCAGATGCAACAATAGGATCGTCAGCTATTGCCGTGTGGTGTGACTCTTCAGACGCTTGTGCCACATGTGTGTAAGCGAGCAGGCGCAGATGCGAGATTTCCTACTCTTAGCAGCAGTACGGGGCGTACTGTATGTAGGCAGTGATTATGTAACACATGTCAGGTCAGCTTGGGGGCGGCGCTTGTCTAGGTGTCGTGGAACAGCGCAACAGGTACTGGGACAGTTGAGCGGGCATGTACCTTGCTGCAGACATGCAATGCCATGGCCGTCACAGTAAGGCGAGCAAGGCGCTACGTGGGTTGGGTTGCTAAGGTAAAATTTGTTATGGTTATCATGACGTACGGGGTCCAAGGCTCGCATCGTAAGGACGCGGGCGAATCGACGACGATGCGAGTTGTAAGGCTTTGCTGCTCGGACGATGGCCGGCACCGGGTCTTGCGGTCTCGGTCTTGCACGGCAAGGCTTAATTCCCCTGACGTGCGAAAGACGCTTAGCTGCAGTGGCGCCGAAGCGGGAGAATGGGGCGGGCTCATTTCATCGGGCCAACCAACAGCCCGTACCCTCCGCGCTCCTGAGCAGAAGGAGACCCCTTGCCAACGGGCCTGATAAGTGATCCGCCCTTCTTCCTCCCAACCCGCTAGACACGCAAACCTACATCTTGTCATTCTTTACCTTGCGCTGTCTTGGAAGCTTGTTCGCCTAATCGCTAACGTCACCATTCGCCATTTCTCTTGGTGAGACGGAGCCTGGCGGTTCTTGTGCTTGGTTTGGAACAGCAACGGCCGCGCCACTGAGGAACACGAGAAAGTGTTGCAACCCCGTACATTGTCCGCCAGCTTTATCACGCAAATAATCCTCACAGCTGCGCCCTTTACATCACGTAGGTGCTTTCTCTTCTAAGCGTTCGCTGCGCCTTCCAATCGCATCATCTTCGACCAACGCTATCCGGCCCTGCCGGCATTGTCCACCCACCAAAAGGCTTGAGTGGTGCGTCAGTACCCATAATATCCCCAGCTCCCTTCTATCCACCGAGCTCAACCTCAGTTGCTACCCACCTCGTTTCCAACCCACCGCAAGGCCGATTTTTTTGCCCAGAGCTGCATGCTGATGCTCCCTCGTCTAGCTTTTGCACTCTCTTGCCCGACATTCTTCACCGCCCGCATCCGTGCAGCAACCTCGACTTCGGCCCACTCCCGAGCTCACGACGCCTATAGTCTTCGCGTAGCTTCATACTGTTAATCCTGTCCCCCCTCCCAAAGCAATTGCTGCAATGCCTGTTCGAAGCATCAACCCGTTCGCATCCACCACCCCTACTCCCTCCCTCGACCCTCTGAACGAGAAGCGCGACCCTGCGCGCCGGGCGTCCTTTGCAAAGGGCGGCAAGTTCACAGCCCTGTTCGGTGGCTCTCCCAAGTCGCGGACAGAAGCTGCTGCTCTCCGCGAGGCCTTTGTCGCCCAGCAGCAAGCTCTCCTCAACTCGCCCTCACCGTCCCAGATCTCGCTCCCGACCATCAACCTTACGACTGCGACTGGTGAGAAGATGCCCACCGAGGGCAACAAAACTTTGTTCCAGCCCCCTTCGCCAGAGGAGCAGCGCCGCCTTGCACGCGCTCACGCACAGTTCGGTCCTCTTGGCTCGCAGAAGCACCGCTACCAGAGCAAATTCGAGGGAGAGTTCGGTGACCCCATCGAAGACGAGCCGCCATATTATTTCCTTTTCACCACATACATCAGCTACTTAATCCTAATAGTATTCGGACATGTCCGTGACTTCTTCGGCAAGCGCTTCAGGAAACAACACTACAGCCATTTGCAAGAGAAGGATGGATATGCACCCCTCAACAGCGACTTTGACAACTTCTACACGAGACGTCTGAAGATGCGAATCAACGACTGCTTCTCAAGACCCACTACCGGCGTTCCTGGACGATTCATCACCGTGCTCGACCGCAAGTCGGACGACGGAAACAACACCTTCAAGATGCTGGGATCCACGACTGAGACACTTAACATGAGCTCGTACAACTACCTCGGTTTTGCTCAGTCAGAGGGCCCCTGTGCAGACGCAGCTGAAGCTACTATCCGCAAATACGGAATCTCCATGGCCAGCCCTCGATCAGACAGCGGTACCTCTGATCTCACCGTCGAGGTTGAGGATCTCATCGCCAGGTTTGTCGGCAAGCCAGCTTCCATGGTCTTCTCCATGGGTTTCGTTACCAACGCTACCACCTTCCCTACCATTGTTGGAAAGGGCTGCCTCATGATCTCTGACGAACTCAACCACTCCTCTATTCGATTCGGCGCCCGTCTCTCTGGAGCCATGGTCACCATGTTCAAGCACAATGACATGCGGGACCTCGAACGCAAGCTTCGCGAAGCCATCTCCCAAGGTCAGCCCCGCACACACCGTCCCTGGAAGAAGATTTTGGTTGCCGTCGAGGGTCTTTACTCTATGGAGGGTACCATGTGCAATCTCCCCGGCATCATCAACCTGAAGCACAAGTACAAGTTCAACCTCTTTGTCGACGAGGCGCACTCAGTCGGAGGTGTTGGCCCTCGTGGAAAGGGTGTATGCGATTACTTCGGCATTGACCCCTCCGAAGTTGACATTCTTATGGGTACCCTGACAAAGTCCTTTGGTGCCAACGGCGGTTACATTGCCGCTGAAAAGCCCATCATCGACAAGCTCCGAACTTCCAACGCCGCCATGCTCTTCGCCGAATCACCCGCACCACCAGTCCTCATGCAAATCGCCTCCGCTCTTCGCATCATCGACGGCTCAATAGTCCCAGGTCAGGGCGAGGAGCGTCTCGGACGTCTGTGCTTCAACTCACGTTATCTGCGATTGGGTCTCAAGCGTCTCGGATTTATTGTCTACGGCCACGATGACTCACCCATCATCCCTGTCATGCTCTACAACCCCGCCAAAATGCCCGCCTTTTCGCATGAGATGCTTAAGCGTAAAATCTCCGTTGTTGTTGTTGGATACCCTGCCACTCCTCTTGTCTCATCACGCGCCCGTTTCTGTGTCAGCGCTGCGCACACCAAGGACGACCTTGACCGTATGCTCACGGCTTGCGACCAGATTGGCGACCTCCTGCAGTTGAAGTTTAGCTCAGGTGTCGCTGGCGGTGCGGAACCCGAGGATCTGGCCGAGAAGAGCCAGACGGATGAGAAGGAGAAGATGCCTAAGCCACCAAGGTGGAGACTCGAGGAAGTGCTGAAGAGAACGGCTGACGACGTACAACGACGTGTGTTGGAATAGAGTGCCAGACAGGGGAGGGGGGTAAACCGCGCAAGTGCTTGGTGGGGTTGTCTGCCTCGCCTGCACGCCGGGTTGGAAGACGCGTGTGTGGCGCGGTTGGCCTAGGCCCCGCGCCACAATTGCCTCGTATCATCTCCACCTCACCTCACTTTTTGCCTACGCTCTCACACAAACACTGCACGCGGCATTATTGGAAGCATTTATCTTTGACGCAGCATGTGGAAACCTTGCGTGGTTTTTTTTTCTATAACGTCCATCTTCTTTTTTCGTCATCATCGCATCATGTATCATAAACTCAAGATTCAATACCCTCGCTGTTAAACTTTTCTATACGACATTTTATTAAGATTTTAGAATATTTTCGCTTGCCTGTGGTGTATATGTATGTACGCCCTTTTGATTGTTTTTGACATTTGACATTTGACGTTTGATGTGCGAGTAAGATGGTTTGCAGATGTGGCGTTTTCGCCTTCTTCGTTGGATAGAAAGGTGGGTGAGGTGAGAAACAGCGAGTGCTAAGTAAGCAAGATGCATGTAGTATGTCATTCCTAATTTTAACATCGTTTTGATGACCGACGGCACAACGGATGCGGATGCGGAATCGGTACGATATCCCTGCTACGGTTGCAGTTGCTGTTGCGGTTGTTCCCGTTTTCGTTGAGTATTATCTGTTTCCAGGTTGGGTTAGGCTAGACGGGACTAGACTGGACCTGGCTAGACTGGGTTAGGTCTTGCTGGGGTTGGAATGGGTTAGATGGGTTGGAAAGCTTGTGGTTGTGGTTGTGGTCAGTTGTGGTTTGCGGTATAGGGGTTTGATAGGGATGGATGCAGATTTGGGTAAAGGTGGAAGATTTGTGGGTGTAGATGTGGATGTATATCCATGTGGGTAGAAGATTTGTAGGTAGATGTGGATTGTAATTGAGATTCAAAAGCAAATGTCCAGATCTGTCGCGGTCAACTAAATGATGAGATTAAAAATTATCCATGTTCTCCCAGTATCTTTAGGTTGTGTAACGGCGTTCTAGTATATACATGAACATATGGTGTTGGATGTGCTTAAGAGACGCAGCACCCCAAGTGCCTTCTCCCTCTCCAGATATATACAGATCGTGTTATCACAGCCCTACGCTTACAACACACACACAAAATCGCACAAACGTTTTTCCTTTCTTTTCGCCCCCCGCCCTGTCTCTCACCAAACCTAATCCATCCCCTGGAAAGAAGTATCCGATACAACTACTGCGCCCCGTTCCTACTAATCTTTGCCAGCCCACAATTATGCCCATGCTATTGTCACCGTGAGAGTCCCAGTCCTCCGTTTTACAAAACGCCGATGTTGAATTTTGTCTGAGTAACCACGGCCGGGGTGCCACCATGCGCCGGATGTGATCTGACATGAGTCGTTTTGAGCAAGGGAGTCGTAGGAGCTTCGCGTAAAAATTTCTAGAGCTTTGGCTTGTTAGATGAATGTATACTATTGTTTGCGGATTGGGAGAGAGAGAGAGAGAGAGAGAAATTTACCTTGCTTTCAGGGTTGGAACTGCCTGAACCCGATCATGCACCTGGGTTCCCCCGACAATGATCTACGGGTTTGCATCCATGGCTGCCGTATGGTTGACCCCGCCCGGGACAAGACGGATTACAAGCCGCATCGGATTCGACATCTACTTTTAGAGGTCCTTCAGGGGACCATGAACTTCCAGAAGTGTCATCTGAGTCTCTCTATAGAATGAGATGTTAGGTTTGTGTTGCGGTGGAGTGAACAGTGCGCATGTGCGGAGAATTGAAGGATTGAACTGAGGTTGTATTGTGTGAGGCTACAAACAGTATATGTAGGTGGGTGACAGCAAACATTGCTAGTCCCAGATAGGCATAGCGCCCGTACCATCGGTGAGTTGCGACTGCGGAACAAAGAAGAAGATACCCCAAACCGTGACATTAAGAGAAAAAAACCCCTATAGACAATCAATGGGCGTGTAACAGTGTTGAACCAGACGCTGTTTTAAACACGAATCGTGCGTCTTGTACGAACTTTGGATAGTTCTACTGTATTTATTTATCCTCTAGCTATCGCGCAACACAGACCCGAAGTCGTCGTAGTGCTGTGTGAAGTATTGTATCGGAGACCAGTAAGTGGATGTGGGATCGCGGCGCGAAGAGTTTACAGAGACATTCGCTTATAATATGATGTATATGATACAGCTTACTTTAAGTAGATATAACTAGAATAGATATAACATTAAATTTAATCGCTAATATCCGCGCTTTCGACTTTGCCTTTAAGTTTGTGTGACGACGGTGGAGAAGGAAATTGCCAGTGCGCCTCTGGGGTTTGCACCCGAGATAGAGTTGTCAAAGTAAAGGGTAAAGTAAGAGTGAAAAGGCTCGGTAGAGCTCTCATCAAAATCATGTGATTGATAGTCCTCCAGTTTAGTACGCCAAGGATAGGTAGGTACCATAATCCTATAACGTGTTTCCCATGCGAGTCGGCAACCCAAGCGAGTCGGCAGCTCTACCCCACCGACGCGCCTGCGCGACGACACCGCGCAACACCACAATAATATTTTATGCTGTACGCAATAGTGAATTATACCTTAGATTCTTCGCTATCATCTGCATCCTCTATTTCTACCTTACAGGTGCGGGAATTATGCCTAACCTCGCCGCAACGGCCGCAGTGCCTCTTAGCGCGCACCCTCTTCGTAGGCTTTTCGCCGTCTTTACGACTACTACCCTCCCTCTCAGCAATTAAGTCTAATACCTCGCCAACTATTAAGGTCTCCTCTACCCGTACATACCGCCTTTTCTGGCCCTTGCGCTTTATAAGCTCTTTAATTGCGCTTCGCATACGCGCCTGTTCCTCCTGCAGCCGACAGCTTGTACTGGGGTAGTCCACTTGCGATCGCTAGGCTGTAGTTTCTTTGCTTTCCTAGGCTTCTCTAAGCCTATAACTACAAGTTAAGACGTAATCTTGCCTATTAAGAAGCCTAATTCATTAAAGTTCTAGGTATCCTTATTAAGGATACCGTACTTCGCCTTTATTAATTAAATAAGCTTAAACTAGGGTAGTATAAGCGCTAGATCTTCGTAGGCAGCTCGCTAGCGATCGTACGGACGGCTCTAGCGCTTCTTAAGCTTAGGTGTGCGCTTAATAAAGTTGTTAACCTAGTGCTTGCTAACAGGCTTCCCACCTCGCTCTCTAAGTAGTCTATTAGCTATATCTCGTATAAGAGCCTTCGTTAGTGGTACGCTACGTAGACTTGCTTTAAGTACGCTCTATAGAATCACCTCCTCTTCTAGCTTTATAAGGCGCTTTAAGTTCAGTTCACAGTCGCGTCGGGCGCGTCGTCCAGCGCGTCGGTCTTAGATTGTTGTTCGGGGGACATTGTAGATCTTAGTAGCGCGTTTTACACTTTAAATTTGCTTTAAATTAATATTAGAGATAGCAAGGTATATATCTCATTCGTTGTAGGACATTTAGACGTTGCGTTGTTAAGACATTACGCGTTGTTGCTACGAAGGCGTGTTGGTGGGGTAGAGCTGCCGACTCGCTTAGGTTGCCGACTCGCATGGGAAACACGTTAGAAGATATAAAAATATTCGCGCATATGGAAGAATTCATCTCTTGTGGGTTTAGTTGTCAAGTTGCAAAGATTCCTGATACGATTCTTTCAAGATGCCTCCAGGATAAGGAGGTAAGAGCCGTAGCCTCGCGAAGTGCAAGAGAAATACACAAAGGTACTTGTATATGTTATGGATAAGACGAGCGTCGTGTCACTCAGCGCGGAGGAACCACCTAGACTGCGACCGACTCAACTGCATCGTGTCAGAAGTTAAGACTCAAAACAATAGATATTGTAAATTTGAAGATATGCAAACAAGTCTTTGCAGTTAATATCGGCACGTATTGCATTCTCACAACCAGCCCATAGCTTTTCGGCCTTACTTGCGTTGTAAAAACAGCACTAATAATATTAATAGCGATAGCAATAGCAATAGCAATAGCAATAGTAACACAATAATCAGTTGGTTATCATATACTACATCACTACAAGTCTGATTCTTAACGTACTTATTTGAATTACATTGTTTCTTCAAATTTCTAAGAAGCGCTATTAGCTTACAATGTCGCGTTTCCAACACGAATAGCAACAGCAATATTCACGCGCCTGGCACAAAATCACCGCAAAAGAAAGTGGTACGAGAGAAAGTAACCAAGTTAATCGTGTAACTGATTCATATAACGACCGTAGTATAGAACAGCAAAGTTCGAAGATAACGAATATGCCAAGTTGATCTCGTCCCCTACGTAGTCGCCCACCAATTCTCCCCTATCCACAACCACACAACCACACACATCCCATTGTCCGCCGCAAGAACCCTCTTCAAATTGTATGTTTGGCTGGTCGAATCACATGCGATGCGTTGAAGAGATGTGCCCGCGCGGAATTAGATTCCCCCTGTTGGACAGTGGTCGTGTTTAAGGCAACCACGGGTTGGGCCAACCTTCGAACCAACGGCTCTGTTGCCAGCATATGCGGCGTCAATCGGCTCAGGATTCCGTGGTACAACAGCAGGGTTACCTCCAATTTCCTAGAAGGATATGTTAGTTTGAGTGCTCTTTGTCGATTGGTGGAGAGGGATGCGCGTACCTTGTCAACCGAATCGATGTAGGGGGTTGGAGCTGCGATGGCGAGAGCAACGATGGTTGCGAGGATAGTTGTGGTGGTGAACTTCATTTTTGCGGAAAGGGGTGAGAGAGATGGGGTAAGATACGTGCTTGTTTTGTTTTTCGATTGGAAAGGCGTGTGTAATTCTGGTCAAAGGAGTGTGTGATTCTGGTCAAAGGAGTGTGGGTTTAGCAACACGAGTGTGTAGGTCTATCGGAGGCTGAGTGTATGATAGATGAGGAATTTCAGGAGGTTCCTTAGGTTCAATATATAGGTACGTAGAAAGCCTAGTATTCGGATATTAGCCCGGTGAGACTCTCCATAGGGAGAAAGCTAATCGAGCTATGAATACGTGCTCGGCATGACAATCTTCACGTAGGATTATAAGTCTAGGCCTATATAGTCACTAGTGCTTACAGAGTCATCATCGTCAAGTCTTTTACCTGACGCTGGGGTCTAGGGTAGCCAATCGCAAAAGTCTTGGTTGTTAAAACCGGTAGTCAGAACCATTTGTGATCGTACAGGCCCGACTTACACGGCACTAGGACTTGTCAGATGAGGCAAGTTGTCGGACCGGCAAGCCAGTCTCCATGCATTCACTTCTCACCAGCTAGCTCTCCTCTTATAGGACTAGCTCTTTCTGCTTAGGGGCTAGCCTCTTCTAGGCTTCACCCCGCACCTATATAGCTAGTCCTTCACTGTTCTCAATACAACAACGATTTTCGCCCACTCAGTTCCCCGATACAAGTTGTACTGCAAAACGGCCGTACACTGATTCGAAATGGCCGAGGATGGAACTGCCGGTACTGCCTACATCATATTAAGAGCATGGATTACGACTGCTGTCGTAGAACTTGCCGTTTTAAGCTCGACTTGTAAGGGGCTGCGCAAAGTATGCCGGTGCCTGGTAACAGGATTGTATTCGATGAAGAAGAAAGCTATCTGCAGTGCAACGATATCTATATACGTTTAGCTTGTTGTTCACGTAGCTTCTCGAAGCATCTAAAGTGCCGAGGAAGCTCCGAAGGTTCCACCGAGGATCACCATAGCATCTAGGCTCTAGCCCGTTATATTACCCCCCTCCTCTCTCTCTCTCTAGCGTCTAGATGGATCTCGTTTAAGCCACGACGGAATCCTGCGGGAAGCAGTCTTGTTCTAGGGTCTCAATAAGGTTCCGTGAACTATTCCTATCGAATCTTCGCTTCAGTATTCTCTAAATTCTCCTTAGGCTCTATTATTAGCAGATAGTAACCCTTCCACTTCACTTCGTACCACTATTTTGTTCCACGTCCACGCCGCCGACAGATCTCTGCTAGGATATCTTCAACTTCCCATATATCTGCACCATTAGTGTCTACCTAGATTAGTAGTAGTTGGTCATCGTCCTTTAACTAGCTCAGTAAGGGGTCTAATAATGCTAGTCTTAACTAGTTAACGTAGAAGACATTGTGAGGTCCTAGAGGTGTATTAAGGCGGACCGTGTAGGTGTCGATTACTTCGATTACTGTGTATTTCGCGCTTCTCTAGTCGAGTTTCTTTAATCTCTAGCTAGTAGTAAACTGTTTTCCTAACTATAGCTATACTTTGTCGCCAACGCGTAGCTGTAGTGCTTCTCGACGATTTCCGTTTGCCTGTTATTCTTGTTCTTGCTGTGCCTGTGCTATAGATGCCTAGGCCATCTCTAGGAGTTCGCGTTGTAAAGGCACTAGTACACTGCAATAGTTAGGATGCCTCTAATAAGTGAGATTGTGTGTACAGATCTATATACAAGTACGAGGGGAACTTTATTATTCCTCGCACGGGCCAACTGCCAGCGTGGCACGTGATTGTATGGCACGTGATCGCGTGAGGGATCGTAGGTTTGATCCATCACACTACCCCCCCTTCAAAAAAAAGCAGGTTCCGTCGCTTAAAGTAATTAAAAAGAGTTGTCTAGCTTGCTTTGCAAAAGCTTCTGTAAGCCTAAACAGCAATGTTGCCGGTATTGCGAAAGCTACGCGGGCCAATAGTCTCCTCCGTCTGCTGTATCGTCGGGGCTCCTGGTGGAGGCTTAGGATTGTTAGAGGATGCGATCACTGTAATCATAAGTAAATCCTGTTTGCCTGCGAGCGTCGCAAACTTTCGATGTGGTCCTGGAGCTTTAGGGCGGGACTCATGGTACTGTTGGACAATGTCTGCGGAGTCCACCAGGTTCATGTATGGTTCCCAAGATGGGTTGTCGGTGCCGGCGGGGTAGTTGGTCCATCGCACTAAGTATTGGAGAAGACCGCTGCGAGAGTAGGGGTCTTTAAGTCTCTTGTTGACGCGGGAGTCTAGGACGGCTTCCACTTCATAGCTTGTACCATCTTCCTCGTCGGGATCGGCGAACTCAGCTGGTGCGGAATCGCGCAGTTGACCAGGCAGCGGAGCCTCCTCGTGTAAGTGTAGTAACCACGGGTGGAAGACGTTGTGGAGCTTGCCCATCTCTGGAGGCAGGAGTAGTTCGTAAGCCATATTGTCAATGACGCGTGTGACAGTGAAGGGACCGCGGTTCTTGAAGTCAAGTGATAGACTAGGACGTGTAGTACGGAAGTTACGGGCGTCCAACATAACTTGATCGCCGACCTTAAACTCAGGCGCTGGGAGCCGGGCGTCGTTTGCGTATTCCGCCTGTTTAGCTTGTGACCATTGTAGTTCGAGCCGAAGGGCTTTGCGTAGCGCGTCTAGCTTTTCTGCAAACTTGTTGGCGTTGTCTTGATCTCTGCGAGCTGGGGCAGTGAGACCAGTGTTCACCTTAGGTGGTTCAAGACCAGACTTCGGGTCATAGCCCTTAGTGAGGCGGAAAGCGGTAGTCCCAGTACTAGCGTTGATGGCGTTGTTAGCTTCGAACTCTGCCATAGGAAGAAAGAGAGCCCAGTTGTCTTGCTCGTAGTTAATATATGACCGGAGGTATTGTTTTAGCCAAGCGTTGGCGTTCTCCGTCTGCCCATCGGTTTCTGGGTGATAGCCCGTTGACAACTTTGGCTTGGTACCCAGTCGTTGACAAAGACGTGTCCAGAAATGGGAGAGGAACTGGGCTCCACGGTCGCTGACGATGCTGTCGGGATATCCCTCCTCACGCCACACGTACTCGACGAAGGCTTTCACAAGGGTATCAACCTTTAGGTCCACCACAGGTATAAACTTCTTCTTCTTGCTAAGCCGATCAACAATCACTAAGACGTTGGTATATGTGCGGCCGTTATCGGTGCAAGGAGGCAGGTGCGTGATATAGTCCATGCTGATGCTACTCCAATATCGCTCAGGTATCGGGAGTGGATGTAGGAGCCCGTGTTTCCCATCGCGGTAAGATTTCGATCTCCGACAGGCCAAACAGTTCTTGACGTACTGTGCTACATCATTTATCATCTTCGGCCAGTAGTACCAGCGGTTTAACATGTCGTAGCTACCGTGTTTGCCGCTATGGCCACCGCAATAGGATCGGTGTACGCGTTCGATGATCCGGGTGCGCAGGGTGCCTGATTCGGGGATGTAGACCTTCTTCTTGACATAGAAGACTCCGTCGTGTATTGAGCAATCACCAAGCTCTAAGCGTATCCTGTTTGGACCGTGAATTAGGTGGTACGGGATGCGGCGCTGGCCATCAGCTTTGGCTTTGAGGATAACTTGAACGATGTCGTCATCCGGGTAAGCTTGTCGAACGGTCTGGAGGATATTGGCTTCGTCCAGCGACGTGTCCGGCTCCGTAAGCGGTGCAGCGGACGTGTCATCGACCTCCGCTGTGTCTCCGAGAGCGAAGAGGTATTCGTCGCTAAAGTCGTCCGTTTCACTGTCTTGGTACATCATCATGGCCAAGGAGACTGGGGACGTCCGGAGCTCGTCACCGAGGGCGTTGGCCAGATATACAGCGTGTCGGGAGCCACCGTCGAAGTGGAAGCTAAAGGTGGCAACTCGACACTCAGGATCCACCTGGTCAGGCTTGAGGATCACTTGTACCTGGTGTTGACGTCGCTCATCCTCGGCGTTAGCTGGAAGATCGCCCGGTCGGCGAGTGAGTGCGTCGGGCTTAGTTCCTTGTTTACCAGGACGGTATTTGACTCTAAAATTGAACTCAGCTAGGAACTCAGCCCATCGAGCTTGCCGTCGGTTGAGGCGTTTGGTTGTCATGAACGTCTGGAGGGCCTGGTGGTCTGACAATACCAAGATGGGATCATCAGTACCTGACAGTTCAAACCTCCACTCCTCGAATGCTCGAACAATCGCGAGGAGCTCCTTGTCATAGATCTCGTAGTTGCACTCGGCAGGTGTCATCTTATGTGATAAGAACGCTACAGGTCGTAGAACACCTTTGTGCATCTGCGAGAGGATAGCTGCGGTAACGAAGTCCGACGCGTCAGTCTCGAGCCACGTTTCCAAATCTGGGTCAAAGTGGGACAGTACGCCCGCTGTTTTAAACGCAAGCTTTAGCTGTTCAAAGGCTTTCGCAGCTTGTCCATTAGCTTGGAGAGGGAAATGTCGTTGACTACCCTCCTTGGTGAGTTCCGTGAGTGGCTTAGCGATATATGAGAACCCTTTAATAAACCGGCGATAGAAGTTGCAGAAGCCGAGGAAAGACTGCATGTCCTTCACTGATCTCGGCAGTTGCCAATCGAGGACAGTGGAGACCTTCTCCGGATCCATTTCGATGCCGTCGGTGGTGAGGATCAAGCCTAAGTACTTGACTCGCTTGGTTTCGAACTTGCACTTCGTGGGATCCAACGATAGTCCTGCGCCTTGAATCTTGCGGAGAACCTTTAGGACATGCGAACGGTGGTCTTTCTCGTTGTCGCTATATATAAGTATGTCGTCTAGGTAGGCGGTACATATAACGTCCAAGTATTCGCGCAGCGTTTCGTTGATGAAGTTTTGGAACGTCCCTGGTGCATTGCACAGTCCAAAGGGCATGACCATATACTCATAGAGTCCGTACCGGGTGAGGAAGGCGGTTTTCTCTTCGTCACCTTCTTTAATCCGAACGGTGTTGAAAGCGGCTACAACATCGACGAGAGACATAATCTGAACTTTGGCCATGCGCGCTAGAGTTTCTTTGATGGCTGGTGGCGCATTTCGATTCTTCTTAGTGACGTTGTTGAGTGCTCGGTAGTCGACACATATGCGGAGACCTCCTCCAGGTTTCTTGACGATCAAGACAGGTGACGCAAACGGGGAGTTACTGGCCTTGATTAAGCCCTTTTGCAGCATGTCATCGATATACTTCTTAACAGCCTCAGTCTCGGTACGAGTGAGTCCGTAGACATGAGGCTTAGGGGGCGTAGTGTCAGGAAGCAGGTCGATGGGGTGGTCGACTCCTGGTCTTCGTTCGGGGAGTTGATGAGCCAGATGAGGGTTGAACAGATCAGGTAGTTCGTCCAACACCCACTCAGGTACCAGCTGGCCAATCTGGTCTCTAGTCATGTAAGGTTGCTCCATCTTGTGCATGTACTTCTCAAAGTCAGTTTGCGAGACTGCGGCTACGCCGATGCCTTCTCGGTCTTCATCGGGGGGCTTCGCAAGCTTGGCCCAATGGCGGGGTTCCAACCATATGACCTGGTCAGGATGTTTGGCTGCGAGTGCGGTTGCAGCGGCAGCGGAGATGAGGTAGATATCAGCCATAGTCTCCTCAGTCGTCACCTTACCATCCTTGTTCGTCTTAGTAGTGGTGTCGCCTGTCTGGTAGTCTCCCTTGACTAGTTGTACGTGACTGTGACAAACTCCGTTTTCGTAAACCGTCTCTGGGAGTCCTTCGTGGAGGCAGTTAAGTTTGCACCCTGCCTTAGCGAAGGTGAGTGATCGCTGGTCGCCAAAGTGGAGGGCAGGCTGGTGATAGTCCATCCAATTCATGCCTAGGATAACGTCGTACTTGCCGATATTGGTGACGTAGCATAGGACGTTGTGCGTATGGCTTCCGTGTCGGACGGGCAGATCAACGGCCTGGGTAAGCTTGTCCACTTCTCCGCCGTTGGCTAGTGACAATCGAATGGGTTTGGCCACAGGCATAGTATCTAGGCGGTGTTGGTTAACCCATGACTGATTGACGAAGCATGCGCTGGCTCCCGTGTCGATAAGGGTAGAAATCGGTTGCCAACAATCAGGTCGCGTGAGAGCGGAGCCGGGAAACTCGAGTTGTCGGCTGAAGTCTTTAGAAGGCTTGCCTCCGATGGAGGCGGAGGACACGAAGTGGACCTCCGTCATAGTTGGCGTTTCGTCAGGGGCGAGCAGCAAGGCTGCAGCGATCTCGAAACGGCGATGCTGGTTTCGAACACGGCGCTGGTGTCTTTTTGCGTTACGCCAATTGAGCTCCCGCACGCGGCTCTGCGCGGGAGCCCCTAATTTAAATGCTCAAGTAGTTCCTCGTCGTTGACGTAGAAGCCATCGTCATCCACTAAGTCGTTGTCGTCCAGCGGCTCCTCAGTATCCTCGTCTCGCTCCTCTTCGTTGGAAGCGTCGAGAGCATTGATGTACAAAGAAGCCAGTGCGGGGATTTGGTGAGAAGGAGTGAAGGGCTTGCCGCGGCAGGGGGCAGTCTCGTGCCTCATCTGATGGTCATCCTTGCCACATTTGAAGCAGAGCTTCAAGTCAGCTAGACGCTTCTTGTCTTTCTCTGACCGCTCGAAGGCCATCTTCTTGTACGTATGCGTGCTGGCGGCGTTGTTGTGACCTGGAGTGTCGGGTGTCCGGAAGGTGACCAACTTTTGGGTACGGCTAGCACCAGCGGTCTTCGTAACGGGAGTTAATTTTCGGCCAGCGTCAATCTGTTGATGTCCCTGGTCGATGTGTTGCGCTCGCAGCAAGAAGGACTGGATGGTCTCATCCTTGTGAGATCCGGCAGTGGTCGCGATAGCTAACCCGGGTCGCATGAACTCGCGAGCGTATCGGATCTGGGTCGCGTTCTTGTGTTTGAGGATTCGCATGCAAGAGGTGAACTTAGACTTCCACTCCATGAACTTCTGTCCAGACTTGTAGCGGAGCGAGCCGTCGGCGATGAGGGTTTCGGCGTCAGCTTCCCGATCATAGGTGAGATACTGGCTGTCGAGAGTCTCTAGGAAATCTAGGAAATGGCGAGCTTTGACATCTCGGATGTGCTCGTAAGCTTCGCCTTGAATGCGGAACTTGAGGTAGTCAACCGCTTGCCAGTCCTCTGGGTATGTGCGACACTTGGCCACTGCCATCTCGCGCCACCGCTCGTAGTCGTCGTCGACCTTGCCCTTGAACGTCTCAAGTTCTGGGAGTTTGTAAGAGAATCCTCCACCGGCGGTAGAGGGCGCGACGGGCGGCGGTCGCGGTACTGTAGGAGCGGGGGCGTATGGGTTCGATGATGGAGGAGGTAGCGAGGCGTCGCGCACGGGAGTACGGTTATCCCATGGGGTGTACCCAGCTCGGCGAGGATCTTGTGAGAGTTGGTCAGCGGTACCATCTACAGGTCGCTGTAGCAAAACGCTTGATTGTACAGGCCGTACTGGTCGTAAGATCGCTCGCGCCGCCAGAGGGTGTACGGCTGATAGTTGGGTTCATGGTTGCAGCAGTCGGTCGGTGGACCGTTTTTTGTCTCACGTCTAGCCTCGGTGAGCTGGAGGTTGAGCTCATCGTAAGCCTTATCCTTAAGGGCGAGAGCTTCGTTCTTGTTCGCCTCCATGTTAGAGTACTTGACATCATACTGGTTAAGCTCGATAGAATAGCGATCAGCTTGTCCTTTGAACTTGTCGCAGAGCTCAGCGTTGGCCTTAGCTTGGTCTGCCCACCAGTCGGCGCTGTCAGACTCCTCCTTGAGCTTCTGTGCCAACTCTGCGTAGTTAGGACCGCTCTCCGGTTCATCGGCTCGGCGGGATAGGTCCTCAACCTTCTGCTTGAGTTCATTGCGTTCGGTGGCGGCAAGGTCGCGCTCAGCGGCGAGGGCTTTGAAGGCGGGGTCATCGCGAACGTTGGGGAGTTGTTCTGACGCAGCTTTGAGCTTTCCGATGTCCGAGGTGAGGCGTCGGATCTCTGTCAGCTTCTCCTTGTACAGGTTGCTGCTAACCATGCCAACTTGTAGTTGTTTACTGTTCGAAGTTTCATCAAGGGCTGCTTCAACATTCGCTAGTCGGTCTCGTAGAGCTTGAGTCTCTCCTTCATTGCGGTCCACAGTCTGCAGATGCCTATTGATGGCGTCAGTGCAGTTGCGTAGGGAGACTAGCGTAGAGACAATAAATCGCCACCAGAAGTCGGGACGATCCTTCACGTTCTTCTGGAGGTTACTAGAGTTAGTGACAGTGAAGTCGTTGATGTTGTGGGTGATGTTGCCATCAGTGCGGATTCGGCCTGTGCTAAGGGAGTAAAAGGCATTGCTGTGCTCGTCAGGTTCGGGATCCTCTTGTAATTCGAACCACTCGGTGTCAACGGTATAACGGAGGTAAACGTAGTTAGAATCTTTGAGGTATTCGAGCAGGACGTCGTTGATTTCGATGCCGACAATCTCGCGTGTAGCAGTCATGGGCTCTAGGTCGCCGCTAGCTGATACTGATGGCTGGGATGACGGATGGGCTGCCAGAAGCATGCTCTCTCGGCGGTTGGAGAGGCAAGCTCGTACTGGTACGAGAGGCGGGCCCATCTGTGATTGAGTAGGATCCTGGGAAGCTTGCCCGAAGGTGGCACCGGTGGCTGAGGTACCTTGGGTATTCTGGGTATTGGCCGGGTTTGCCATCGCGATGATCTTTTCGTGTGTGTTGCGCAGGGCTGACCGTAGGGTCGCGCTTCTCGAAGCTCGATGCCTTGCCTTCTGCCTACTTGTCCGTTGATGTAGGTGGACCTGTCCTTTACCAGCGTTGGTGACAACCCCCACGAGCAATACTTGCCTGTTGAGCCTGGTGTCTCTGGTCTTTTCGTGTGTTGCGCAGGGCTTACCGTAGGGTCGCGCTTCTCGAAGCTCGATGCCTTGCCCTCTGCCTACTTGTCCGTTGATGTAGGTGGACCTGTCCTCTACCAGCGTTGGTGACAACCCTCACGAGCAATACTTGCTTGTTGAGCCTGGTGTCTCCACCCGTGGGCTTCTAGCGCAATACTTTGCGATCCTCGTCGTCAAGACCTAACCCGTCGCAGAACGTCTTGTTCTGCCCGATGTAGCAAGTCGCAGTTGCTCAATCGGCGGCGGCGCTCGGCGCGGACGGTGTTTCTGATAACTGAGCCTGATGCGAAGTATCCTAGGTATGTAGGGGTTGACACACAATAGTGTAAAGGCACTAGTACACTGCAATAGTTAGGATGCCTCTAATAAGTGAGATTGTGTGTACAGATCTATATACAAGTACGAGGGGAACTTTATTATTCCTCGCACGGGCCAACTGCCAGCGTGGCACGTGATTGTATGGCACGTGATCGCGTGAGGGATCGTAGGTTTGATCCATCACACGCGTAGTTTAGTAACGATTAATTTAGCCTTCTTTTAGTCAGATTTCTTATATGCGTTGTATCTCCGTCGATTAGTACCTATAGAGATCTCTAGCTGTAGAGGGTTAATATTATAACTATACTAAAGGAAAAACGGAGATACTTTCGTCGTTATTGTATCCCTTCCTTTAATCGCGATCTGCGCCAACGGGCACAGAGGTGCCTAATTATCTTAAGCCTAATTAACGAAGGCCTTTATGTATGTCTCCTAAGTGCTGTTTATCCTTTCCGTAGCTCTGTTAGTTTAAGGGTAAAAAGCTGTAGATATCTGCTAATTAATCTTAAGAATCTCGCAAAGCCTTCGCTAGAATACGCTAACGAACTAAGTGCCCTAATCTAATATAATCGCATCTAGAATCTAGTGATATGCGACTACATATGTAATAAACGCTTAAACAACTGTTTCGGTCTTAGTGTTAGCTAGTAGTATAAACACTACGTCCTTACTTAGGCGATTAGTAACAGCTATTAGCAGAGAAGTCAACAAACAAAACAACCAACATTTGAGGCGTAGATGTTGATTGACTGGCTCATTTCTTAGGGCTACAGTTTGTTTGTTTGAGTTGATGAGACTGAAGAGCCAATTTTTGGTTGGTTGATTGATTGAATATTGATAGACTTAAGGTTCTGAAGGGACGTTTCTATGACAATTCTGCAGGCGGCTCTTCCCACGTTCCTATCGCAAACTCTTCCGTGAGCTCCTCATCAGTATGCTTTGCTGCTGTTGTCGTGCTTGGTGTTGTAAAACCTGCACGAGTCCACCGTTGCAAGCACACCAAAGCAGCCAGTAACTGCGCGCCAATTTTCCGCCTTTGTGGCTCAATTATATCGCCAGTTCCCGCAAAAACGCGCTCACAATCAGAGCTGGAGGCGGGTATAGTCAACACGTCGATCGCCAATCGTGAAAGATGTGGATACTTCGGCTTCAACGATAACCAGTACTGTACAGCTGTTGGACCCTCCTTGTGTTGATCAGACGTCCACATAGGCTCTTTTAACCAGCTATCGTACTCATCCTCCACCTCCAATGTATGCTCGCCGTCCTCATCTAGTATAGCGTCGATAGCGTCGTCAAAGCTGCTCATGGTAGGTTTTGGCGCAGGGGTTGGTGTTGTGGCAGCAGCGGCAGGCTTGTAGGCAGCCCAAACCCGCAGAAACTTCGCGTGCGCGGTGCTCAATTGTGTAGGTTTGTCGCGCCAGAAGCGCTTAGAGTATGTTTTATATCGTGGATGTAGTGCCGTAGCTGCGTAGTAAATGGGACTTTGGAGGATCTTAGTAAAGTAATTGCTCGCTTTTCGCCTCGCGGCTCGCAGGTTGATCGGGATGTGATCTTCGGGCGCCTCAGATGGCTCGTGGTTGACCGATTCGTATGGCCGAAGGCGTGCATCCAGCTCAGTTATCACACTCTCAAATACTGGGATGACCTCGTAGAGTGCGCCAAAACGGCCACACTTGCCGCGGCCTTGGAGGCGATCTGTAGCAAACTTGAGCGGCTGCAGTATCGCCATGTACTCAGTAATCACCGCCCAGTCAGCCGCCGTAAGGCCGTCTGACCTCATCCACCGCGGCACATCAGGCAGCTTGTTTCCTCTAATAGCTGCCTGTTCGTCAGCCTGTTCAGTCTCGCGAATGTGGTACGTGGCGTATGCGTTGATAGCTTGTTGGAGCTGAACTCCGCGCTTAAAGCAGTCGTAATAGCTGTTCCAACGTGTAACACACGGCTTAATTGGCTCGCGAGTGCCGCCGCTGGCGCCTGTGGGCATGCTGTTAACTGCCTCGCGTTGGCAATCTTCAAAAATACTCCACTGCTTCGGCGTGTTGATGTAGTTGATAATATCAAGATACACGCCAAGCGGTCCTTCTTTCCGCCACTCCTTCATGTAAAAATCCTCCATCTTTGTGTTCTCCAGGGCGTTGTTATACGCGTCAGCATCCCTCCCGAACATAATCGTTTGGCCAACAAGGTTAAGTATGTGGCAAGCGCAGCGGAGGCGGCGATCGGAGGCAGAAAAGTGGTACATCGCGGCGAGTTTGTTAACAGCGGTGTCGTTATTGTAAGCGTTATCGAGCACAAAGTAGCCGAGTTTGCTGCGATTAATGCTGAAGGATTGCAGGATTTTGGTTACAGCGTCAGCTATCGCCTCACCAGTGTGGGCACCCACCAGCTGCGGCAGCGCGATGGGTAGGTCAACTATCGCGCCCTTACTGTTGGCGTAGTGAGCAACTACAGAAAAGAAGCCACGTTTGCCGCCTTTTGTCGTCCACCCATCGAAGCTTATATGTACCTTGCTCTCGGCTTCAGCCAACGCGCGCACCACCTGAGGCCGTAGCCAACTGTACAACCTCATCACGAACGCTGACACGCTGTTATGAGACCTCCATAACGCCGCCTCTGCCTCAGGATTAGCAAGCCTGATCATCTTGCGAAAAGCCGGCGTCTCAAACTCGCGGAGTGGTCTGTTGTTGTCGACCAGCCAGAGCGCAGCTGCCTGCCGAAATTCTTGTACGTCGAAGTTTCCTATAGTCTTGTACGCCTCTAGACTAAATTTGACACCGCTTAGAGCTGCCTGACGAAGTGATTGTTGTCCATGTTTGCGGAGAGGTTTGCTTAGGATTGGACCATCTTTGCTGAGCCGATGACCAGGTTTATCAAGCTGGAGGTGCCCGTTGGCGGCAGTGGTTGACTTCGTTACTCGGTGTACACCATTAGGTAGCTTATGAATATGACAGTACTTGCACACAAAGTACAACTCATCTGGGTGGTGAGTACCCTCCTTCCAGACACGCCAGCCGTGTTGAAAAATCCAGCTTGCCTTGCCTCGTGGAGTGCTCAGCGGCGCGACAAACCCCTTTAATCGCGACCAATCGACGCCCTCAAAGTCGCGAAAATCGACGCTCACAGCGCTATCCTCCTCCACCGAAGCCTCAGTGGCAGCGCTAGAGAAAGCTAAAGGCTGTACAATAGAGTCCTCTGGCTTATCAAACATTAACTGCGACTCCCAGGCTGGCTCATCAGTGAGCCGAGAGGCTTGTGAGGCAGCCAAAATAGGCAGTGGTGATGCCCGCCGAGGGCGCTCCTCGGGTTGTTGTACAGGCTTACATGGCGGTTCAATAGCCCGTGTGGGCGGCTCGATAACTTGTGTAGGCGGCTCTGTAGGCGGATCCGGCGTACTTTCTGGCAGCTCTATCGGCTGGGTTGGCTGGCTGCCGTCACCCAACAGCGCTTTGAGCGTAGGTTTGCGCGTACGTTGTGCTCGCTTGAAGGGAGTATCAGCTTCTTCGGCAGCCTCGGGCTTGCGTTTTGCTGGTATAGAGGGCATGGATAAGGCTAAAAGTAAGCCGGAGCCGCGAGAAAGTAAGGTGTTGTTAAATGTTATAAGCCTGATGTCAGTAGCACTAGGAATAGAACATGTGTGAATCGTGTTGTGTATTGTGCTACAGGAATTGAGATCTATGTCTCTGCCAGCTAGCGTTGTGGGCGCTAAGCCTCGTACGTACTAGCCTGGAGTGAGTGAGAGATGGGATGGAACCTAGGTCATATAACTTACACGCGAGTAGGCTTAGTAAGCAAGATCCAACACTAAGAATTCGTCGTTGAGCAGCTATCCCAGAGGCCTCACCTAGGTATCCCCCTCCCTCGCTTACTATCAAACAACACCAATCCTATCAACATTTTGTTCTCAAGATTGGTTGATTGATTGACAGAAATACAGTGGCTAACTGTTGGTTAGTTGGTTGGCTCCGAATCAAACAAATCAAACAACAATATTGATGAGATATTGATTACTGACAACCTTGGCTATTAGGCTCTTTTTACTATCGCTTTCTAGTAACCTGTCGATAAAGTCAATTAAAATCTCTTTCTAGATTTGCTCTAGTACTAGCAAAGGTTTTAGTAGGCCTTATAAGCTATCTCTCTATAGTTTCGTTTGTCTACACGTGTCGCAGTTCCGTATGTATCGTTGGATATCGTTAGACATCCCTAGCTAGAAGAAGTCTCTTGCAACTATCTTGTACGTGATCTCTATACTAGGATGCTCTATTGCTATAGAATTATAAATCCGCTTAATAATAGAAGTTCGCAGGGGTTTGTAGTTAAGTACCTATTTCTAGTTTTAGAAATAAAGTATCTAGTCCTTAATTTTGCACTTTGCAATCAAACATTTAATCGAGAGAGTAGTAGGAAATCTCCTTTATTAGCTCTCTACTGCTTCGCGTGCTTCCTAATATACTAGATCCTTTTCTACTAACTAAATC